AGCGCTCGCGCATGCCTTCCCAGACCATTTTTAGCAGATGATACCTTCACACTTGAAACATACTTAAAACTACTATACACATGAAGGTGTCAGTGTGCTTTTACTCTCGAGTCCAGAAACGAAGCGCGTATCCTAAACAATATAATAGGGGCTGGCTGCCGGGGCGGGCTGGCGCGTGTGGCTGGCTGGCTGGCAATGAGGCGCAGTCTGCGCGGGATTCGACAATCCCTCCTCGGTACAGCGCCTACCCCGTATAAGGAAACCGAACGAGTATTGACTGAGAAATTTGAAAGGGAAAAGAAAAAAATTTGAACTCTACACCCCCTCCCCAGTCTTAATGGGGAGGCCTCCTGCTTTACTTCGGTGTTCGGGATGGGAACCGGTGCTATCAGGTACCTGGGGTTAATCCCGTCAGCGACCCAAGCGTTCGCCGGGGGACCCAGTAGGACCCCAAAGCTCAGGCAGCTGGGTGAGAGCACCCAGTACGAAGCTCTTTGAGGGGCGGGACGTAGAGTGAGACGACAGAGAGACAGAGAGAGACTCAGACAGAGAAGAGGTTTGGTGGGAGCTTCTTGTTTTCGTAGGGTTGGTTGTGTACCCCATGGTACCCCCACTGTCCGGCGCTCCCGTACCGAACATACAGCGTTTTAGGCCAGCTTCAAAGGACTTATCATCGCCTCCCCGACGAGTCAAGGAGGCACCACCCGCAACCACACACCGGATGGTCTGGATTGATGGATCAAATACTCCATCGCTCCAGTGCCGAGGCCAACCCGCCGAAGCGGATTGCTTTTTAGACACCCACAGCGGAGTGGCCAGGTGAATGTGACTCTGACCACTACGCTATCACGCTTGTACGTCTGGCAGCGTGTTGGACGACGGGTTTGAGTTGCACGGGGAGGGAGGCGGTCGAAAAACGTAATGAAATGATAGGATTCGATCCCCGGACCCCGCCATCGGGATCACACGACTTTACGCTCTCGGCCACCACGGCCCATGATGAGGGGACCGGCGTGAGGTGGGTTCTTGACGCAACAGGACTCGACCGACCCGGTCAAAATTTCGCAAGAAGTTGGGGGAGTCGAACCGCCGACTCTAGCATTGAGAACCGACGCCTCTACTCCCTGGACCACCACGTCCCATGCACGGAGTGGGCTCACGTTCACAGGTTTCAACCGCACTGGGTGAGGCAGTAAAATTAAATGGAAATATTTGTTAGGAGTCGAACCTCCGGCATGTGGGTCTGTTGCACACGGCTCCGCTCGGATGGCCTCGAACCACCACCCTTAGGATAGTAAGTCGAAAAAACGTATGTGACGCTGGTATTCGAACGCCCGCCTGCGGTAACTCGATCCCACGTCTCTAGCCTCTCGGCTATCACAGCAGTTGTGAAACGCGACGGATCATCTGCTTTCATTAACGTTCGTTGAATGAGATTTTTCAGCCCAATGCAATTTTCCTGTGGCCAAGAGATTTTCCCGACCAATGCCTTTTACTGTGGCCAAGAGAATTTTTCCAACCGATGCCTTTTCTTCTGGCCGAGAGAATCTTTCTGCGCAATGCATTTCCCTCTGGCCAAAAGCATTTTCGGTCGGCTTTTGGAAAGTGCTTCCGGAACCGGCGTGTGTGCTGGCTGTGGGTGGGGCCGCGGAGCGCGGGGCGCACACACGTGTGACCAGCTTATTGCTGCCACACTACAAGGCTGAAAGCTGAAGGCGGTCCTGGCTGGAGGCTGAGGCACTGGAGGGCTGGAGGCTGGAGGCCTGGGAGCAGATTGCGAGTAGCAGGTGGGCCGGGGGTGGCGAGGGGGGCGGGACAGGGGGGGGGGGAATCCCATTTAGGACTGCCCTCCCACCAGCCAGCCCCCTTGCAGGAGACCTGTATTTCGGCCGTGCCGCGCCGCGCCGGGCCGGGATGGCCACCACCTCGGCACCCGCACTTTGCGCGGGGCTCCTCCATAAAGTACATCCACAAAATGCTAACCCGATTCCCCACTCCCGGCGCCCCCACGCCCCGAACGCCCTTGAACTTTGATGCGCGTCCTTTTCGACCACGTATTTATGTAGGGACCCTCCTTGCCGCGAGGCAGGTAGGGCGGGGTCAGCGGATCCAGGCCGTTGCAGGCCGTTGCATCCCCACCCACCTGCAGCGGGGAAGGGAGAGAGGGGGAAGGGCGTAAACTCGCAAGCTTTATGACGTGTTTGGCGCAACGACTGCAGTAAAGGCATGAAGCATTCCTGCGACAGATCTTCCGGAGCGCGGCGCGCGGCGCGCAGCATGAGCTCAACGCCGAGCACTGGCCCAGCCAGCACCGCGCAAGCCGTGACGTCACAGCGAACGCCGCCAAGGAAAACAAATTTAAACAAATCTTTGACTGAAGAACGAAAACGGAAGAAACGACCGTGTTGCGTCGGAAGCGTTGTGCAGTGTACAAGATTGGGAGTCATTGTATTTTTATCCGTTTTATCTTGATGTATTTTGAAAGATGAAATACTAGAGAGAGAATCGAGGCAAGTGCCTCGTCGAGACTTATATAAGAGCGTCCAGGCGTTTTTAAAATTGGTTTAGCCGGCGTGTCCTTCAGTCCAGCGCGCTGCCAGAGCCTGCCAGAGCCAGCCAGCGCTAAAGTTGGCAACATCGACGCGACGCTCGCTCTCCAGCTGCATTCGTCTTTGACACTTTGCATCCGCCAGCAGCAGGAGAGGGGCACGGGGAAAGGGGAAGGGGAGGGGGGCGGCCTGGTCAGTGTCCTTGGCGCGCGGCGCATCGTTACGTAAAGGAGGAGGCCTCACGGAGGCGAGACCGACCGCGCCGAACGGCCGAACGCACACGCACCGAGCGCCGATGTCTTTCGTGTCCGCATGCCGCGCGCTTATTCAAAAAATGCGCCTGTTTTTAAGACTGCCGGCTGCGCCGCGCCCCCTGGCCGGCGGAAACGGCGACATTGTAGTACTTCCAGAGTGCTGCCCGGCTCGGCCAGTCTGCGAAAAAGAAAGAAACCGTTTTGAGGTTAAGGTACAGACGTATAGGAATAAACTGTACTTCGACCTTCTTGGTCAATGGCGATGCTGTGCGCTGCGCGCGCTGCCCGCTGGACGACGGGGCCCGAGGGACAGGGGAGAGGGGGCCTACGACTGGAGCGGGGGAGGGGGAGAGGGGAGGGCCGAGTAAATAAATACCGTCTGCTACCTACTCCGCAGCGCTCCGCTCGCAGCCACCCGGCGCGTGACCGTTTCATAGGCATTCCGTAAACACAGCGCCGTGTTGTGTTGGCAGAGGCAGCGGCCCAGGGGGAGGGCCTCGGGGAGGACGGACGGCAGGGCGGCCTGGGCGACGCGAAGGGATTGCCTTGACAACAACCGCGGCTGAACCGCCAATACGTTGGTGGGATGGAAAATCGAGTCCCGGCATTGTTGCTCGTGGGAGTGGCGGCTGGGCGGCGTGGCCTTGAAAGGCACCAACAGGAGGAACCCGCACCAATCCCAGCAGACCAGCAGCTCGTCAAGGGTGCCATTGAAAGAAGGGATGTGCAGACCACAGGGCCCGGGGCAGCCCGGCCGCAATGACTGGCATTCTCATACTCGTCAGCACGCGAGGCAACCACAGAGGCGGAACCGGGGATGAAAGGAAGAGGGCGTCCTTCCCGGCTGGCGCGCCACATTGAGCTTTTTTAGCGTCGCGACGCCGCCTCGCGTGGTTGATGGACGTCGCGACGTCGCGGTGGAGTGTCCGTCAGACAGCGCCGTTGGCCAGGACGGTGGCGGGGAGCGGCCTGCCTGACGGGGACGTCCGCGTGCTCCGGGCAGGCACGCGCACACGTGCGAGAGGGCTGGCACGGCCCTGCCGGCAGGGCGAAGGCCGCCAAATTCGCTGCCTTTAATTAAATCGCCAAGCCACTCGTGCGTGTAATCCTCTGCGGCGTACTTGCCGGCCGTCACGTACCTGCTCGTACAGTACAGCCTCCACCGCCAGGTCCACCCCGACACTCTCGAGCGGCGTAATCGGGGCCTCCTGCTGCAGGCGGGATTAACCGGGGACTCCTAGGCAGTCTCCCGGGTGGCGTCGGGGCGTTCGGGCAGTGGCGTGGCGGCGTGCCGTCTATCTCTGGGAACCTGCAGCTGTGTTTCGCCGACGGCAAACACCAACACCCGCCCCGCCGCCCAGCCGCTGCCGGCGCCACCCTCTCCCCGCCGCAGGTGGGGTTTGGCTCCACAATGAAACGCCTCAATTTGGCGGAGTCCGTCGAGAGCAACGACCACATACAGTGCAGCGACTGCTGCTGCTGTTGTTCCACGGCTTAAACGGCTTTCCTGCCCCATCCTCTCTCCGCCGTCACTGACCCCGGCGGTTTTGCCGCTCGGCCGCATCTATACGAGATTATACGAGAAAGACCGGCGGGGGCGGCACGCGGCTAAATTGGTTGTCTGAACGTACCAAACGGAATTACTATTCGATCCACGCACACACACATAGACACACACACACGCACACACACGCAGCGCCGCGTCAATGCATGACTGCCATTATCTCGCTTCTATCTTATCAGGGGCGCTGCCGGCGTGGCGGGCAGTAGCGCAGTGGCCCCGCCCCGCCGCCCCGCCCCGCCCCCCCGCCCCGCCCCGCCATTCATGACCCCGCCCCGCCTCTCCGCGTGTACTTTGCGTTCGGGAAAGCCGAGGGAAGTTTCGGTCCGGAATACACCGGTATGCTTATGCCGCTCAGACCTGCGTCGTCGTGACTGTCGGGTCGGGGGAAGGGGGACTCCACAAGTCCGAACTCAGACCAGACCGGTCCGATCGGACGCCGGCTATCCGCCACGCCCCGCCACGCCCCGCCGCGCCCCGCCACTGCCTCGAAGGCGCTGGCGCGGTCCCGCCATGGTCCGCCGCGCTGCGCCGCGCCTCTCCCCGCCGCCTTCTGGTCGCATGGCTTGTGGTGTCAGTCAGTAGTGCGCGAGCGGCGAGCGGGGAGCGGCGCTGGGAGGCACTGCGGTGCGTCGTGGACGTGCGAGGTCGACGGGGAAGTCTTGCTGCACCTCCTCCTCCGGCTGGCGTTGAACCCAGGACACGCGGCGCTGACCGCTGCTCTGCTGACATGACCGCGGCCGGCGACTGCCCGCCGCCTGCTCCGGCCCGGCCCGTCCGGCCCGTCCGCCGGGAGGCCTTCCCCATGGCCGCCGAGTCCAGCTGACAGTAGCCGCCCGGGCTGCGTGGCGCCCCAGTGCCCCCAGTGCCCCCAGGACGACGAGGAGGTCCTTAGGACCAGCACGGCCAGCCCCCCGGATAATGTGTGGTGCCAGCAAGACGCTCGGCTCCGTGCAAGTGAGGATATTCAGTGCGTGACGGTGTTCAGTGTTCCCGCAAGACAGTGAGACAGTGTAGCGCCCCGGACAAGCCGCCGCTTCCGGTCGCCGCCGTCCCCTACAGTGCAGTGCAGAACAAGAACGCGAAACGCGCACCTCGGACTGTCGCCCGCATTCCTCCAGCATTCTGAGACACTACTTATCACCGGCCGTCGGCCCGTCGGCCACACAAACACTCCCGTCACCTTCCCGTCGACGCGGACTCCCCGACAACACTTCGCGCCAAAACCACTTAACGGAACAAGACGGCGACCCGAACCGCCAACGGGACGCTCCTGACAAAGACGCCGAGAGTCGCAGGGACCGCCAATCTCACTCTCACAAACAACCCTCCCCTCCAGTCCCCCCTCCTGCCTCCCCCCTCCCCTTGTCGCCATGAGCAAGGCGAGCAAAGCCGGGTACGAGGCGCACGCCCCCCAGCAGGACCTCGAGTCCATGGGGGCCTTGGGCGTCCGCGCGCACGTCCGCGAAGTCATGGGGATGCGCCGGTCCTCCGCGCTCCTGCTGCTCTTCGTGTTCTTCTACGTCGGCTACCTGGTGGCGGGCGGGCTGGTGTTCGCCACCATCGAGGCCCCCGCCGAGGCCCAGCTCAAGGCGTCGCTGCTGCGCGCGAGGCAGGCCTTCCTGGAGAAGCACCCCTGCGTGTCAGGTGAGGCACAGAACACAACCCGGTGGCACGCGTGTTTTCAAACTCTACCTGGTGGAACCCAAATTTCTTGAGACTCTTGTCCATTTGGCGTTATACTGCGTAGCGGTACTGACTTAAAGGAACCCAGGCACGCTTCCTGATACGCCGCGATTTGTGACAAAAGAATCGAGCGAAATTCGCTCACTCTAGTGAGTTGACAGCGTCCAAGTCCGCCACCATGTGGCGCGGCTTGTCGACGAACAGACCCCATTAAACCTTCATTTTCGAATACATTCGCAATGTCAGTGCTGCCGTGCGTTCGATTGTGTCGCCTCCTCCGAAGGTAAACTCGCCAAACACGCCAATCAGAACTTTTGTGACGACACCGAGTGTGCTGGGCATTACGCGATCACGCCGCGGTCAAAAATCTAGAATGAGACCCCGGCGGTGGAATCGTTGCTTTCTCTCCTCTTTCTTGTCACTCGTCGTGGCCCCTTCCTCAATGAATATTCTCGTCACACTGCAAAGGCGCCGCCCGGCACAGCCAATCCGAGTCCGATGCGCGCCGCCGTCGCCGCGGCAACGCTGTCTCTCTCGCACCCGGAGGGCGTCCGCGGGGGTGCGAGAGAGACAGACACGGCGGTCCATGGCAATGAGGCGGCAGCAGTGCGAAGGCGTCGCGGCGCGGAGCGAGGCTCAAATGTAGATCTTCATTATTTAAATCGACTCGCCGTGGTGGGCGTGAGCGCGTCCTGGGTTCAGGTGGGGTTCAGGTGGGGTTCAGGTGGGGTTCAGGTGGGGTTCAGGCGGGGTTCAGGCGGGGCTCAAGCCGAGGATGGGCTTAAGGGGCACTAGGTCTGCGTCCCGGCGCACATTTTGTCGCGGGTGCGAGCCGCAGAGTGGTTGTTGTTTTTTCCGGCTTTATTTTTGGAGCCTTCTGGTGCTAGTGTGTTGTGGCTTGGGGTGGGAGAGGGGACAGCAGGGTCGTGTGAGTGTGCAAGTGTGTGTGAGTGTTTGCGCGCGTGTGAGTGAGAGCCCGCCGCGCATAGTCGTTATCGAGATGCAGTGTTGGTCAGTGGGATGGTCTCGCAGAGAAAATTCCGCGATGTGACGGAGTCGATAAACGCGGGACTCGAGGACACCAATTTCTACATGATGCTGTCATTTTATTCTTTTATTTTTCTTCCTTCTCAAGTTCTCCTCCCCCTGCCTTTCCCCCCGCTCCCCTCCCCCGCCGTGATAGGCTGTACGCGTGCAGGGCCTTGAGGGGCTTCAGCTGGCTTCAGCGGGCCGGCTCTCCCGCCACCCCGCCGGCCGCATGCTCCCTCCAGCCCGTCTTCGGGATGAGAAATTCAGTCGGATGACGAGAACGAGCGGTTTTCTCGGGTTTTCTCCGCGTTTGTGACACTTCTGCCCTGCCGCACGCACGGGCGTGAAACTTCAACATTAATTACTGATTCGTTGAAGCGACTAAGGTACTCAAATTGGAAGTTGGATTTCGCGCTGTTCTCTCGACCGTGCCCTCCCCCTTCCCCTTTCCACTCTCGCCACTCTCCCGACTCAAACAACTCTCGAGTATTTTTGTTTTGCTTTTATTTTCTTTATTTATTTTTAATCCCTTCGTGTCCATGCCTCTGGGCGGAGAGGGTTGGTTTTCCTGTCCTGACGAAAGCCGCGAAACGCCGCGAAAGCGCACACTGTAATCCTTCCGGAAACTTGTTTCCGCTTCCTGGAGCGTCGCGGCCGGACAGAGTCGCAAACTCCACGAAGAGAGGCGGCGACAGCAGATGGATTGCAAACAGCGGTCGCTAGCTGTCGCTCTGCACGGGGCCCCCCATGAGTGCGAGAGAGACAGAGCGGCAAAACCGCTGTTCGGATTCGGGCCCTTCACGTGGAGGACGGCTGCGCGGCACGGCACGGCGCGCCCTTTGGGACCGCGAGGACTTTTCCGATAGAGGGACGCATATTGAGAGAACCGAAGTCCTGGTGAAAGGGCAAGGAACGCCTAAACCGCAGTTAGCAGCTAGTGCTGGGACTCGCAAAAACAAAAATCTGGAATGAATTCTCTCCCATTCTTGGTCAATGACTTGTTGTCCAGACTTCGCTCAGTAGGTTTAACGTTTATCAATGTCTCCCTTTCTTTTTTCTGCTGCTGAATGAAAGCTGTCCATAGCACGAGTCTGGCCAGGCGAGCCGTTCGACAGGCGGGGTCGAGAGTCGTGTCAAACGATGAAAAACACAGTGCTGCGTTGATGTTTATTTTTTTTTCAAAGCGACGACCACGCCCCATCAGTGGGCATCGGTTTGCTGTCTCGTTTATAATTTTCGCACGATTTTTTTTGCCGCGTTTTGCCAGAGGTCGCTCTTGCTTTCGGTGGGGCCGGTGGGGCGGTGAACCGGCTGAAGGGCGCTGTGCTAAGGGCGGAGGGAGGCCCTGCTTCTGTCTCTGGCGTCTCTGTCGCACCCTAAGGGACGCCCCATGAGTGCGAGAGAGACAGAGCGGTCTGCATGTTCCGCTACAACAGCCCGGCACTGGCTCGGCAAAGGGCGCCACAGTCCCTTTCCGCGACACTGACTCCGGCAGACGATCATGCGACAGCGATGCGATGCGACGCGACAGCGGCAGCTGGGTCAGTTTCCCTCGGTTTCCCACGGCCGCCACCATGCATAACGAGCCTGTGTAAAGGGAGGGGGGGGGGGAGGAGGAGGAGGCTCAATGCGCGCGAGGGATGCATGGCGTTGAAACGAACGCGCTGCCAAAACCAAAATAGCGTCAGCGTTCGCGCGTTCGCCTGCTGGAGTCCGAATAACGGCGGAACGGCGGAAACTCGGATAACGAGAACGAGTGCTGCGAAAATAGAAAATAAAGCTCGGGCGCTGCGCAAAAAGAAAAGGGCCGCTGAAAAATGATACGCAGTATCGCTGCCACACTGGCAGCGCTGGCAGCAGTACCCGCCGCACAGCCCGGCATTCATGGCGTTTTGAAAGCAGTGCCGGTTTTTCTGTCTTTCTCGTCGCCCTGTCGGCAGTGCCGCCACGCCCTGCGGCTCCACCGCCGTCGGGCCAGCCACGTCACTCTGTCTCCCTCGCACCGCCGGGGGGCGGCCCGTGAGTGCGAGAGAGACAGAGCGTCGAAGCCCGCTGCGACCCCCGGCAGCCCCTGCGGCCAGATGTCACCTCGGCCCCGCTAATCTGCACCCCCCCCCCCAACTTGGCAGTGGGTGTTTGTCCGGAGGCGCGGTCTCGGCGAGGTAGCCGTCGACTCCACGGCGGCACGGCGACGCACGGCGACGGGCACCCCGGCCGTCGGCCAGGCCTTATCGCGAACCCGAATTTGGCTCGCCAGCGATGTGCGGCGTGGCGTGACCCGAAAGCGGCCGAGCGGACAAGCGGGCACGAGAAGCAGTTGTTCGCAACGGCAACGACGGGAATTTATCAGCTTATTTTTGGCCGGCAGGTGTGTGGCAAGTTCGCCGGAGGAAAGTGCACACGGTGCCCAAAGGCGGCGAGTCTAAAATCGTCGGGCCTGCCAGCCTTCTGCACTTGTGTCCACACGGCGCGTCTAACTTGGGGCACACAAGGCGCTGGTGGGCGAGGCACTGTTCCCGAACACCTGCCCGCCACCGCGGCCGAACGCGCGGCCGAAATGAACCAACCCCTCTCGAGCTGGGGGCACTGGGGCTCGGCCCGGCGGGTCCCCGAACAGCACGGGGGTCTCGATGACTGCTGCCCGGCTGCTGAATAAAGATGATTTATCACCCTCCCTCCGATGGCGGCGGCAGCGCGGCAGCCCCTCGGGCTTGGCTGCGGGATGGCCTTGGCGTTGTTGGTTCAAGGTTGGCGAGCCTTAATTTCGGCGCGTAAATTAATAGCGCCACCGTGACACTACAGAAACGCGTTACCGGAAAGCCGCATCTCGACGCGGACACTTTTTTTCACGGTTTGTACTTTGGGTCCCGTCCGCCTGACGTGCGCTGTGCGCTGACGTGCCTCCCACCCCGCGCCGGTCTGACCACCAACGCGCTCTGTCTCCACCGCACCCCTACGGACCGCTCCGAGAGTGCGACAAGGACAGAGATCGACAGCGCCGTTCGGACGCAGTCCGCTGCCCCGGGCTGCTGGCAGATAGACGCAGACTTTGTATTCGGGTCGATAACGTATCGGCCGGCTCCCAATACGGTCCAGATAGATAGATGGATCATCGCGGCTTATTAGCTGCGTGTGCTTTTCCGTCTCGCTGACCTGGCCTGCAGGGTCGCGGGCCGCAGGGGAGAGAGGAAGAGAGGAGAAAGGAAAGCAGAGAAAAAGGAGGGAGCAGTCCGCTGGTGGCGACTGGCGGGGCTAGAACGATAAGGGGGCGTAACCTTCCACCGCGGGGAAGGGGCGGTCTGATTCCTTCGTCCCGCGATGTCGCGACGCCGCACTGTAAAGAGTCTCCACTTTGGAAGGCCGGCCGGAGCGCCTGCGAGGCAGGCAGGCCCGCCAGACACCGCGGCGCCCGGGTGGCCTACCCGCACGGCGCTCTGAAACCCGAGCCCGCTCCTCGTGGCGGGGCTGGAAATGAAATAGAACTCAAACTTGGAGGTAAATTCACCCCCCAGACAGCAACGCCCCGACATTACAGCAATGAGTGTCGGAGGCTTTGAAGAGCAGTCTCGATGAAGGAGGGGAGGAGGAAGGCGGAGGACGACGCGGTGACGGGCAGGATGGAGACCGGATGGAGACGGAGGGTGGAGGGTCGGTAATGGATTGGACATCTCAATAATCATCTCGCGCTCTCTTTCTCTCCCCGACGTCGAGTGGATGTCGGTGGAACGGCGACTCCGGCTCGACTCGCGACGAGGCGGCAATCCAATTCCAGCGATAACGGTAACGGCCGTCCCTCCGCTCAAAGACAGGCAGAGAGACCGGCAAAAAAGGAAAGAAAAAGGAGAAAGTGACATCGGAAAAGCAGAAGGCGGCGGCCGCGTCCTGGCCGTGTCCTCCGTGTTGCCGCCCTTCCCTGCCCTGAGCCCACTGTCCGTCCACAGCGCCACGGCGGCGCAGCGCTCGTGGGCCCCGGGGCCAAAACAGCAGCACCCCTCCTGGGGCTGCCTGGGGCTGCCTGGGGCGCTGTTTGACTTGCCGACTCGTTAGCGCGGGCCTTTTTCCCCCTCCCCTCTCCCTTCCACGTGACGGCTCGCCATTTTTCCGCCCTCTTCGCGGTGCGGGTTGCCGTGTTGCCGCCGTGCCGTTTGCTGCCTTTTTCTGCCGTTTGTTGCTCCGCCCGTCTGACGCAGCCGGCTGCTGCGTCTCCCACGCGCACTGGGCCAGAAGACCGGTGGAGGCGGCCAGAGCTCCAGACGCGTTTTGAGCTCCAGAGTCGCTGAATGGGAGGGACTCGAACCGCGCGTGTGGCTGGCCCCACCAATGGATTGCCCGTTCGGAGAGCAATCCACAATCCATTGGTGGGGTCACACGTTCGGTTCGAGCCCTATTTAGCGACTCCTCAGCTCAAAACGCAACTGGAGTTTTGGCCGCCTCCACCGGTTGCCCACTGCGCCACGCCGTGGACTAACCTCTCTCTCTCTCTCTCTCCGCCCACGAGAAGCGGCGAGTAAAAAATGAATTCCGGAAAAAAATGAAAGGGAGAAAAATATAGACGGCGCGGCGCGCGGAGACGAAGTTACTGCATGGCGCGCCTAGTCCCGCGGGGTGCTGACGTCAGAGCCACGCCCCGGCGGGGAGGGCGGGGGGCCGGCACAGTGACAGCCATCACCCCCACCGCGCCCCGCCCCGCCAGCAACACGTAACGCTGTACTCACCCGAGGGGGCCCCTCTGCATCCCCGGCTCCAGTCCGCGCCGGCCGGTGGCGGGGCGTGGTGGGCGGTGCTGAGCCGCGCCCCCACGGGGGCTGCGGGGCTGAAACGCATCCTTATCACGGGTGTGCCGTGCCTGGCCGTGCCTGGCCGTACGCCGCCTGGAGGAAAAGGGTTGCTCTGCTTTCTGCGTGGCCGACGTGACTGTGTTCTATCTCCCCGAGAAGAAAGTGCGCGGTACAGGCGCACTGCAACAAGTTCATTTCTTTTGTTCCAGATTTTTTCTGTTTCATTCATTTTCGCCTCCCTTTTCCTTTCATTACCTTAGTTTCTTTTTCCCTCTCCCTTTTCACTGATTCTTTTTCAGTGCCCTCTTTGTTCTTGTTTTTTTTGTCTTTGTTTTATCAATGCTCCTTCCGCCCATGAGGCCTGCGTTTCGGTTTCTGTATCCATTTGGTCGAGTTTTTTCTGAGGTACCTTTCCAGCACCCCCCCCCCCACCACCACCACCCCTACAACTCCCAGCCCCACCATAGCTCATTTTAATTCCACCATTGTCCCTTTTGCACAGGACCCCCGCCCTTCCCCGCACCTCCACCCCCCTCCCCCCACGCAACCCCCAAGTCTGCGGAGTCTGTGGCACTTCTAATTGCGACAACTCTTGACACTGCTAGAGGACGCGAGCAGGGAGCAGGGCCTGGCCTCGGCCTGGCATACCAAGAGTAAACGCACTCAGAGAAACTTTCCCTTTGGCGCGCGTTTTCGCCTAATTCTTCATAAAAGCTTCCCCCTCTTTTTTTTCTGCGACGCAACTCCCCCGCGCGTGTTTCTTCTCCCCTTTTCCGCGGCATTCCGCGCTTCGTTTTCGCCGCGTGCTGCTGGCGGCGGAGGCCGCGCGGCTGTACACGAGTGATTCCATCCAGGTCGTACATCAAGCAAGCCTGGCTGCCTGGCTGCTGTGCACAGCAGCCATGGGAGCGGGCTGGAATGGAGTGGTGCGGCCAGGTGGTGGCCTGGCGCTTCGTCGCTTCGTCGCTCACTCAACAAAAGGCCAGGGGCAGCGCGTGGGCGGGGCGGGGCGGGGCGGGGCGGGGGGGGGCGGGGCGGGGCGGGGCAGCCACTCAAACCGCGCGCCATTCAACTCGCCGAATCACGCCGAGCACGCCCTCGGCCCGGCCAGCACGGCCAGCCCGGCCGCAGCGGGGTGCTTGGGGACCCGGCCCGAGATTGTTCCGTGGTCCCCGCGTGGCCCGGCGGCGAGCCGGGCGGTCCGGCCTCCGCCTCGGCCCGGCACCGCGGGACCGGAGTCGGGATGAGGATGAGGATGAGGATGAGGATGACCACAATGCAGGCGGGGGAGGGGGTGGAGGGTTGGGCGCCGTGGGGGATAACACCACCGCGGCAAGTTTCGACAACACCGCAATCTAACGAGTTCTCTCTGTGCCCGCAGACCTGGACCTGGAGATGCTGCTGAACGAGGTGGTGTGGGCCGCGGACCGCGGCGTGTCGGCCGTCAACAACGTCACTGGCCACCCCAACTGGAGCTTCGGCCAGTCCATCTTCTTCTCCTCCACCGTCGTCACCACCATAGGTCAGTCCGGGCTGGCGGCAGGGCTGGGGTCGCCGCTCACGGCCAAGGCCCTCGTCCAGTCAATGGGAAAAGAGAGAGAGGGGGTGGGGGGGTTGAAGCGATTTCAAAAGCCGTTCTCTTTTCCCGCGCGGGGTCCCACGCCACTGCCACTTTGCCGCGGGCCGTGGCGCCGCCCGCCGCGCGCCCCGCGAGGACCACAAGGTGGTGGGAGTGACACGAGCACTCTGGAGGTCGCGGCGCGGCGGTCGACAAACCCATTCCCCCTCTCTCTCTCTTTCTCGCGGCGAGCCCCTTCGCATGCCGTCGACGTACCGATGCGCCCCGCGGCCACGCCCCGGCAGATAAGGCGACCGAAATAAAAGGCAAAGAGGCAAAAAGGCGCGAAGGAAAAGGAGAAGCAAAGGCGGTGCAGTGATGACGCTGCGCTGCACGGGCTGCACCCGCATCGAGGTTGGCGCGCCCTGGTTGCCCCCGGTTCCCCCGGTTCCCTCGTCCGCGCTGGCGGCGCGCTGGCCGAATCGGTGTCACTCTGCGCTGCGGTCTCATTCCCAGGGGGGACCTCTCTCTCGCACTCATGGGCCTTCTCTGGCGGAGCAGAAGGGTTGTCTCTCTGACGTGGTCGCCGTTGCAGGGTACGGACACGTGACGCCGCTCTCCAAGGTGGGCAAGATCTTCTGCATCGTGTACGCCATCTTCGGCATCCCGCTGACGCTGGTGCTGTGCACGGCGTTGGTGGAGCGGCTGCTGGTGCCCGCCACGCTGCTGCTGCAGTGGCTCAACGCGCGCCTGGGCCACCTGTACCAGCCCTTCTACATCCGCCTGCTGCACCTCGCCATCATCGTCTCGCTGCTCGTCAGTACAGCCAACATTTAAAAAAAATTAATTTGCTGCTCGTTTAGGTTGAAAATGAGTGCACAGTGAATGCGTGATGCAGGTGAGCCTGTTCCTGCTGATCCCCGCCGCGGTGTACGCGTCCCTGGAGCCGGAGTGGGACTACATGGACGCGCTGTACTACTGCTTCATCTCCCTCACCACCATCGGCCTGGGCGACTACATCCCCGGCGACTACCCCGGCCAGGCCTACCGCCCGCTCTACAAGGTCCTCACCACAGGTACCGTGCACGCAGTTCCAAAGCGCCAAAAAAACAGCCACGCGCGTCCGCCGTCCGCCCTCACTGACCGAGCTTTCTGTTGCAGTGTACCTCCTGGTGGGCCTGACCTTCACCATGCTCACGCTGGCCGTGTTCTGCGACATCCCCCAGCTTAACGTGGGCCTGCTGTTCCTGGCCCGCTCCGACGAGACCACCAACGACCCGGAGAAGGTCCGCCTGAACCAGCCGGCGTGCCCCCACACGCAGTACACCCAGCAGCGCGTGCACGTGCGCACCCGGCTCGACTCCCCCAGCCCCGAGGAGGTGACCCCCGTGCACGCGCGGCCCTAGACCTAGAGCCTGGCCCTAGAGCCCAGGCGGCCTCACGCAGCACTCTGTGGGCACACCGTAGGCATGCCGACGGCGCCTCCTCGGGGCTAGCCGGGAACAGCAACAGACCTGGCGCACCCCACCCCGAGGAGACAGGGCCTAGGCGGGCCCTAGACAGGCCCTAGGAAGGCCCTAGGCTGGCCCTAGGGCGCTCCTTCCCCCTCCCCTTCCCCAAGGTCGAAGCCGTCCTCGACCAGTAGGCTGGTCCCAAACGGAGTTTTCATCGCTGTCTCTCTCGCCCCCGTACGGGATGCCCCACGAGTGCGAGAGAGACAGGGCGACGACGATGTGCGGGATCGCTCGGCAGCCCACTGTAGTCCCTTCTTCCGGGCCGGGGCCAAGCTCCCGCCCAAGCACCTCCACGACGAAGAGAGCTCTGCCCCGGCGGCCAAGCGGCGAAGCGGAGCCCCGGAAACAGCGGGGAAGCCCCTCGGCGGACCATCGGGGAAGCGTAGCAGCGACAGCCAGACGAAGTAGCGGCTCGCGGGGCTGGGCGCGTGACGGCGTGACGCTCGTGGGGAGACCTCTTTTCGTCTGTGGTCGTCTATCCATATCGTCGCCTCAAGTATTTCCCTTTAACACTAGTCATATTGGTCCTCCTTCTCCCTCAAGCCCACCGTGGCGTACTTCGTACTTCTACTGCTGACTATGGCTGAGCTTAGTGACGACTCTCGCCGAGTTTAGACTCACGGCCACCACCCTTCCTAACATGGACCTCACCTTCCCGCTGCCTTTTATCTCTCCAGTACGTTGTGAAACATTTCAAAATAAATCTATGTAGTGTACTGTTCTTTATGTAGGAGCGTCCGGCTCTATCTGTAGCGGCCGCCAGTGGCATGAGTAAGTCAACTCGCCGCCGCGCAAATGTTTTCTTGTTTCGGTTTGCTGTTTGCTTCGTAAGAACTTAGAAACATTTCATCGTAATTATTTTTGGCCGCTTTATAAAAAGTTAACGAATAGAGGAAGTTTAGTCTGGTGCTGGAGGGTTGGACGGGAAGTGCTAAGAGGGTCGCTACTTTTCGTTTTGTTTCGGAGTGTCACAAGGGAGAATAAATAACCAGTCACTCTCTATTTTGCGAGGGAGGAATCTCCATTCAGCCATGACGCGCAGCGCAGACTGATTACAATTTACAAGTAACTAACGCACATGGATTCGTTCCCGACGCATTGTGCTAATAAAACTGCTGGTGACGTACACGTTTTATTTTTCGAATGCCCTCCTCACCCGGTGACTTTGATCAGCGTTGTTCTCGCCTCCGTTAGAGGTCTGTTAATCTACAACCATCTTTAGATTAGGCTGTGAAACGATGTCTAGAATATATTTTATGTAATTTATGATGCACTCATAGCAATGCGGTATACACTCGCGTCAGGTAGGGAATTCCCTTCCTCGGACCAAATCCTCCTATTCCCGCCACTTTTCAATATTCCTAGAAATTGAACAAAGGTTCTGGATGAAGTCTCCTCGAACTTCGGACAGTCCACCATCGTCGGAGTCATGGCGCGGTCCAGAATCTTATGACTTCGACTCAAAGTAATAGACTTTCCGACTGTCCTGGAACTCAAATCAAAAGCACCGCTTCCGCACACAACCAGTGGATGTAGTGTATTTCGACAAGTACCACAGTAGGAGCACAATCAAAATATATAGTGTCAGCAGTGCTACTATAAAGAAACAGTGTTGTGAATGTTAAGGTGAACGCTTGTTTTCGATGTAAGTAGAAGACATGTATTGGAATCAATAAATCCACCACTGACCGCTATTTGTGTTTCCTTTCTACCTTCAAACTTCCCTTGCCTCCCACTGCACCACTATCAATCTCCGGTACACTTGACACATCAGCGCGTGATTCAAATTTCGCGCGCAAGCCGCCATGTGCCTCTTGTCGTCTGTAGTAAACAGTTGACTGGCGTCGAAGGCGCGAAGAAGTTGTTGTTCACTGTTTACGCTTGCACCAAATTAGGATGTTGAATTGTGAATTTTGTCCTATGTAAGGAGCAACAGTTTGGTCCACCCCTTTCAACATGTAGGGGCTCTTCTTCTGTCCTTATCAGTGTGCACCGGAACTAGTTGCAGCGGGTATTCACATGAATATGTCGAAGAACCAAAGCCTGTGTGTGGCCTATCTTGAAGAAATAAACAGAAGGTTTTGAAACTTCAGGAAATATGAGGCTCAACTGTACGGTTGAACGCCGTGACAGGCAATTTCCGACTCTTGCTGTGAAAGGGAAGCGTCCCACAGCGTCAGTTTTAAGTATTGGACTTAAAACGAATAAGGGAGAAGTAGCTATAATCCATCATTCAATCACAACCAAAGAGAACACTAGTTATAATGTAAGACATTTGTTCATTTCTTGTTATCATATTTCTCTTTTATTGGTAAAGGGCATGTTTTCTTGAGTATCCTGTCATTGTTCCAGGTGAAAGGAAATATCCTCAAAGTCCATTCCAAGTTTATTGAGGAGGGCAAAACGACGATCAGTTTTGCACAGCCTCCCCATGACCTCATGATTAAAGCCAATGATGTAATTCAATTAAAGTCTTTCCTTGGAAGCATTCGTTCAGTTTTACAGGGAAAAGAATTATCCAAAGGTGGTGGTGGCTTGTCAAGTCTGAATGCTCCGGTCAAAGTACACAGACCGAAAACTACTTTGGTTATTACAAGCGGAGGTCAATATCCGGTTCTTGAAGGATTTCCACGGACCCTGGTCCATCTTCAGGTCATTTACCAAAGCCCCTTTGCTGTTAAATTATTTTTATTTCAATGTAGTGTTTATGCAAATTTTATCGTTTCTTGTTACAGATCAATGGTCTTGAGCGTGCAACTTTTGACAGCAGAATCCTGAAACTCAATCTTCTGAAAACCCTTGATTTAAGTAACAACAAATTGAAAATTTTACCTCGCGGTTTGGGTGATCTTCCCAATTTATCTGAACTTCTCTTAGCAAATAATGATCTTGGATCAGCAGCCAGACAGCGTGGAGCTTGGGACTGGCTCCGCGGTCCTCAGCTGTCAAAGGGTTTGCAGTTATTGGATCTACGCAGCAATGATGTGCGTTTCTCTAATGGCTGTACTTGTGAATAATATTATGATAGTTATTTATTAACTTATGAATACTTTTCTTCTCAGATACCAGCTTTGCCAAGCTTTATCAGAGACTGCGTTGGGCTGACCACCTTGAAACTGGATAAAAACCAACTAACAATTTTGCCTAGTGGGATTGGTAAAATGTCATCATTGAGGTAAATGCTGTACTTCCCTTTTGTTATGTGTTATTACGTGATTGCTTGTAATAACTTTTTCTTAAAATTTTCAGAGAGTTATATGCATCTCAAAATAACCTGAGGTTTTTGCCGGGATCAATGAAAATGATGGCGCCTCCTCTCACCCATCTTGATGTGTCAAACAACCCTTTTACAGGGGAATGCATCACTACTCAAATGATCACCATGAAACCTCTCAGCCTTAAAGAGCTAGCCGCAAGATGTGTCATTGCAAAAAAAATATTTGTCAGTGAGGCCATTATTCCTTTAACAGTTTTACAATTTATGCATGGGTGTGACTTTTGTGCCTGTGGAAGTGCCTGTTTTAACCCAGCCTACAGTAAGATTGTTTATAGTTGCATAGGAAAAATTGCATCCTCTTACACTGTATCCATTGGTGAAAGCACACACAAGCCCTTTAGAATGAGTATTTGCTCTGATCGTTGTATTCGTAACAAATTCGCAGATCAATTGGCTTCTTGACCATTAAGTTCGATGTATGCCTGCCCTTGGTATGCCCTTTAATTTGGCAGGAAACGTACATCAATGATGGCCTAGCTCTTATCTTTTTGATAGATGTACATACTGTATTTCAAAAGTACGTATCATGATTGGACTGATTTTAGTGTTTTATTGTTAGTGTACTAGTGCTGTATATTTTTTTATCAATGCTCATGACTGTTGACTAGGAACTTTCTAGTTTTGTGGATTATGGGAACTATTTTTTCATAATCGTTATCTCCCTCATTTGAATGAGCCCTTTTGTACAAATCACAAATAAAAACAGTACCAATGTGCTCTGCTGGGTGTAATCTTGATCTTAAGTAATAATATATATTATTGGTATGTGATATTGAGGTCCTAGTATGTGACTTGACTTAATAAAATCTACAAATCAAAAATAATTTTGGCATTAATTTATTGCCCAGAACATGAACATGGAATAGCATAAATAGACAAGCAAGTGGTATGGTAGGAATAAGATGGAGCACGGCATGTGCCAGTGAGAACAATTGTACTACACAGTTGACTACCACAGCAAAATTGCTGCTGTACATGCGGTTTGTCAAAACAAAGATGAAGTATTGGAAAGAGAAAAGAGATTACATTAATTTCTAAATCTGGTTTATTAAGAACATGGCACATTCTACTATGTCATCAGATCTACCTCTAAACCTGTAAATGGAGAGAATTCCAGCTAAACACGTCCCCCCCTTTTTGCACAAGTATGTGCACAACAGTAGCCTCCATCGCACATCTGCAATACCACCCAATTCTCTAACTTGATCGATTCACATCCAATAAAGCATTAAAACCGAAAAAAAAGTATTTCAAAGACAAGTAGAATGTCAAAGTAGTGCTGAATACTAGTCAGCACTATTTTAAAACCCCATTATCCAAGTACAGGCGGGACAAAAGTCAAAATTCATTACATATATTAAAAACAAATCATCTTTGTTACAAGAAACACTCACTCTGTATGATACAGAAACATACACACTAAAACATTTACACACTTAAATGTGGACAATACTTTTGGTGCACAAATGAAAATAAAAATATAAAATTTAATAATGCACATATCAGAATACACTACACCAGTGTACGATTAACAATTTTATCAATCACACAGAATAAGCTATTATTTTCCTGGCTCAAGAAATCCTTTTAGTTTCCGAACAGAAAACATTCAAATTTAATCCATTCAAATAGAAAAATATTAAGGTATATTGATGAGACAACCTGAACTGCTAGAAATTAAGGATGAATTTGTTTGTACAATACCTTTTCACCTAGTACAGAATTGATATTTGCTTAGTTCATAGACAATTACTTAAATATATAGTTTTCTTGGTAAAGCAACAAGACATGATGCATGTCCAAAACAGGGCAATCATGTGTTACATGAAATCATTTCATTCCTCTTAATATTGACAACTCTTACAAAGAACACAAACTACACATTGATGACAATCATCTAAAACATATAAAATGAGCAGAGGTAAGCCATATCAACAAAAAGGAAAGAAATTAAAAACTGCATGATTTACAATGGTTTCAATACTTCATTTCATAGAAACAAAAAATAAAATTGTTTTATAAAAGCTCTACCTCCATCCATAAATAATCACCTCACAGACAACTAAACAATTCTAAACATTTCATTGATTTACAAATCGCGTTCTCCAAGTTCATGACATAAATTTTTTTATTGTGTAGAAACAATCAAAATAATAAAATAATAAACAATCAATGCTTAAAATTGTAATATAGAAGTTGAATTAATACATCTCTCCATCACACCTTCCAAATCACGTCTGGAGTAAAACTATTAAAATTGGAGCTTACATAAAATATAGTTCTTCAGTCCATGCGTTTTGTTTTATTTTCACTAGGCCTTCTTGGGCGGCGTCGTGGGGCTGGGCTTCTTGTTTGCCCCCCGCGATGAGGGCGACTCCGCCTCTGAGGCCGCCGTGCTCTCAGAGGTGGCGGCGGGGGCGGGGGCGGGGGCAGTGGGGGTCGGGGCGGCTGTCACAGCAGGGGCCTTCTGCTCTCCCTCCGAAGCGGCGGGGGCGGCTGCAACTGCACTGGCGGCGTCCGCGGGCACGGACGCGGGGGCTGCAGCTGTGGCCGCGGGGGCGGTGGTGGCTGGAGCGGCCTCGGCGGCGGGGGTGGGGGTCGCCGGCGCTGCTGGCGCGGAGGCCTCGGCGGCTTCAGCAGCCTTCGGCTTGGGGACGGCCTTGGGGGCCGCGTCCTCCTTGGCGGGCTCGGCGCTCTCCTTGTCCGCTTCAGCTGCCTTGGTATCTGCGAGGAACAGAGATTAGAGTCAGTAAAGCAAGTGAGGCAAGTATTTCACCGCCGAACCGACAACAACAAGCGCCACAGCCGCCACTTACTTCTTGACTTGGTCGCCCTGCTGGCGGCGCCGGCGGGGGCGGGGGCTGCGGCTTCGGGCTCCGCGGCGTCGCCCCTCCTGCCCCTCGCGGGTGGCTTGCGGCCGGCTGGTGCCGCCGCGGTCGACTGCTGTGCGGCGAGGGCGGCCTGGGCGGCGGCCTTGGCCTCCGCGGCGGCCTTCTTAGCCGAGGCCGCAGTGCGCGCGGTCTTGGGGGTCTTGGCGTCCTTCACCTCCTTGGTCTCCGCCTCCTTCACTTCCTTGGCCTCCTTGGGCTCCTTGGGCTCGGCCGGCGCCGGACTGGCCTCCGCTTTCCTCTTGGTGGCGGCCTTGGCCGCGGCCTTGGCGCTGCCGGGGGTCTCCTTGGCCTTCTCGCGCTCGGAGGCGCGCTCCGCTCTGCTCATGGTCAAGAGCGGCTTCTCCTTCCTCTCCGCGGCGAGTGCGGGCGACTTGGCGGCCGGCTTGCCCTTCCTGCCGGACCGCGGGGACGCTGCCTTCCTGGCGGGGGTGCGCTTGGGGGAGGCGGCCGCCCCCGCCTTCTTCTTCTCGGCCTTGGGCTTCGCTTCCTTCTTGGTGGGGGTTTCTGACCGGCGAGCTCTCTTGGGGCTGCCAGAGGACGCCTTGCTCTGACTTTTCCTCTTCTTCTTGAGCTGGGCTTCGTCTTTGAAAAGAGACAGGTCCACTGAAACAGAAAGTAGAGATAAGTTGGGCGGAAAAAAAGTTTCACCTCACTTCAACACAACAATATTCTGACACTTACATCCATCAGGGTGTTCTTCAGTGAGTTCTGGTTTCTCTGAAACTCCTTTCTCAACGTCCAAAGCTCTTTTAAGAATGCTTTCTGTTCTCACAGTCTCTTCTTGTGACAGGTTATATTTATTCTTATCCAGTTTATCCAGGCTTAAACTTGTGAGAATACAGTCAAAATCTGAAAACACACAAAAAAAAAAAAAAAAAAAACAACGAGAAATTAGATACACAAAACAAGCTGAAAAGCAACAAACGCATTTCTCAACACTTTACATACCTGTTGTATCATAAAAATCAGGGGAATAAACTGTTCCCTCTTCCACTTTCTCATTTTCTTTCTGAGAAAGCCACCTGATTTTAATCCGGTGACTTGTTTTGTACACATTTTGCATTGCTTGGCAAACATAAAAACCACCTTCGGAGTTTCGCACAGCTAAAAACTCGTTCCTGGAAAATTAAGATGAAGATTATTAAAACATCAAAAGATTACGGACATGCACTTAATAACATAAAAACTTGGAGTGAGTCATACTTGTAGAAAATGACAAGTTTTTCTTTGTCAATATCCTTCTCCACCTTCACTTTCTTTTCAACTGCCACTTTAGCAGGAGTCTTGACCTTAGTGACAAATAAATCTGGCATTGGACTCTGATACGGCTGGACTGGGACACGTGTTCGCTTGGATTTGGAATCATCGTCAGTCGAACTTGGAGTAGATGGCTGGAAAAAGACATAGTACTCATAAATAGGCGCCAGCAAAGAATTACCTATTGTCAGAGTCAGGAATGTAACAAAAGAAAAATAGATCTTACAGTGTCTCTCTTGCGTTTGTTTCGTGCTGCTGTCGCAGCTTTCTCTTTCTCTTTATCCGGCTTGTCAACTTTGTCCGCACCTCGCTTGGGTGTGACAGGAGAAGAGGATGCTGCGGCAGTCTTCTCTTTTTCCTTTTCCTCAGTAGAAGTTACAGTTGAGTTCGTTTTCGCAGGACTGGCTAGTGGCTTTTCAGCGGATGCAGCACCACTTGGAGGAGCTGGGGGAGTGCCTTTCGCGGGTGTGACAGCAGGGGATGAATTTGTCGGTTGAGACTTTTCAGGTGTGGCTGATAACAAAAGACACAAAACATTAAAATACATAAAAAGAAAAAGAAAATTCTTAGAAATTATATTAAAGGTAATATAAAGATAACAAATATCCATGCCCACAAAATGAGTTAAATACTAAAAAATAATATCATTTCTGTACCTTTTGTAGGCGTGGCACTGTTTTGAGCAGGTGTTGCATTATTCACAGGAGACAACGCAGGAGCGTTAGTTTGAACACCAGTGGTTGGCGCAGGAGTACTAGCTGGGGCAGAAGGGGGGGCAGTGTTGGGGGCCAGAGTAGAGGCTGGCGGGATGGCAGTGACATGGTTCGATTCTTCTGGCTTTTTGTCATTAACTGAGGGGGATGTGGCCTTTGATGCCTCGACACCATTAGGAGTTGTTTTGGCTGCTGAAGCTAAAAAAGGGGAAATACATTGGAAAGAATAATGAATAAAGAACATAGAAACATTAAATACATTAACAAATATGAGACAAAACATTTTCCTACCAGTTTCTTTAGCCTTCTCTGGTGTTTTCTCGCTAACTAGGCTCATTGTCACATTTGGAGCACCGGCATGGTTTTTCAATGGGCTCGTGGGGGCTTGTGACGGGGGCTGTCCACCAGCATTGGGTGCTGGTAGCACGGCTTTGACAGCTGGAGCACTCATGATTCCCTGCAACACAACCACAAAAATGAAATATTAGCTTAAAGAAACGACAAACTAGGAGGGAATCAATGGAAAGATGTAGAGGTGTGAATCTTTCGAGATGACACAGCAATGTAAACAATCATAACCAATCAGCATAACAGTTATGAAAAAGTACAGCCGTTAGCTTAAGAAATGTATAATTACTCCAAAAATTGGCGTTTCATTGGTACAAAGTAGCAAGAATATGAAAAGAAATATCCACTTAAAATGAAAACAAACGAGTAAATAATAGTGATAATGCGTTAAATTCGATCTGTGCGAGCGACTTTCGTAATGAATGAGCCCAGAAACCGATGCAGGGCAACAGGTGCACGGTTACTGCTTTGCCGCTAATATTCCAGTCCCGATGGGCCATTGGCGTCGATACAACATAACCAATACAGGTGCAATAGGTTAGAACGCGACTTTCGTTTTTTCACTGTTTATTTACATCAGTTCCCAAACAAAGTGTATCGCGATTTCAATGCTCTCGTTCAAAATTGAGACTCCAACGTTTCTTTCAAAACTAGCAGAGGGAATAACGCCGGTATTCCCACACCGCTACGCATCTACAGGCTCTGCTGGCTCTGCGGCGGAGCCGTAGTCTGGCTTGGCTCGGTAGCCAAACAACCGCCACTGGAATGGGCTTGAAAACATCGTTTTATCGGCATCCCTCCTCCGGCTACGTACAAACAAAAATTCGTAGAAAACGAAGACGAATATATTTCTTCCAGTGGATCAGGAATGAATTAACAGTTTGTGTTTATCTAAGTGATGCGGGTACTTGCCTACTCCTTTTCGGCTGTGTCCGGTACAGAAACCTGGAGACTTCTTGCCTTTCTTGCGTAAAGTACAGTGTTAATCACCACTTCACAAATCGCTGCGCATAGGAGGAGATCTCTAGTCAATCTCAGCACAATTTCAAGTCTATAGACCGGCTTGATTCCGCATCAAAGGTGAAAATTCCGCCATAATTTCGGATAATGTCACAAAATTTTGTCCTTTTGAGGCACTCGATGGCGTCCAAAAGCCCCCAAGATCCTTTGCGTCTTGTTTGCACCGCCAAGGAACAGATGAAGGTCGTGGCGCGTGGCTTGAGAGTGGCGCGCTAATTTCAAACGATGGGTGGCTTCGGTCGGAATGACGGGTGTCCGGTATCGTCAACAAAATGCAAGTTTATGGAACGATTTCTTGTATTTTGACGTTCACGAGTGTGCAATCACGATTTCAATTCCGTGAGTTTGTATGCCTAGGCGAACCACTACGTATGGGACTATGCAAATAAGATCGTCGTCTGCTCTTGCGTCACTGGTGTTTTTGTCATGCCCTGAGCTGGGACTGTCGGCAGAGCAGAACCTTGACTCTTGCCACAAACCTTTGGGTTCCATTTCGTGAAAATGTCCCTACGTCACGTGTGTTCTGCTCTGTCGAGGAAGGTCAGGCTCTCTGGACCTAACTGCCTGCGGCAAAATCTTGTAAGTCCGATTCTTCTCATCAATTTTACAGTTATATGCCGACCGGTTGCTCGAGGTTATGTGGTTGTGAAACCATATGAACCGATAAAAAAGATTAGAATTCGAGAATTTTCTTCCTACCGTCAGTGTTTACTCAGTGATTTCCACCATTTGATATCCCTTGTTTTGTGCGTTCTCACATTTTTTCAGATTTCCCAGGCCCGTCATTATGCACATCCAGCATCTAAGAGCCAGTTGGAAGACGAGTCTGCAAAATTTCCTGGAGCTAAGGCAAATTACACCCATTCCCTGGAGCTAGTGCCACCAGGATCAACCGATCCCTTTCCTGTTTATAGAGTTATGGACCTGGAGGGTCAAGTGCTGAATTCTTCCGAGGACCCTAAGGTAAACCAGTTAAATTGCTGTTTCTTTGTCCCGTTCAATAATTTCAATAACTTAAAAAAAAAAAATTCGTTTGTTTCAGTTGAACCAAGATATTGTTGAAAAAATGTATAAGGATATGACAATGCTCAACACCATGGACCGCATTTTATATGAGTCTCAGAGACAAGGACGTATATCATTTTATATGACAAGTTATGGAGAAGAAGCTACTCACATTGGAAGTGCTGCCGCATTGAAACCAAATGATCTTGTCTATGGCCAGTACCGTGAAGCAGGTTTGTATGAAATTTGGATTTTAATACCAAGCATGGCATTGGTCTACCTGTGTCCTTTATTTACTTTGGGTTTGTTTTAATTTTTTTAGGTGTGTTGCTTTGGAGAGGCTTTACTTTAGATGAGTTTATGAACCAATGCTATGGAAATTCTGGGGATGAGGGCAAAGGTAGGCAGATGCCTGTACACTACGGTTCAAGAAAATTAAATTTTGTCACCATTTCATCTCCACTTTCGACACAAATGCCTCAAGGTAAGTGCATTGGTCTGAAAATTTTATAGAATTTTTATTTTAATTTGGTGCTGTTATATTGTTAATTTATTTTGGTACCTATCTTTGGAACAGCTGTTGGATCTGCCTACGCAATGAAACGATCCAAAAGTGGAAACTGTGTGATAGTGTACTTTGGGGATGGGGCTGCCAGTGAAGGAGATGCCTATGTAGCTTTCAATTTTGCTGCAACTCTTGACTGCCCTGTAATTTTCTTCTGGTATGTCTTAGAAATTCCCTTTAAATTTATTATGACAACTTCAAAGATTTATAAAGAAGTTACCTTTTTCCTTTTCTTTTCCAAGTCGCAACAATGGGTTTGCAATTTCTACTCCTACACATGAACAGTACAGAGGTGATGCGGTTGCTGGTCGTGGCCCTGCATTTGGTATTACCGCTATACGTGTTGATGGTAATGATGTGTTTGCTGTTTACAATGCTACAAAGGCTGCAGCAGATTTGGCTGTTAAACATAACAAGCCTGTCATTGTTGAAGCTATGACTTACAGGTAATAGACCTTTTTACAAAATATTTCTCAGTCTTTTTTTCTGCTGTTTTCTTTTTATATTCCTATCATTTATGAAATTTTAATCACCACAGAGTCGGGCATCACAGCACCTCTGATGACAGCTCTGCATATCGTTCAATTGAGGAGGTAAACCTATGGGATTCTACTGACCAGCCCATAACACGCCTCCGAAAATACATGGAACGTAAAGGATGGTGGAATGATTCTCAGGAAAAGGAATGGAAAGAAAGCACTCGTAAACAGGTAGTTAAAATAATTTAATCACATCTCGTGCGTCAATTCTCTCTCTCTTGTGAACTTCAATTTTTCCACTATTTTGTTAAGGTCCTGAAATCATTTGGTGAAGCAGAGAAACGGCCAAAGCCAAGCTGGAAGGAAATGTTTAATGATGTTTACAAGGATGTCCCTTCTCATTTGAGGTAAAATTGGAAAGAGATCTTTTGCACATTTCTTGCATGTTAATGTTTGAGGGAAAAAAAATACAACCTTATGTCTTATTGCAGGGAGCAAATGAAAGAGATGGAGGACCATGTTCAAAACCACAAAGAGCACTATCCACTCTCATCTTACAAATCATAAGGTTGTTTGATTTGAGAACAAGTGTCAATTACAGCGATTTTGCTGATGTGTGCCATTGAAACTAAGACTGGAGAATCACCTTTGAAGTACAAACCATAAATTTTTAAAGTAAGCGTTATTTTAAAAAATAAATGGAGAGAAAGATATGTTATGGAAACATGAATTTTCTTTAAGATTGTGGGAGAATTTTATATAAAAATATATTTATACAGTAAATGGGTTGGGTTGAGTCTTTGAGCAATTTTATACATTTTAAAAATGAAATTTTGTTACATGTGTGTGCATTGAATAAAGTATGATGTTTATTTCCACTCTTTCATATTTTTCCTAGCACCTCAATGTTCAAAGACAACTTCTCAAATCATGTTCCTTCCCCGGGGAATGGCATCTCTCCATGATTCTCGCATGGTTGGGGTAGAGTCCGCTAGGTGGCAGCTCGTGTCTGAACTATGCTGGCGATACCCCGCGCACGTGATCCCCACGTTCAGTTCACCCACTCCCCTCTTCCTCTTGTTACGAGGATGAACTGAGAAAGGACGTGACTGTGTTCCCCAAATTTGCGTCGGATGACCAGCCGCTGGTAGTGCTGTAGTACCGTCTACGCTGTGGTAGCACCTCCACCGTAGAGCCCTAGGACTCTACTGCACCGCAGTCAGCAGCCCGCTGGCAGTTGGGTTGCCTACCTTCAAGGCGTACGGGGTGGGGCATGGGGCTTTCACCCTCTCTCGCCCAGGGGTCGCAAAAAAGGTTTAATTAAACAACTTACTTGACCGTGACACGTTGATTCACAAAGTAAGTTAAGTATTGTTTGTCAACCAAAGTGGGACAGACTGAAAATAACACACAGGTGTGTGAAAAAGAGTAATTAAGGTGTAGTGTCTTCCGGTTCCCTCCAATCGGAGTCCCCTCGGCCAGTCTTGTCTTTTTTTGTTTTGTTTTGGTGTTGTGTCCGCGGCCGGGCCGCGAGGAGCCGCGAGGGGTGGGGGTTGGGAACGGGGTGGGGGTGTGATGCGGCAGCCGGGCCGCCGGGCAGCTCCCCTCTGAGAGGAAGTTGTATTCGCGTTTCCCACGACCAGCGGGATCCTCGCGGCCAAGGGCTAGTGCGCGGCTGGAAGGGGTGGAAGGGTGGGTGCGGCGCCAGCACTGCACCAGCACTGCGCCAGCACTGCCTTCACTTCGCTCCCATTCCCAAACGGCGCCGGGTCGTGGAAGCGTCGGCATGGGAACGAGCGGCTTAGCGCTTCTGGGAACGCGGGGCGCGGGGCACTACACTGGCGGATCGGCACCCTCTGCGGACCAAAGCTGGCGCCCCACTCCATCACCGCGACCTCAGCGACAAACGAGATCGGGGCAAGGATTATTTCTGCGTCCGGGACTCTGGACTGCGGCCCCACCGCTCCGCCGCCAGCGGTGGTTCCGGCCGGACTACGGCGTTCTGTCGGCATGCAACTATCCATCTGGCATCTATGCCCAGCAGGGGTCAGCCAGTGGGTCCCCTGTCGCGGTGATGTTTCGACAGTTTAGAAAAAACTGTCGCGAGGACGGCAATTTAAAATTGATAGCAAAGCCATTCCGATTAGGTTCGCTTCATATCACCGGCCTAGGGCGCGGACTCTCAGCCGTAACTTTTCCCCCCGCAAGTTCGTTCCGCAATTGCCGCCGCCTTGCGATCCTGTTCAATGAATGGATAGAGACGTCAGTGCCTCGGTGGGCACATCGCCGCCGTCAGCAGGCTGCGTCTGTCTCTCTCGCACCCCTTACGGGCAGCCCCGTGAGTGCGAGAGAGACAGAAGCGCTGTTCGCGAAATCGCTCTGCTGGGGGTGGGCGCGGCCTACGTGGTCGCGCAACGGGGGCAGCAGCGCAGCGGCACGTCAGCGATGACGTGTGGGGTCCCGCGGGGCCCGGGCCGCCGCCTCGCGCACTTCGCGCCGCAGTTTGGAAACGCTCCTTTTTGCTGCAAAGCCATCAAAGTGCCTGCGGAGTGCGGTCGGGGTGGGGGGCGGCCTCTAGGCGGCCCCGGTGTCGTCGTCGGCGAGGGTTGCGCGGCGGCCGAGCTGGCCGGCCATACATTTCGTCACGCCGCGCGCCGATCGCGCCGATCAGGCCCATTGTGTGTTGGTTCGACAACAAAAATCGAACCAACACATCCGCATTCTCAAGCAGTGATCACGCCCCGACCCTCAATCAGCTCCACATTCGGCCGGCTTGGCCGGCTTGGCTGGCGGGCGCGCAGATGTGCCGCGCCGTAAAGCACGCCGCACCGCGAGGACCGCGACACTGTGGGGGCGAGGCGACCCCATTCGCCAATGTCGCGGGCCGCCGTAAAACAGTCGTCAAGTTGTCGCCGTAAGTCTCCGAAAACAAAGCCGCTAATAAGGCGGCCGCCGATGATTTCCGCGACCTCGTCGCCCTGTCTCTCTCGCACTCACGGCGCGTTCCGTTGGTGTGCGAGAGAGACCGTCCGGCCGGAATCGCCCTCCAGAAGCGCGTGCACCCCCGCGCCCTTGCCGCCAGCGCCGCAGCTGTGCGCGCCTCGGTGCGAGGATAGCCGCCCTGGTTGCGCGTTCGCGTTTTCGCCCCGTTGGGAGCGTCCGAGTGAAAGGGAGCTCAGCAGGCTCCGACGGGTGCGTCTGTCCCTCTCGCTCTCGCGGGGCGCACCGTGGAGGCGCGAGAGAGACAGGCCTGCAGATGAAAGTGAAGCGCAGGGATGCCGTCCTTTGTTTTCGACCGCCAGCCGCGTGCGCCCTTCGCCGCCCTTCGCTCTCCAGAAGAACAAGAAGGCCCCAAGTGGCGAGCGGCGCGGCAGCAGTTGCGGCCTTGTTGCCGCCACCGCCCTGTCAACACAAAGCAACTCGTTTTCGCCCAGCAGACTGATTACGGACACTGCTTTTCGTATCGCCGTGTCTCTCTCTCGCACTCATGGGGCGTCCCGTGTGGGTGCGAGAGAGACAGAGTGGCGAGGTGCTGGCCGCGCTACCCCGTTAACGAGGTGCCCGTCGTGGCCGCGTGGCCAGTCCGCGTGGGCGGGTGTGGAGACGGGTCGGACCGGGCTGGGCTGGGCTCCAAGTGTCGACGCCACTCACCGCCCCCGCCGCGTTTCGTCCTCGTCCCGTCCTAGTTATGCGGTGCAATCATCAGAATCAACATCGACAGGGCGGTGCACTGGGTGCCGGCCGAACAATAACAAAGCGCTCTCCTCGGTGCACGCCATGCACGCATCAGCGGTCACTGCGGTGCGCGACAGGATCACTGTCGCGCTGTTTCTCTCGCTCTCGCGGGCCGCGCCGTGGGATGCGAGGGAGACAGAGGGACGAGGCACTGTTCGGAATCAGCTGGAGTGACTCGCGGCGTTTAGCCACTGATTTGCTCGGCGGCGACAAAGACGCGGTGCTGCGCGCACGTGGACGACGCCGAGGTGTGCGAGTGTGGGTGCACTGGCCCAGTGTCTGCGTCGGTCTGCGTCCCTCCCTGATGAGCACCGAACCGCACACTCGCCGCGCGAGAAATTCCGGTTTCCTCCCGTTTTCTCGAAAATCCTGCGCGTCGCGGCGCACTCATGTGTGCGTCGGCCTCTCCTCTCCGGTCGGCCCGGTGCGGCTTGCGGCGACCCCCGACCACGCCGCTCGGCGAGCAGCCCCTGTCCGCGCCCCCGCCGGCCCGCCGGCCCGCCAGCCCGCCAAGCCTACACACGTGGCCGTCGCCGCCGTTTTCGGAGCCGCCTCGGAACCTGTTCGGCAGGCCCAGCCCCTTGCCCAGCCCTCGGCCGCCCCGCGCCAGAGGCTGTCATTGGCTACATACTCCCAACGGGATCGAGTCATAGCAAAATTTGAAACTCCTTTGCGAGGCGGGTGCCCTGAAACTATGGCGATTCCGCGATGGGGCACAAGTGACGAAGCGGAAGCGTCCGAAGAGAACCATGGCGTTGCGCTGTGCTGCGCAGCCAAGCCCCTGCGCGTCGAGGATGCCTGCCCGTCGAGCCGCCGTGCGTCCACGTTGCCTACCTCGCCGGGCGTACAGCGCCACAAGACCCTCACGGCCCTCACGGCCGCGCGCGCTCGGCACCTCGGGCATTCAGGTCTCCCGCAGCGCCGGCGCCGGCAAGCTGATTCCGAGCAGTCCTCCTGCCATCGCTCCGTCTCTCTCGCTCTCACAAGAGAGACATCCCTTTCTTTCTTCCCGGCCGACACACAGGTGGCTGGAGAGGAGTGGCCTCGCGTTCGGCCGCCGTCCGAGGGCGACGTGCGATTGCGTCAGGTCGTCCCCCCTCCCTTACCTTCCTCGACCGTTGCGACACGCGGAGAGCCTCCCCCTCTGCTCCCTCCCCTCCTCCCCTCTCCCTCCCACGAGTCCTCAGGATCGCGGATCGTGCCTGAGCCGGCGGACTAATTCCGAAGAATGGTTTCGTCGTCGCTCTGTCTCTCTCCCACCCTTACGGTGCACCCCGCCGGAGAGACGGAGTGACAACGAAGTCCGGAATCGCGCGGCGAGCCTCGGACGGGTTCCGGCAGCCTTTACAGTGTGCGAGGCGAGCCGACGCCGACGTCAGGGCGAGGCAGGGCGTCGTCGGGGCAACGCGCTCGCAGCGCCAAATCTCCCCCATCCGGTCGAGCGCGGCCCACTTCCGGTCTCAGATGGACGCAGGGGTCGTGTCGGGGCTGTCGTCGGGCCGCTTCGGCTTCGTGTCTCGGGGCGAAAACGAAAACTCATTTGGCCATCGTCGTGTTTGTCTTGGACTGCGAAAGGCACCACCACCGGCCGCTGTGGCGTGTGCAGACTGCAGACTCGCCAGCAAAAGTCTTCTCATGACCGGAAAAGGTTTCATCCCCCAGGGTTATCGTTTTGAAAGAATGGAGAGAAATGCGGGTGTAAAATATTTCTTTGATGTTTTATTCATCACGCAATATGAAAATAAACGGGCCGCTTTCGGGCGGGATGGAAAAATGTCGCATTCCGCCTCGGCCGAAGAATCAAAGTCACTTCGTCGACAGAGATGGAAGGGAAGAGAGTTTAAAAGTTATTTACAATGTCTATAAATTAAAGCCTCAACAACGATAATTGCTATTCATCATATTACACAATTTCTCAATTGAAATAAAAGTAACAAACCTTGGTAAAAAGAATCTTTATACAGTACAACTGATTGGGTGAATAGAAACAAAAAGGCGAAACAATAAAAATAATTTGTACTGCGAAATAATAAAGAAACAAAAATAAGAAGGAATGACTAAAGGCGGGGACGCCTCTCCGCCGACCGTTGCAGGAAGAGAATCAAACAAAACAAAATCGTCAAATTATCTCGATGAGTCACGATATTTACACTTTTGAATCACAACCACACGCACATCATTCATGGCCCGACTGAAGCGCTCCTTGTGCAAGAGCGTGTTGGGGGAGGGGGCGCAACCCAGCGCACACGCGGCAGCAGCGACGCGAACCAAGGACTAGAGCGAAAGGGAATAAATAAATAATAAATAATAAAACGCACTTTTGCAGTGCCGTGTCGCGTGTGCGCGGGGCTGGGTTCAAACTATCACAGTCAGCAGGGGGAAGGTCTGGGTGCCACTCGTGCCACTCCAGGACTAGTAGGCCACCTCCGCGCCCCAGGGCCGGTACGGCTTGGCGCCGGCGGCCGCGTGGTTGAAGGCGTTCTGGTGGTAGGGGTACTGGCTGGGCACCGCGCTGTGGTAGTAGGGGTGCGGGTGGCCGGGCGAGCTGTACCCGGACGCGGACAGCGGCGTCAGCGGGGACGACGTGAGCCGCGTGGTGGTCGACGTGGGCGTCTGCTCGCACGAGGTGGGCGTCTGCTCGTAGTGGTGGTGCGTGGACGACGTCGTGGAGGTCGAGTTGGTGGGCGAGTTGTCCAGGTGGTGGCCGCTGCCGTGGCCGGAGCTGGGCGGCGTGGGGAACGAGTGCGTGCCGTTGTGCGACGGCGTGCTCGGGGTGGCGGGGCTGGTGGCGGCGTAGTTGGAGGCCGGCGTCGTCGGGTAGGACCACGTCGCCGACGCGGCCTGCTTGGAGGCCAGCTCGCGCTGCGCCGCGAAGCACTGCAGGTGCGACATGAGGCGCAGCCGCAGCGGGTCCTGGATGTCCAGCCCCTCCACCGTGACGAGGTACCGCGCCACCTCGGCCGCGCACTCTCGGAACCCGATGCTGTGGTAGTCCATGGCGAAGCGCTGCGGGTCGTACGCCAGGGCGTCCATGCCTGCAAGCAGAGAGAGGAAAGGAAGCGCGTTAGTTTGGGGCTGTTCCACCGTGTTCCACGCGGAGGGGGCGGTGAAATGGGAATGCACGGACCGTGAGGGCCCACGCGGCACACAGTGTGCCACACACAACCCTACACCTCGACTGTTTTGTCCGCGGAGACAATGCCGCGGGGAGGACGCGGAGGACGCAGGACGCACAAAGAACGAGAAGCACACCGGGCCCTACTGCATGCGCATGCGGTACTGCGGATGCCGGGGGAGGGAAGAAAGGCCTGGCGAGGAAGACGCGGTGGTACACTGGAAAGGGAGAGTCCGGCTGCCCCCCTTCCCCCTCCCCCTCTCGGACCCCGCCGCGCGGCCCGTATGGGGGAGCGTGGGAAAAGTCAACCCTCTCCTCGTCCAGCCCGACCAGCACCGCCAGCACCGCCAGCACACCCTGAAGATGGACAGGCGGTGTCTTCCCTTCCGGCTTCCCGGCCATCAGCTGGCCGAGCTGCAAAGCATGGCGGCATGGCTGGCCCACTGCGGGCTACAAGGCTTCAGGCTACAAGTGGGAGGGGTACGTAGAAGCGGAGCCACTGCCGTAAGGGCTTCCCGTCGCGGTGGCCCCGCCGCTGTCTCTCTCGCACGCACACCAGACGCCCCGTGAGTGCGAGAGAGACAGAGCGTGCAGCATGCCGAGGGGCGGTGGGCCGGAAGGACGACCACTGGGGCAGTGGAGCAGGCGCGGCAGGGCAGCAGGCCCCGGAGCCAGCTAGCAGCTGCACCCACACTCTTCTGGACCCCGAGTCCCTGGCCCCTGCCCCAGCCGCCTGATTCCGAGAGACCTTTTCCGTATAGGTGCGAGAGGGACAGAGCGACGAACCCCTGTCCGGCACGCGGTGAATGGTAAATCCGGGCCCCGTCCCGCGGAGGGTGGCGTGGCCACGGCGTGGCCGATGATGGCACTGTAAGGCTGCCGATCAGACTGCGGCACAGCTGCGGCCAAGGCGGCCCGGCGGTGTCGGCGAGGGTCGGCAAGGGTTGCGGCGTCGGAATCCGGGAATCCGAGAGGGGGCGGTCGCAGCGGTCGCAGCGGTCGCCGGAGGGGACTGACCTCCGTGTGCCAATGGAGCGTCACCATCTGCCCACTCATTCCACCGCACGTCGCTCTGTCCCCCTCGCACCTACGGGGTGGCGTGAAAGAGTGCGGAGGAGACAGAGCGGGGCGGATGGAGCCCGCTGCCGGCCGATGGCGGGAATCTCGACAATCGTTTCGTTTGAATAGCAAGTCCGCGCGGTTCGAACAGGCGTTCGAATCGGGCGCGACGACGCGGCGTGCTGAGCGGGAGCGGCGCGCACCCCAACGCACCACCGCACCCCTTCCCTTCGTAACGGCTTTTTGCCGTCGCGGCGCCAACCCCCTGCCGCCTGCTTATTACCACCCCTGCCGGTGCCAATTTATGTTTTCATTTTCTCTCCCATCATTATTATTACAACTCAAAATTATTTCACCAGCAGTGTTCGAGCAAACCACAGGCCGGCTGCCCCGGACCAAAACAGCGCTCATTATTCCAAGGTATTTTTTTCTCTCCTTCCCTGACCCTTCCCGCCCGAGCCTCAGATTTGATCGGAGCACAACAAACTTCCGCGCGGGCCGCCTCCGCCGCCTCGCCCTCATCCTCCTCGCCGAGGTGGCCAGGGGCAGCCAGGGGCAGCCAGGGGCTGCAATTAGGAACGCCCCTCCTCCCCGGCACTCCCCGGCAGAGGCAGGACCGGCACGCACGTCGACGTCGTGCTCGACGCGCTTCTTCGCCGGTCAGCGAGGCCCGCCGCGAGGGGATGGTGCTGCTGCCGAGACTGCGCTCCGTCTCTCTCGCACACCCACGGAGCGCCTCGTGAGTGCGAGAGGGACGGAGCGACGAAAGGTGGCCGTGCCGATCGCGGCATTGTGTTGCGAGGCCGTCATCGGCAACCCCTACGCATAGCAACGCACGCCTGCAGACCGATTCAGAGGAGAGTCCTTTCCGTCGCTCTGTCTGTCTCTCTCGCACTCACGGGGCGGCTCCTGCAGGTGCGAGGGAGACAGAGCGACGAAAACGACTCTCGGAATGAGTCTGCTGGACGGCCGCCGCGCGGAGCATCGGCGCGCCGCACAACCCCCTCCTCCCCCTCCACGCGGACGACCGTTGAGTTCTCTCTCCGCGTGCGTTCCGCGCGGACACACACACACTCACACACACACGCCGCGGTGGCGCACGGCACGGCCGCGAGGCGTCACCTGCGGGCGGAAGGGAAGGGGAGGGGGGGGGGGCGGTTACCTGCCCGGAGGCCCGCGGCGGGTGGCGGTGGGTGCTACCCGTCATATGAACTCACGAGGGAGAACTATGGAACGGGGCGTGGTGTGGGCGGGCGGAGTTAATTTGCATAATTAAACGTTCAACACCCGCGCTGTCCTGCAGGCTGCGGGGCCCAGGGCGGTGGTCGTTACCTTTGGCGTGCAGCATCTTGAGGTGGTCCACGGTCATCTGCAGGATCTCGGCCTTCTCCAGCTTGGCGGAGCCCTGCTTCTCGAAGGCGGAGGGCACGAGGCGCCGCAGCTCCGTGAGCGACGTGTTGATGCGGTCCCTGCGCCGCTTCTCGATGACGCCCCTGCGCTTCTTGCGCGACAGCAGCTGGCAGCTGTCGGCCTCGTCGCCGTCGCCGGAACAACTGCGGGAAGGACAAGGAGGCATGTCAAGGACTGTCGAGGATCCGACGCATCGACTGGGGAGTGTTGTTAAGCCCCCATTAAGATTAAGCAGATGAAAATAAGGACATTTGCTGCAATTTTGAACTATGAAAATGTTGATAGAATTTGAGGGCACTAAAAACTCATGCTGTTTTAGTGCCATCCATATCCTTAGTCGACAGCGTTGGCAGTTGACACTTGGTTGGCATCCAGCGTGCAGGTCTCCGGGGCGACCCGAGGGAAGTCCCTCCCAGACACTCACTCTTTGGACGCCGAGTCCTCGGAGAAGGCGTCGTCGCAGTCCTCGCTCTCGCTGAGGGCCCTCTTGACGCTGACGCGGGGCCCGGGGGCGGCGGACATGCCTCCGGACATGGCCGACACCGGGGTGTTCCAGGCGGGGTAGCCCCAGGACAGCGGGGCGTGGTGCGAGCTGAGGGGCGTTCCCAGGGGCGTTCCCAGGGGCGCGCCGACGGACGCGTCCAGCGAGGTGATCTGCGCGGAGGGCAGCGGCCCCGCATGGCCGGAGGGGTCGGGAGGCGCCATGCCCGCCGGCCCTCGCTGCGGCACCACTCGGAACAGCGTGAGTCCGGACCGCCCTACGGCGCACTCGAAGTCACTGGAGTAACCCGTCGCGGGTTCGAACACGGCACTGCACTGTCTTCGCGCTGGTCGCCACTCGCACTGCACTGTTCACTGCACTGTTCACTGCGGTACCCGGGTACCACTTGGCCTTGGGGCGCGCACGTGCGGTGTGGGTGGTGCTCGACGGCGGAGGCGCGGAGGCGCGAGGGCGCGGAGGCTGCTCGGCACACGTCCGTTCGCGGCGGCTGCCCAGCAACTAGTGACAAGACCGTTGCCGCTCGCCGCGCCGCTCGCCGCACGTCGGTCGCCTGCCGGGTCGGCTGCACGCACGCTGCACGTCGGCTGCAGGACGGACGCCCGCCACGCTCCGCCCTCCCCTCCCCCTCCCCTCCCCCTCCTCACAGCGTCCGCCATCCCCTCCACCGCGGCGTCGCGACGCTTCGGGGTAGAAAGTACGGCGCTCCCACGACGTCGTGGTGCTACCGGGACCCCCCGTGGGGTGCCGAGGGCAGGTGGGCGTCCACCGGCCGAGGTCCGGGAGCACCCCTTGCTGCGGCCGGCGGCGTCCTGGGGCCCAAACGGGCGCGCGCGGCCGACGCGAAGACCGCCACTTCGGCGGCGCTTTTGGCCGCGACTGTCCGCGCCGCGGAGCCGTTGGGCCGGCATCGGCGAGGCATCGGCGAGGGGTCGCGACCGTGGGAAAGCAGTGCCGCGCTCTGGCCGAGCAAGGGCGCTGCGGGGTGGGGTGGCGGGGGGTGGCGCGCTCGGGGCAGGTACGCGTCGACGGCGTGTCGCGTGTGCGCCGTGTGCGTCTGGCCCGCGGGCGTGCGCGCGGCTGCAGCGGCCACGTGCCCCGCACGGCGCATCGGCCGGCGCCCCGCGACGCACCACGCCGCCGCGGTCGTGGCGCAACGCACGCCGCACGCCCTGCGCACGGCCGCCACGACCAGGGGCAAGGCAAGGCCGTTGGCCAAGGGCACTAACAGGTGGCACGCGTGCCTCGAGCGTGCCGAGAGCGTGCCGATGGCGCCGAGGACGCCGTCGTGACGCACGCCAAGGACGCCGTCAAGGCCGCCGCCAAGGCCGCCGTCAAGGACGACTCGGCAAGGTCGACGACGACGAGCAGTGCAGTGGAGGGCCGTGCTCGCCGACGCTCTGATAAACTACGCGACAAAATTAAGTTTCGATACAAAACGTCCATAACTTTCCTCATGCTCCGTCGTTTCAGATCAAAAATATACAAAGTAGGCAATACAATTTTTAACCCCGTGGATCTTACAGAAACGCAGTCCAATTTGAAGAAGTATTCTGGATCTGGATGACAGATGCGCACGAGACGCAAGAGGGACATTGTTCGGCATCTTCAAGTCGCAAAAAAAAAATCGGAATACATATGACATTGCCGCGCTAGCACTGCACCATGGCGGCACCATGCCTTATTAGAGCCTGGAGCTGTTGGCGATGTGGTGGCAGCGGCGAGGCCGTGTCGTGTTCCCAGGGATCTCTAGCAGAGCTCCAGATCTTCCACCACCAACCCCAGCCAGAGCTCAGCCAAGCTCAGCCTGGCCGGCCTACTTGAGCCACCCTCGCTACTTGCTTAATGTGTGTGTCCCCAATTCCCCCATGACCGATTCCCACTCCCAACTCGGCCGAAATTAATTTCATATGCGAGTGATCGGAGTTATTGCTCGCGCAGTCTATTTCTATTAGGGCTGACAATCGCTAGCGACTTTCCACGAATGTGAAAATAAATAAAGCTGAGACGGAGAGAAGCAGCATTGGATTTTAGAACGAAGAGTCAACGTGAATGCAGATTTAATTATTCCCAATTGTGTTTAAATGAAATTCGAGGTAAGGGCTGTAGGTAAGGTTGTAAAATCAATGTGCGCGCAATTTTGGTGCCGCCTGTGCAATCCGAACTTCCTCCATGTTTTGTATAAATCTCTCTCATATTCTCTGTTTTTGGAATAGTTGCCTGTGTCGTCCGCGTCCGCCGGCGTCCACCCCTGGGCCTCGCTTGGCTGGCGTGGCCAGGGTGGCATGATGGATCGGGAGGTCCATTGGTCCAGTGCAACACCGACGTCCGTCCAGCCGTCGCGGTCGATTGCCCACGGCCGCAGACCGGCTGTCTCTCTCGCACTCACGGGCGCCCCGCAGAAGAGCGAGAGAGACAGCAAATCGGTCTCCTGGCGGCGCAACGAGGCTGCAATCACTCGCAATCAGCCCCGAGACGCAACACGCCGCAGCGAGGGAGGCAACCGTACCCCCGCTACATCACGGCCGGGGCGACAGACGTGTGAATCCAGACACGCGAGTTGGCGATTCATCACCAGAGGCTGGAAGCGTGTCTGAATCGGGAACAAGCAGCACGCAAGTTTGAGTAAATTGGGCAAAAGTTGGAAAAAGGGTCCAAATTACACCATCGCAACTTTTCAAAATCAAAAAATTCCAGCACAATCTGCCAAACTTTTAATAATTTTATTTTTCAAAATTAAGCTGGTTCACGTCTTGAGGCTGTGCTTTTTCACGACTGCCGATAGTGTTCCACGCCCCATTCATTAAATTACACAAGTGTCTGAAGCCTCGGCAAGTTTACTTCCCCTTGCAGGCCGTGCTAGCTCTGGCGCGAAATCTTCCTATCTGGCCACCCCAGCCCTCTAGCCTCGGTGGACGTGTAGGATGTAGGCCACCAGAACGGCGCGTACAGGGTGCGCCGCGCAGCCCGGACCGGCCAGCGGGCAGACTCCGAACAGTGCTGCCGCCGCGCTGTCTCTCTCGCGGTGTATGGGGCGCCCCGCGAGTGCGAGAGAGACAGCGAAAGCCCTGTTCAGCCTGCTGGTGGCGGTGTGGGCACGGCCTTCTCGGAACACGCCGTGCCACGCCACTGCGCGTGCGCCGGAGTGAATTCTAATCAGCAAATATGCGCCGGGCCAGCCAGCCAGCCAGCCGATAGGACGGATAGAGCCGCGATCGCGACCGGCACGTGGGAACCCGGCTGTGGCACGTGTCTCACGACCACCCGGGGTAAGGCCCACCCCTCCCCGCCCCCGCCGCGGACGTCGCGGGGCTGCGTGCGAGGCGGCCGCATCCCTCCGTCGCCCTCGCACTGCCTCGCTGCCCGGCGGGCGGGCGGCGCGCGCGTCTCGCTCGCACAACCCCCACCCTCGCACGCAGCCACGCCACGCCACAGCGCCGCAGCGCCGCAGCGCACCCTGGAGGGGTGGGGGAGGGGGTGGGTGCGTAATAGTCGACGTGCTTTGATGGCCTTCGTTTTATTCCCGCGCCGCCAAAGCCGCCAGAGCGAAAGCCGCGATTTTCATGATTTCCCAGCTTCCCTCTCCCAAAGGCCTGCCGCTGTTAATTTGTGGTGGCGGCGCGGATCACGAAAGAGGAGAAAGAAACGGGTGGAAACGTGTTTTGTTGCTTCGCGCTGACGTCTTATCAGATGCACTAGCTAGTCGCACTCCACTGCAACCGCCACCTGCCTCAACTTGCCTTCAGGGTGTAGGACAGTTAGTTGAATATGGTGGCCCTAGATACGGACGTGAGGCCAACCCAAGGCTGAGAGTTGGAACCCCTAACTAGGAACTTGAAACAGCCCCACATTGCCCCCTCCAGGTTCTCCAGGTGGGCCTTTAGTAGCCTTTAGATGGGAGCGATCCGTGTCCGAGGGGTTGCCTACCGCCCCGGCTGGCGCCTGGAACTCGCAACCGCGTGGCTCTCCAGCGCCCAGGTCTCCAGTCGCGACGCCTCGCCTCACGGGCAGTGCGAAAATTCCCACGTGACGCGCAGTGTCGCGCTTCCACTCAATGCAAACTAAAGATTCGATGACTCGTCGACGCGATGCTCGCGGGTACACGTCGAGGGTGGAGCCTCGGGTGGAGCGCGGCGGGGTCCCTAGCAAGCACTGCCGGCCTCCCCCACCCCCACGCCGCCACCCTCGCCGCACTCAAAAGCATATCCACTGGCTCTCCAGCATAAGCTCAGGTGCAGGTCTGGTCCCGGAGTCGTGGGAACCGCGAGCAATCGCCCCCACCCCCTCCACCCCTCCAGCCCCAGCCCGCGTGGGCAGGGCGCCTACACCGCGAGGCCGCGAGGGTGGTGCTGGTGCAGCGAGGGGTGCGAGGGAGGGTGCCGGGGAAAGGAGGGGAGATGAGGCATTTTCAATAAAGGGAAAACTTTGTCGAGCCGTTTGGCTTTCAGGAAAGCCTTTTTGGTGGGGAGCGGCCCGGGCGCGGTCCGTGGGGAATGAAGCTCTGTTCGCTCTGCGCCTGGGAAGGACGAAGTCGAAGGACATGCACGAGACAAACACGGAAACATGTCCTGGTGATTTCACTTTTCCAGACTTGATGGCGTGTCGCGGTTTTCGCCCCGCCTTTCTCTCCTTTACACCCATGGGCCGTTCCGTAGGGGTGCGAGAGAGACAGTACCACAGCCCGCAGATCGTTATGGCTGCTCGGGGAGGTCAGTGGTCAAGTGGTCGCCCTGGTCCAGTGCATGGCCGTCCCCGCCGTCCCCGCCTCCCCGCGGACGCGTTTGACCGACTTATTAACTGACTCCAGCGTCCAGGCGGCCAGGGGTTTGTGGCCAGATGGCCCCGATGGCCCTCGGACCATGGACCGGCGATTGTTGTTGTTTCTAATTGAAAATCGCCATCGGTTTTCGCATGGAAATGCATCAATCGCCGCGTGGGCAGTGTGCCATCTTGCGCAATGCCATTGTGGCGTCACGTTCGCCCAGTTAGCTTTGTTGTTGTCCGAGGGGGCGGGCGAGGGCGGCCGAGGGCGGGTGCCAGACTGCTGACCCCACTGACCCCTGGCCATCCGCGCCGAGCCGCGCGTCCTGGTCACTCGGCGGAACATCCTGCGAGTGCGAGAGAGGCAGAGCGACGAGCACGTCGGAACCACTTTGGAATCAGTCTGAAGTGCCAAATGGACCAAATGGCAGAGGCAGAGGTGCGCGCACGAATTTGCCACAGCCCCTCCGCCGCGTGTCACAAGTTGCCTATCTCCCAGGCGCAGTGCCTAGCGGGTCCCCGAGGGACTCGCTGACCTATAGGCTAGCTTTCCCATTCATAAAAACGTTACGCTGAAACAATAGAAAGAAAAGTTAGGGCAGCCACCCCCTCCTCCTCTGTCCCTCCCCTCCCCGCCCTCCCTGTGCTTAACGTTATTAATGGACCCCCCCTTACTCGCTATGCTTTGCAGCGAACCCTCTCTTTCTGTTTCACTCGCGGTTCACAAAAGCTCTAATTTCGCGAAAAATGAGCATGTCGATTTGATGCTGAGCAGACAGCCGAGAAGCGAAGACAGGTTGAAAAGGCGCGAACGACTGTCTACTGTTCAGTCGGTGTTGTTCTTTGTTGTTGTTGTTTGGGTGTTGTTGTTTCCGAAGCAAGACAAGACCTGCCCGATTTGAGCAAGAGACGCTGAATTCGTTAGAAGTCCATCGAGACTTTTTGTTCAGCGTAGGCTGTTGTCAACTGGAATTAGAGTATTAAAGTGGTACGTTCGCTGTTCGTAGTCACCTTGCTCTGTTTCCCTTTGGCCCGTGGTCTTCGGTCTCGGTGCCGGTTTGGATGTTCCAGGCCCTCCTCTCTCATTTATTCATGCCTGGATCTGTCGTTTCTTTTGTGATTTCTCATTACTTCATTTCCAATTTCATTGAAGCGGTCTCAAATTCATACCATTATCATGCTATGCCATTACCATGCGAGATTCTCGACAACGACCAACTATTTTATTTTTTACTAACTCCGTCTGCCTTTTTTATGTTTCAGGTGATTCATTCCTATCATGGACGACTACAGTAAACGTGAGAAGGATATTATTCGGACTGGTATTCAGGAGGCTCTTTTATGCTCCGAGTTTGCTATCAAGTACTTGGACCAAGGTATTTGTTGTAAAGTTACCTGTTTTCCATATTCTTTTTGTTTGATGTGCTCAATTTGGAATGTACCGCAATTATTAAGATACTGATTGTGTGTTTGATGTCGCAGGTCCTGGTCGGGATCAACATTTACAACAAATTACGAACCTAGTGAAAAACTACTGTCTACTAGATCATCATTTGCAAGCAAGGCCCAATGTTATTGCGTCAATGTCTGCAAATGAAGCTGCAAGGCTCGCACAAAGAGAGAATGCTGAAAATCCAGGACCTGTTGAGGACACTATTCCTGATTATTCTCAAGTAAGCTTACGCATGGCTGTATTTGAGGGACTGCGATATTTTTTTCTGCACACCTTTTAAACATGATGCATTTATTTCAGATATTTTCTCAGAAGGTTAAAGATGCCACAAAGAATGTCACTGTGGAAAACCATGCTAAATTTAAAGATTTCCACAAGAAGGTTCAAGAACTTGTTAACAAACGTAAGCATTAGCCTTTCTATTAACTTCATTTTTTTCATCTAATTTTTGTTATTCTATCGTTGGATTCTCTTTTCTTTGTAGAGGATGGAACCGGAGATGGAGATGATGTAATGTATACTGAAGAATCTGAGAACTATCTTGATCCTATTTCTAAAACTGAGTTAGTTGATCCTGTGATCAGTACCAAATGTAGACATAGGTTTAGCAGGAAAAGTATCATGGAACATCTGCGTGGAAAGAGTTTTGCACAGTAAGTATGAACTTACAATGCAGTAATGTAGCTCTAGGTGTGGCTCAACTCCATTTTACTATTATTTTCTTTTTCAGGTGCCCTATAATGGGTTGTAGTGCTAAGTTCTCTGCTGAAGATTTTGAAGATGATCTCGTCACTGCTCAAACTTTGCGACGACGGCAACTGAATAAACAGATCTAATAGGAGTTACATTTTAAGAGGTCCCTAAATGTATCTTTTTCTTCAAGTTCTTAATTTATGCCAGACCTTAAAAGTGGTTCCTGGGTTGAGCATTTTGTGCCATTGACACGACCAATATTTGTTTTGTCTTTAATGTATTTTTATTTACTCTTGAACTAAACTCTTTTATTTGCTATTATTTTTGAGGTTATTTTTATGGTGTTTGCAACATGTCCATTCCTCGAAAGAAAATAAAGTTTCCTGAGAGTTCGAAGTTTTTAAGTCATATTTGTCTGCTGATCTGTGTATGTAGATACTCCACGTTCCTCTTCCCTTTCTTCCCCGCAGCCCTACTCCGATGCGTAGTTGAGCCGCGCGCCGCGTGGAAGCGCTGTAGTCGCCAGAAGGTGGGGCAGGAAAGCATATCATGTAGCTGGCTTCATCTGACCTCGACATCGGCGGCCCCATGGTGTAATGGTTAGCACTCAGGACTCTGAATCCTGCGATCCGAGTTCAAATCTCGGTGGGACCTTCGTTTTTTTCGACACCGAAGTATAAAAACAATTCGTTTTGTTCTGAGATTAGTGTTCAAATCCAGGTTACAAAATAAGTATACGAGTTGAATTTAAAATTTATAGGAACAAAATATGACAAGCTGCATTCAGTTTTAAAAATACAAAGTCCCTTCTTTTATTACAACTTTTGTTGACAAACAAGAGTGTTACTTACTTACAAATAAAGAGAGGCACAAAATTCTTTTCTTTAGTTTTTCTAAAATTCAGGCACCATAGTCTTATCTTACAATCTTTAAGTACTAAGCTATACAGAACGGAAGATTGAAGCAGTCAGTCATTTACTTCATAGCCTATTCAATAACAATAAAAACATCATTTTAAAACTGTTTGAGACTGGTACACAGGTCATGCGCAGTTTATATCTCAAATATATCTGCTTCACTATACACAAGTAAAACCATTGAAAGGGTAAAAAAAATTAAAGGAGGAAGAATACCAACAACATAATGGGGGTGGGGAATCATGAAAAATTAAAACAAACAAACAGAAACTTAATAAAGAAGTGATTATGAAGGAAGAGTTAGAAACCTCTTCAAATCCATGAAGTCTTGCCTTCTTCACCCAACCAATCTCGTGGATTCTTAAGGACTTCCATCAATTTACCTTCAGCTGAGTCAGACGGGGGACTGTGCATGTATTCCCATCGCTAAGAAACAAGATTGTAAAAAAGTAAGTTCCATGAAAGGTCTGAAAAGTTAATGAACACAGCAACAAAATTTTGCACTTACTGCAACTAGTGGAAGAGACATGAGTATGCTCTCATATCGGGCACCAGGAGTGTAGAGCCCAAATTTAGTTCCTCGATCGTAAATTAAATTGAATTCCACGTATCTTCCACGGCGAAGCAGCTGCCACTGTCTTTCATGATAGCCATAAGCATCATTTTTATGTTTCTTCACTGTTAATGACAAAAAAAATAATTATCAAATATCATTATTATTATTAAAATTAAATATTGTTATTACTATCTTTGCTGTTACAAATAACTTGATGACACAAGAAAAATCTAGTACAGTAATTGTACAGTAATTGAATTCTGAATAATACCTAGAGGAAGGTAGGATGGAATGACAGCCTCAGCACAAGAGGTCACAAATTTGAATGCACTCTCTTCAGATGGATAATCAATATCATCAAAAAATATGCCTCCAACACCTCTCCGTTCACCTAGTAAGATGTCAAGATGTTAGCAACATGAAATAGTTAAACAAATCCCAGAGGAAGCAGAACAAATGGTCCTCACCCCTATGTGTGATGTGGAAATAATCATCACACCACTTTTTAAACTTAGGATAGTATGTTTTGTCATGAGCATCACATGCCTTTTTGAGAGATCTATGAAAATGACGAGAGTCATCCTCATTGAGATAGTACGGGGTCAGGTCAGTACCTCCACCAAACCACCACTGTAATGGGAAGAAAAATATTAACAAAAATTTTTCAAAAGCAACATAAACAATATTCATGGGTTGATTGATATATGACAGGCACACCTGGCGTGTTCCATCTGACTCCTCTACTTCAAAGAAGCGATAGTTGAAATGAATTGTTGGTACCATGGGGTTGCGGGGATGAATGACACAACTAACACCAGCAGCAAAAAACGGAAGATCGCCTTCAGATTTGAACTTCTTTCCTCTGAAAAAAGTAAGACATTAGAAAATGTAATTGTTTTTTCATCAATTTGAATAAAGAGACATTTTTACCACCATAGTGATGGTCTCATTACCTGGCTTTCATCTGCTGGACAGCAGCAGGAGGTAATGATCCTTTAACAACTGAAATGTTTACCCCAGCCTTTTCAAACACAGCGCCATCTTGAATGATGCATGTAACTCCTCCACCACCTTCCTTCCGAAGCCAACGATCCACTAGGAATTTTGTACCATCACTTTCTTCGGCCTCCAACGCTCGGCAGAGTTCCGCCTGGAAATAGAATGGTACACTTTAAACACTGGAAGAAAATAATTATTCCTGTCAAAAAACCAATACATTCATGTTAATTACCTGGATTCTCATGATAAGCAGTTCCATTTTCGTCTTCATATCTTGTGGGTTTTCATCCAGCGTCTTACGTTCCGTGATCGTCTCAGCCATGAAAAGAATATCATTGCCACCCCACGTTTTCTTTTTCATGGAGTCGATGAAACCAAGGCCTGGTATCGCAGCTAGCAAGTACCTATTGAAGAGGATGTTAAGAAAACAACTTAAGAGGCAACTTAAATTCTGGTTTCAATCTCATAGCCAAATCATAATTTGCAGTACATATGTTTAATGAGTACAGAATGCATAACTAGGTACGCTGTAATCATTTGGGAAACTCAAAGGACTAAAATAAGTTACGTGGAGACGATCAGTTGTCAGTCAAATTCAAAACACCGTTATGGAAAAATGTAAACAAGGACGACTAACCTTGCTCTCAGTCTTTTTCCCCGAACGCCATGGTTGTACAAAGTAACGACTCCAAACTCGTTGAAATGTCGAAAGAAACTTCTGAAGAACATCTTGGCACGCTGCAGCCCGCCTCCCGCTGACAGTCTTTGGGACCAGCGAGACAGTAAAAACAGGTCAAGTAGCCGTGACACCAGTCACCGGCAGTACCTTGCTCCTTGCTTCGTCAGCTGTTGGACCCGCCCCTCCTCCTCCCCCTCCCCCGCCCACCCACCGCCCCTAGCGCCTTGAGGTAGGCAGCAAAACGGCTCCACACGCGCGCGCGCGATGTGCTGCCTACCTGCTAGGCGGTATTTCGCATTTCTCGGAAACGTGATGCGGAGGTATCTAGCGCAATGAAATGAGAACATTTATTTTTCTGATGTGGACTCTTTTTTTAACGCACCGACTGGAGAAACCGGTTGTGTCATTTTCTCTACGATAAAATACATTGTCCCCGAAAGTGGAAAGGAGGCCAGAGGCAGCCGGTGGTGGCAGTGGCAGACCCTCGGCGGCGACGAGCACGTTTTCCACCGACGCGTTCTCGCGGTCCGCGGCACGCGGTTCGAAACCCCCACCTTTGACCGATTGTTCTTAACTCTCGTAGTGACGTCACGACGTCAGCGTGATCAGCAGGCCGATTCCGAACAGTGCCATCGTCGCTCGGTCTCTCTCGCTCTCATGGAGCGTGTCCGAGGTGCGAGAGAGAAAGAACGGACACGTTAACGCCGCGTTCTTCACGCTCTGATGCGAGGGAAGGATTATCCCCTTTACGACCAACACCAGCCCGGAGTCTTGCCATAAACGGAGGGCCGAGCGTCGCCCACACTGCAGACTCAGCGTCGTTATCATTTTAGGGAGTCAAGTCATTGTCCGGCACCTGCGCCTTCGTCCCGGTCCCCGCCACCAGGCCCCACACCGTGCACACCGTGCCCCCACGGCCCCCACCGCGGCGTCTCCCCGGTGAGAAATCGCCTGCCGCCGCAGCCGCGCCGATCCTCCGCGAAAAGTTCCACACGCTTCTGACCAGTTTGCCAGGCCACACAGGCGCGAAATTAAAAAGCATCTGGAACGTCTCTGTCTCGTCGTGATGCACCGGACTGGCCCGACAGTGGAGCGGAATGGGTTTCGTCGAACGAGCTGTCTCTCTGACAGGAGTACGGGATCGCCTCGCGGACGGCGAGCGAGCCATCGACGAATAAACTAGCCACAATTTTGGGCAACAGTTTAGTTTTGCGCGAAACCAACGACTCCTTGCGGCTCGTCCGGGCCAGACTCTGGGCTAAACGCGTAAAGGCTTTGGGCCTCTAGACTGCAGCCAGCTCTGCAGCTCTGCCTCCGCGCAGGCAAGAACAACAGCCATTATCCCGTGTCGTGTGCCGGGAGCTCTGACACAGCTCCCGCGTCCCGAGCATCTCGGCCAGGAATAGCCACCTCCAATCGCACACTGCTGTCCGCAGGTAGAAAAAAAAACAACAAAAAAACGACAAAATATTTTGGCTAAGCGGCTTAGTAGTTCAAAAAAGAAAAAAAAGTCTGGAATTTTTCAGGCTTGCAAGGAAAACATTCATGTGTCATCAGAGGATCGTTGGTGTCAATGAAAAGCAAATTGTGTGACAAAAAACAACAACAACAAAACTTGGCACCAGCCAGTAAAGGAATCCAGTTCCGGGTTGGACTGCGCTGTAGATACGAACTTAAATTATATCATCACAGTGGAAGTTTTCTCCGAAAAGATTGAAATACAAAACCAGTAAAAAGCTGTCGAATTAGAGGTCCATTAATAGAAATGGAAAATAAAAATAACGAGCCTGTTTTCCCCTGTCTTCCTATGAACCGTGCGCTGGAGACGCGTCAGAGCGTGGCCATTACACCGGTCTTGGGGACGCGGGGACGTCAGTGGCGTGGCGTCCAGTCCAGCCCCGCCGACTGGAGCGCGCGTGTGACGTCACTGGAGAGACGCGGGGAACTACGCCGTCGGCTAGGTCACCTCGCTTCGCCTGCACCGCCTCGCACACGCCGCCCCGCCACGGGTGAGTGCCCTGCCCGCCCTGCAGACTGATTCCGAGTGGGAGGTCTCTCTCATGGGGCGCTGCGTGCCGGTGTGTGAGAGATCGAACGACGGCAACGCTGAGCGGAATCGGTTTACCCTACTGCTGATGTCCTCGTTTACTTCAGGGGCAATGAGCCGAAGCTGCGGTTCGAGGTGTGCAGCAAGCTCCAGCAGGTGGCTGCAGCACGCAGTGGCCAAGCTTCTCGGTAGCGCGGCAGCGCGGCCACAGCGTGGAAGTCCCAGGGGGTCCCGGCCGCCCCGGCGCACACTCATAGCCGCAATACCGATTATTGGATCCAAAACTCGGAAATCGTTCGTCAATTCAGTGGCCGTTGGGCATAAGGGCGTAAGTCACATGAGAAACCCATTGAAAATATAGGTTGTTCTGTCCGATGACCACTCAAGTATTGTCGTTGTGCTTGGCGCTTCACAGCGACGCGCGAAACAGGCTTACACCTCTCGAAGCGCTGGGCATTCCGAACACGTTCCCTTTCATTCGCGGAAGTAGAAATTATGACAGGACCCTCCCGCGGCGACGGCCGGCCTGGGTCGACGCAAACGAAAGAAAAAGGCGCTCCGGAGTGATCCAGAGTGGGGAGCCGAGGGGACGCGACGCGAGTCCTGCCTCCTGCTGGCGGGGCATCGAGGATGCCGAGCCTATAAAGTCGGCGGCCGGCCGGCGCGCCGCACTGTTGGACTGTCAGCAGGAGTGTTCGCAGGGTGTCGAGATGCGGTTACCAAGGCTCGCCCTCTCGTGGGCGGCGCTCGTGTGTGTGGTGTCAGCAAGTCCCCTAGGTGAGGATTGCTTTCGGAAAAGGGCACGTCGAGTCGGAAAAGGCGTTCTCGTTTGCGTGAGTGTGTCAGTGAGTTAGGTCGCGAGTGAGCTAGGTCGCGAGTGAGTTAGGTCGCGAGTGAGTTAGGTCGCGAAGTGAGTAGGTCGCGAGTGAGTTAGCGAGCGAGTGCGTGTGCATTTAGTGTTGATAAATTGAGTGAAAATTTCTGTGAGCTTGCAGCTGATTTGAGAAAAACTCATAAACTGGGGACGGTAATGTATTTTTAGCGGAGTCAAATTTAAGCAATCCGGTCGAATTTGGTGGGACGTGTCTTGACCGCGTGACGTGCGTTCTTCAGCCACGCTGACGTCACGCTGCCAGACGCGCTCATTTCTCATTGTTGTTGTTGTTGTTGTTGGCCCGGTGCAGCGAGTCGGAAGCGCACGCGGGTAGGGAAGGCCCAGTGACCTTGAGAGCGGGACTGCAGACCGCCCCCCTTGAGGCACGTCCCCGCGCTGCCGGGGCTTCCACGGCGGGGCCTTGTCACCGTTTTCATGTTCTCCGACACTTAGTTGGCCCCCAATGCACGGACGCGGTGCCAAAGGGCGAAAGCGTGGTGTGGTGTGACGTCTGGGACGACTCGTCCACTGGATGGAAACGCGTGTCTCTATTAAAAACCCGAACGAGCGCCAAGTGAGAAGAGTGCCTTCTTTTTTTCCGCTTTGAATACATTCTCGTTCCGCGGCCAGGCTACGCCAGGCCAGGCCCGCCGCCGCCGCGACGCGCAAACAACCAAAACCAGTTCTGACCATCCACGGCTCATTTTCTTCAATTGCTGACTGATCTCCCGCGCAGCAATTAAATGAAGCTCGGCCCGTGCGTCAGGTCGCGTCTTCCCCCCCACCTCCCTCTCCCCCTCTTCCCTAGCCTGTGTTTTATGGGTCTAATCTGCGGGGCTGGAGGCAGAGCGGCGACTGATGACATGTTGCGGGTTTTGCCAAACACGCGCTCGGCGTCTGGTGACACCGGGTGACATTCAACGGTTTGGATCTCGGAGGCGGGCCCAGGATTTTGGGGTTCTCGGTACGTTAAGTGATAGTGTGTGTCTCAATGAAAGTCGCTCTTTTGTTTTTCCCGCAGAGCGTGAACGCCGAGGCCTCCTGTTGGGCGGCCAAGGCGGTTTCCTCGGCGGCGGCCTCCTGTCCGCTGGCGGCGGTGGTGGCGGCCTTCTTGGAGGTGGCCTCCTCGGAGGCGGCAGGGGGGGCTTCGGCGGCGGCAGCGGTCTCCTCGGGGGCCTGTTCGGCTCCCAGAGCGACGCGCAGTCCTCCGCCAGCGCGCAGAACACTAAGCTCAACTTCGGAACCAACCTCGGCCTGATCGGCTTCAACGCGGGCCTCACCCACAGCAACGTAAGTACACCACACTCCAGTCCTCTCCGTTCAAGGTCATCTCCCGTGTCATGGTTCTGACCCGGGCACGTGCAGCTGACGGCTGATGAGTTGTGTCTCCCTCGCACTCATGCGGCGCCCCGTAGGGGTGCGAGAGAGACAGAGCGACGCGGTGACGTTTACTGTCCGAGACTAATTTACATCGTTTGCAGTCCCAGGCGTCCTCCTCTGCGGGGTCCTCTGCGAACGGCGGTGGCGGCGGCTTCGGCGGCGGCCAGTCCCAGAGCCAGGCGCAGAGCCAGGCGCAGGCCTCTGCCGACGAGTACGGCGCCAGCGCCAACTCCGGCGCCCAGAGCCAGGCCCAGTCGCAGGGAGGCGGCGGCGGCGGCTTCGGCGGCGGCGGCAGCCAGAGCCAGGCCCAGAGCCAGGCCCAGTCGCAAGCGCAGGCCGGCGGCGGCGGCGGAGGCTTCGGGGGCGGCGGCTTCGGTGGTAAGGACTTCCCTGCAGTACGGGCAGCGTGGCCACCCTATCATCTTAGAGAAAAAATGAATTCTTTTCTCTATGCAACCGAACCAAACGTCTAGTGCATACTGATGGTGTTGTGCTTCCTTCAGGTCAGGGAGGATGCCGCTCATGTGGCGGCGGCGGCAACTATAACGGCGGCGGCAACGGCGGCGGTTTCGGCGGCAGCCAGAGCCAAAGTCAAAGCCAGAGCCAGAGCCAAGCGCAGGGTGGCGGCTTCGGCGGCGGCGGCTTCAACGGTGGTGGCGGCTTCAACGGCGGCTTCAACGGAGGATTCAATGGCGGCGGCCACCGTCACGGAGGGCATGGTGGTGGATACAGACCACCCCCTCCCCCTCCCCCACCTCCACAACGCCGCCCTTCTTGGGGTGGCGGCGGCGGCGGTTCGCAGTCGCAGTCCCAGAGCCAAAGCCAAGCCCAGAGCCAGGCCGGGGGACACGGCGGCGGCGGCTTTGGCGGTAACGGCGGATTCGGCAACGGCGGCGGTGGCTTCGGCGGAGGCGGACATGGAGGCGGACACGGAGGCGGTGGCTTCGGCGGCAACAGCGGATCGCAGTCCCAGAGCGAGAGCCAGGCCCAGAGCCAGGCCGGCGGCCACGGAGGCTTCGGAGGCAACGGCGGCGGCTGCACTACCTGTGGGGGCGGCGGCGGCGGCTTCGGCGGCGGCAGCAACTCGCAGAGCAACAGCCAAAGTGCATCCAACGCCAACTCAGGTGAGCAGCCTCGGTTCGATGCGTCCTTTCGCCTTTCAGTCTGGCGGGAGAGTCCACCTGTGTAGTAGGCAAGCCCGCCACGCGGCCGTGCGTCGGTAGCCCCGATGTTGCCTGCCGCCAGGCGCTCCAGCGCCTCCCAGGCCGTTTTCACATCGCGTTTATAAATTGAATGAAATAACGAGTGTTACTTAAAGTAAAACGAGTGTTTCGAGGCTACTCAGAACGTCCGGGTGACTGACGCTGTACTAACTGTCGTTTTTATTTTTTTCCAGGAGGCGGTGGAGGTGGCGGATACGTGGAGCCAGAACCGCAGGGCAACTACGACGACAACGTCGCGGAGGTGTTCGGCAACGGCCAGTACGGCGGCGGTGGCGGCGGCAGCGGCAGCCAGAGCCAGGCCCAGAGCGATGCCAACTCGTCCGCTGGCGGTGGCGGAGGCGGCGGAGGCGTCTGCCAAACGTGCGGCTACAATGGAGGCGGCCAGGGCGGCGGCAGCAGCAGCAACGCCAAGAGCGACGCGTCCTCGTCCGCGAACGCTGGCGGCCACGGTGGCGGCCACGGCGGCGGCTTCAACGGCGGCGGCTACGGCGGCCACGGCGGCGGTGGTTTTGGCGGAAGCGGCGGTGGCGGCTTCGGCGGCTTCGGCGGATCCAACAGCGCCGCCAAGAGCCAGGCCTCGTCGTCCTCGTCGGCGGGCGGGCGCGGCGGGTCCGGCAGCAAGAGCTCCTCGCAGGCCCAGTCCAGCGCCAACAGCGGAGGCGGCGGCGGCGGCGCCAACAGCCGGTCGCAGGCCCAGAGCTCGGCGTCCAGTGACTCCCTGGTGTTCGCCTAGGCCGGGTGCACTGTTACTTTCTCTGGGGGGAAAATAGGAAACCACCCGCCGGTTGGACTCGCGTGGCGATGAACGTGCCACTTTGAACGCGCTCTCCTCGGAGGAGAGCACGCATCAGGAAGTGTATTTATTGAATAAATTCGACAACAGGACCGGGCGAAAATAAGGGTGCCAGTGCTCGGTATTGGTATCAGATTGAATTAAGATATGATCACAAGAGTACCAATAGATAGTTTAGGCTGTAGTAAGTTAGAGGGCCTGACTCATGAATGCGTGTGAGAATGTTTTATGTGTATGTGTGAGTGATTGAGTGAATGGGTAAGTGAGTGTCCGAATTAGTTTGTTTGAGAGTGAGTTATCAATTTTCCTAATGGCATTCAATGTGTGCCATAGCGATGACAATTTTAAAAATGACAATAAGGTTTTATTAAACATTGTTTTCTTTTATTAGTCAGCTATGAATGTGCTCGGAAACAAAGGTTGTGATTAAATATAAGATTATCGTATTGCCATAAGTACTTCTTTTGACTTCCCCCTCACCCATTGCCGAGAGGCAGAAAACATTGGTGCTCTGCAGAGATACAATGCTGTGGTGCAACTCGTGTTTTCAATTCCATCGTCGAATCGACTCACTCTTGTGGCAAGTTATTTTTATGACAGTTCCTTGGGAGGGCGAAATCAACAAATGGTTTACTTTTTCTGTTTTATTCGAAACGGGTGCGAGCGACGCCGTGAGGAGCCACAGGGACTGGGCTCCCGTGGTGGCGGTGCCAGGCGGGGCCTTGTTGTTCTTAGCGACCGAAGCCGCCGAAGCCGCCGAGGCCGCCGCCGAAGGAGCCGCTGCTGGCCTGCGCGCCGGACACGGACCCGGAGATGCCTCCGAACGGGGAGTTGAAGCCCAGGGAGCCACTGTAGGGGAAAAGAAAGGCGCATTCAAGAGGATCCAACTGCGCGCTCTGCAGCATGCTCTAGAGGGTGGTACTCACGAAGAAGCGCCGGCCTGCGAGCCTGAGCCTCCGAAGCCGCCCAGACCGCCCAGTCCGAACTGCCTGCGGATGCGCCCGCCTGGGAACAGGGAAGGGGTAGAACAACACGTGCAGCGCACCCTGCGCGATGCCCATTTCTCGCCAGTGCACTAGCCAGTGCTGGCGACGGAGTACGGCTTATGGCACTTGGCGGACAGGGCGGGGAGGTCAAGATTCCGCCTGCCTGGCCCGTTTGGCCTGCCTGGCCCGTTTGGCCCGCCCCGGGGCCGCGAACTTGACCGCAGAGACTCTTACCGTTGGCGGCGGCGAGCACCATCACGGCCACGACCAGGAAGAAGGTGAACCTCATCTTGTCTGCGAACGACGACGGATACTGCAGAGCGTGCGGGCGTAGCATTAAATACTGTCTGGGTCCGGGGTGGTCCGGGGCGGCGCGGGGCGGTGCGGGGCGGGGCGGCCCGGGCAGCTGGCCGGCCCCCACCCTCGCCCCACCCCCGCCCCCACCCACCTCGCGGTGCCCCGCCCCGCCCCACCCCGAGCCCCTGCCCGTCGGTCACAAGGTGCATTCACCAGAAATAAAACGGCCCGTCCGTTCGAAAAAAAGGCACTTAATGAAAACGAGACACTACCACAACAGCGCTTGAAACATGTCATGTTTCTAGTGACTCATGTGGGCGGCGCGCGGTGGGGTCGCCGACACGGTTTTCTTGGACAGCTCGCGGGGGCGCGGTGCTGCGGCATCGTTGGAGACTCGTCGAAGACGCCGGGTTGTAACTTCGAACGCGCTTCTTGTGTGACCGATGACCGATACACAACGGGGTTGCGGTCGCAGCCTGACCGGGTGACCGAGAAAAAAATCCCACTTACGCACTCACACGCGCACACGCACTCGCACACGCACACGACTGCCCGGAGCGGGGTATAAAGTGCAGCCGGTGCGGCGTGCGGGGCATACCACGATGAGGGCTGCTGTGGCGGTGCCGTTCGCGGTGGCGTTCGCGCTCGTGCTGGGGTGCCTCACCCCCTTCGCCGCGGCGGGCGGTGAGGGGGCGGGGGCGGGGGCGGGCGCCGGAGCGGGGGCGGGGTCCAGGACCCTGACCAGGACGCGTCGGCAGGTCGGCTTCGGGGGAAGCAACAGCAACGCCATGGCCGCCTCGTAAGTAACAACAGTAAATTACCATACAAATCGGACTGAAAATCGAACCGATTACAAGTGGCCGTGGATTTTGAACGGTCTTCTTTTCAATCGAGAAGAGAGAGAAGTCGATAGTGAAACGAAGATGTACCGCCCGCAGTGTTGTTGGCAGCCACAACACGGCTTACCGTCGGGCTGAATGGGCCCATAACGGGCATGGGTCGGCGGGCACGGTGTCTAATGAGTGAAAACAACTTTGAGGAGTTCTCCGAACTGTGTCTAATGCATCACGATTTGTTTTCCAGGCTGAATGCGGGGTTCAACACTCCTCTGGGCAACATTAACTTCGGCCTCTCGCAGTCGTCCTCGAACGCCAACAGCATCGGCCTCGGCGGCGGAGGTGGGGGTGGCGTCGGGGGTGGCTTCGGTGGCTCCACCGCGGGCGCTAACGCTGGGGCCGGCGGCGCCAGTGCCGGCGGTCAAGGCGCCGGAGGAGGTTTCGGCGGCCAGGGCTTCGGTGGCCAAGGTTTCGGTGGCCAAGGCTTCGGCGGCCAAGGTTTCGGCGGCCAAGGTTTCGGCGGCCAAGGTTTCGGCGGACAAGGTTTCGGCGGACAAGGTTTCGGCGGCCAAGGTTTCGGCGGCCAAGGTTTCGGCGGCCAGGGCGGTTTTGGAGGCTCTCGCCCCGGTGGCTTCGGCGGCCCCGGAGGGTTTGGAGGTTCTCGCCCTGGCGGCTTCGGCGGTCCTGGCGGCTTCGGCGGCCAAGGGATCGGTGACGGCTTCCCACACCACCACCACCGGCCCCGCGCTTTCGACAGATGACTAGCACGACGGCGTCGTCTGGCAAGACGATTCTTTTAACCAGCTGCAGAAGAAGCGATGGCATTTTTCATTTGTAAATAAATCACTCCCCACCCATGTCAATCAGTAAAAATAAACTGTGCGAATTTATGGTCTTTCGTTTTACTCAAAACTACAACAACCCCTTATCTGCAGAGCTTTTTTAAAATTTGGGGACTGCATCCTCTCTTTTATACGTGTTTGTTGCATTAAAGCGGAATTTCCGTCTTAGCAAAATTTCGAACGAGCTCTCTCGCAAAAATGATCCCGTATCCCCTCTACAGCTTCATCTGCTGGGACTTTCTCGCCGTTGTCCGACGCGCTAGCATAACATGAGAGTGTACAGCCACTTTGTCCACTCGCATCCGGGAGAGTGACTGATAAGCGCAGCAGCCCGGAGCTCATTTCTGCAGATAAAAAGCTCGCCGCGACGAGGGAGCCGCCAGTCGGTCAACATGTGGCACGTTTCGGCAGTCGTTCTAGTGGGGGCCCTCGCGGTCGCCCTGGCTACCTTCGAAGGTCATTTCAAGCGCCCTTTTATAAAATTTCATAAATATTCATCAAATTCCTGGTATCGCTGTCGCATTTGCTACCTTTTACACTAATCTAACACCAGTTTAATTTCGATTTTGCAGGACAAAGTCATGGACAGCGACACAAGCGGCAGTTCGGGTTCTCTGGGAGCAGCGCCAACGCGCAGTCGCACTCTGGGTGGGTGTATTGAATACTTCACCTTCAAGGGCTGTTCTAAGTCAAAATTCCGTCTTAATTTCCTTTCGTGTGCCTTAGTTCCGGCGGATTTTTTGGTGGAGGCCTAGGTGGCCTCGGTGCTAGTGGAGCTAACGCAGGGGCCAGCAGCTTCGGCAGCGGCTTCGGCGGTCTCGGCGGCAACCTCGGTGGAGGCCTCGCTTCTAGTGGCGCTAACGCAGGGGCCAGCAGCTTCGGCGGCGGCTTCGGCGGCCTCGGTGGAGGCCTTGGTGCCAGCGGAGCGAACGCAGGAGCCAGCAGCTTCGGCGGCGGCCTCGGTGGCCTCGGCGGCTTTGGTGGCCTCGGTGGCTTCGGTGGATTTGGCGGCCTTGGCGGCCTTGCAGGCCTCGGCAGCGGCCTTGGAGTGAGCGGGGCGAACGCAGGGGCCGGCAGCTTCGGTGCTGGTGGCACACATCACGGCGTCGGCGGAGGCCTCAGCGCGTCTCAGGCCGCGTCCCATGCCGCGTCCGGTGCTGGTGGCGTTGGTGTAGGCCCCACCGTCGGCGGCGGCCTCAGCGGATCCCAGGCCTCTGCCAACGCCGGGTCCATTGGCGGCGGCATTGGAGGTGGCGCAGGTGGCGCCGGAGGCCTCAGTGGATCCCTAGCGAATGCCCAGTCTGGTGCCGGTAGCATCGGCGGCGGTGTCGGGTTAGGGGGTGGGGTAAGCGGATCTCAAGCAGCTGCCAACGCTGGGTCCATTGGCGGTGGCATCGGAGGAGGACACGGATTCGGCGGCGGTCTAAGTGGATCTCAAGCCTCTGCCAACGCTGGGTCCATTGGCGGCGGTATCGGAGGTGGTGCTGGTGGTGCAGGAGGCCTCAGCGGTTCTCTGGCCAATGCCCAGTCTGGTGCCGGCAGCATCGGGGGTGGTGTTGGTTTAGGGGGTGGCGTTACCGGATCGCAGGCCGCTGCCAACGCTGGATCCCTTGGCGGTGGTATCGGAGGTGGACACGGATTCGGTGGGGGACTCAGCGGATCTCAAGCCTCTGCTAACGCTGGTTCCATTGGCGGCGGCATTGGAGGCGGTGCTGGTGGTGCAGGAGGCCTCAGCGGTTCCCTGGCCAACGCCCAGTCAGGTGCCGGCAGCATCGGGGGTGGAGTTGGTTTAGGGGGCGGTGTTAGTGGATCGCAGGCCGCTGCCAACGCGGGATCCCTTAGCGGGGGTTTCGGGGGCGGACAAGGATTCGGCGGCGGCCTCAGCGGATCTCAGGCCTCAGCTAACGCAGGATCCTTAAGTGGTGGTTTCGGGGGTGGACACGGTTTCGGCGGCGGCCTCAGTGGATCTCAGGCCTCTGCCAACGCTGGATCCCTAAGCGGCGGATTTGGAGGCGGCCACGGTTTCGGCGGCGGCCTCAGCGGATCCCAGGCCTCTGCCAGCGCTGGATCTGTAGCGGGTGGTGCCGGCTTTGGTCGGTAATGCAAGATTCAACGGTGATCAACAAAGCCTTAGATAAAGCCCGGTTGCTCTTCGCAGAAGAAAACTATGATTGACCTTGTCACTACTGTTGCTCTCTGTTAAAAAGAAAAACAAAACAAACAAATAATAAAAGTTATAATACCAATTTACTGCATTATTTTTTCGCCCGACCTGCAAGCCAAGTGTTTGACCACAACTACCACTAATACCTTCTTCTTCGGACTAAACTCTGTTCTTCAACCCGATTTTTTGTAGTCACCAATAAGACATAGATCGTATCTCATTACCTGTACTTTTTAGCTGCGCCACCGCAATTACGTGGCCTCCCCTGTGAGCAAAGTGCTCAGCTGCCAAGCCTACCCCAACCGCGACACACCCACCGCGGTGCTCGAAATAACGGCATCGGACCGTGGGCCACGTCCACGACGTCCACGGCCACGGCCACGTCATCGCCGAGGGTCCAGGATCCGGCTCCGCGGCCCCGAGCCCCGCCGCCGCCGATAGCGACCTCCGGGTGGGCGGCGGGCTGATATGGGGCCGGGCCGCAGGTGGTCTCCAGGGTGGCCGCGGACGGCCGGCAGTGCGCGCCTGACCATGGCTCTGCTTGCTCTGCGTGCTCTGTGCGTGCTGTCGCCGCTCCTGGCCTCGGTCGCAGCCTCCAGCCAAGGTAGGTACCCCGCGCACGCGGCAAGGGGAGGACTGCGTTCGTCTGCTGGCGTGTCGGCCGACGCGCTGCGAGCTCGAGCGCGGCGGGCAGCAACCCGCAGGCTTGCGTACACGCGTGCGTTGCCGGTGCCTACCTCGCAGGCGTCCAGGACGTCTCAGTGACTCCGGTTGGCGTGTTGCAGATGCGCTGCGCTCCGCGATCGTGGACGACGGCAACGAAGGCGTGATCCAGCACGGGTATGTAAACATGGCAACACCACCCCCAGCGGCCCAACGAATGTCTGGCCCTACAAGAGGTTCCTGTCGCTGACAGCATTGTGCATGTTCCTAGGAATCGCCACCGCGCTGCACGGTCGCCCTTCCTCATCCCGAGTGACAGCATCATTCGCCTCCAGTCCTACCCCGTCCTGGCTCCCCCGGTGCCCGCGCCCAGCGTGTACCAGTACAACCCGTACTACCCCGGTTTCGGAGGCGCGTCCTCTCAGAGCTTTGCCTCCTCCAGCAGTGGAGCGGGCGGCTCGGGGAACGCAGGGGCGAGTGCGGTAGCGCAGTCGTTTGGTGGTTCCGGACAGGCGGGCGCCTCTGCTAGTGCCCAGTCGTTCAGTGGTTCCGGATTCCAGCCGAACCATTCGGGTGCCACTGCCAACTCTCAGTCTTTTGGTGGTTCCGGTTACCAACCCAGTCAGTCGGGAGCCACTGCCAGCTCGCAGTCATTCGGTGGTTCCGGTTATCGTCCCGTTCCCACATACGTCACTGGCGCCAACTCTCAGTCGTTCGGTAGTTCCGGTTACCGCCCCGTCCCTACAGTGGTCAGTGGAGCCAACTCGCAGTCTTTTGGTGGTTCCGGTTACCAACCCAGTCAGTCGGGTGCCTCCGCAAGCTCGCAGTCGTTCGGTAGTTCCGGATACCGCCCAGTTCCCACATACATCACTGGATCCAACGCACAGTCCTTCGGTAGTTCCGGTTACCGTCCCGTCCCTACAGTGGTCACTGGCGCGAACTCACAGTCCTTTGGTGGTTCCGGTTATCAGCCTAGTCAGTCGCTTTCTACTGCGAACTCACAGTCATTCGGCAGTTCCGGTTACCGTCCGATTTCTACAGTGGCGAGTGGCGCCAACTCGCAGTCGTTCGGCAGTTCCGGTCTACAACCTATTCAGTCGGGCGCCACCGCCAGCTCGCAGTCGTTCGGTAGTTCCGGTCTGCAACCTATTCAGTCGGGCGCCACCGCCAGCTCGCAGTCGTTCGGTAGTTCCGGCTACCGCCCCGTCCCGACAGTGGTCTCCGCCGCCAACTCACAGTCATTCGGTGGCTCTGGTTTCGGTTCCGGTGACTCAGGCGCGTCCGCCAACTCCCAGTCGTTCGGGGGAGCCGGGGCGGGCGCCCAGTCCAGCGCGCAGTCCAGCGCGCAGTCCGGCAGTGGCCTGATACCGCCCTCGACGGCCGGGTCGACGGCCGGGTCGGAGGCCTTGGCTGGTTCGTCGGCGTCCTCCATCGCGGCCGCGCAGTCCTTCGCCAGCCACTGGCCCCACGGCAGCAACGCCATCGCGGCGTCCCAGGCGTCGTCGGGAGGCCAGTCGGGGGCAACGGCGGGTGCCGCGGCCCAGGCCTCGAGCGGCGTGGGGGTGGGCCAACCCGGCCAACCCGGACAGTCGTTCGGAGGGGCGGCCGCCGACGCGACTGCCCAAGCCCAGGCACAGGCCCAGGCACAGGCCTTCGCTTCCCACTGGCCCAGTCACCAAGGGGTGTCAACAGCCGGTGCACAGTCCGGCAGCTTGGGCTCCGGCGGCAGCAGTGCAGGAGCGCAGTCCTTCGCCTCTTCTGGTTCCGGTCAGGGTGCCAACGCAGGGGCCCAGTCTTTCGCGACGTCAGGTTCCGGTTCCGGCCAGGGCCTTTCCGGTGCCAACTCAGGGTCCTACGCGACATCGGGTGACCAAGGCCTTTCCGGTGCCAACGCAGCAGCCCAGTCCTCAGCCACTTCCGGTCAAAGCCTTTCCGGGGCCAACGCAGCGGCACAGTCCTTCGCCACTTCCGGTCTAGGCCTTCCCGGTGCCAACGCAGGTGCGCAGGCTTTCGCTGTGTCCGGCACAGACGCCGCACAGGCCTTCGCCACCCACTGGCCCAGTATTCACCAGCTGCTCATTTCAGCTGCACAGGCTGCAGCTGGCATCGGCTCCGGTAACACTGCAGGGGCGCAGTCCTTCGCCACTTCCGGTTCCGGATCCGACCAGGGCCTCTCCGGTGCCAACGCAGCATCGCAGTCCTTGTCCACCTCCGGTTCCGGTTCAGGCTCCGACCAGAGCCTTTCCGGTGCCAACGCCGGATCGCAGTCCTTCGCCACTTCAAGTTCCGGTTCCGACCAGGGCCTCTCCGGTGCCAACGCAGCATCGCAGTCCTTCGCCACTTCCGGTTCCGGGCAAGGCCTTTCCGATGCGGGAGCGCAGTCCCTTGGTTCCGGCCTGTCCGGAGCCACAGGATCGGGACAGTTGTTCCCCTTCGGGTTCATCCCCGCCTTCGGGCCGCACGGCCCCTTCGGAGCGAATGCTGAGTCTTCCGCCACTTCTGGCCAGGATGTTTCCGGTGTGGCGGCACAGGGCGGCGCAGACGCCGCAGCCCAGTCCGGGTACTTCGGAGTGCCCGGAGCCACGGCGCAAGCGTCCGCCCAGTCCTCCGGCGAGTACGGACCCAGCGGCCCAACCGGAGCCACCGGAGCGAGCGCCAATGCTCAGTCCGTCGGGTCCGTCGTCGGCTCGGACTACAGAGGGCAGTCGCAGTCCTCCGCCGAGGCGCAGGCCCACTCGGGGGTGGCAGGGCAGTCCGGAGCAAGCGCCTCTGCTGAATCCGCTGCCGGAAACGGACTCGAAGGAGGTTAGTTTGAGACAAAAAGGAGTAAACTGCACTAAGTATGTGACGCTAACAATGATTTGTTTTCAGGAAACTCAATCGCCAGCAGTTCCGCCCAGTCCGGGGAGGACTTCGTCTTCCCCCACCCGATGGACGACGTGGAGGGGCTCCCTGTGGAGCGTGCTTCGGCAGCCGAGGCCTCGGCAGTGACCTCAACGGTGGCCTAGGGCCCAGCCTAAGGCCAGGACAGCACGCTGCTGCATCTCTGCTTGAACGTCAAAAACCCTAGTCTAGACCAAATGTGTCGTCTCGAGGACACGCTATCGCCAAATCGTACGTGTTAAGTGTTATTTTTGTGAATGTTTACCCTCTTTTGAGAAAATAAATGCATTAGTTGCGTGTATACGTGTAGTTCGTTTTCTTTTTTTTCGAATGACGTGCGCCGCGTTATCTCGAACTAACGAGAGTCTCAGCCCGTGGGCTTTTCGTTTACCGGGAAGCTTGTTTTGTCGAGTGCGTGCATTGACAGGTATGATTGCCAGCCTGCGGCAAGACACTATCTTAATGAGACTGGCACACATCAGCGTTGGAACTTTTTGTGTGTGTGTTGCGGTTTTTTTTCGTAACACTCGATAAAAAGAAAAAGGGTATCAGTTTTTCTACACGTATCTCATAGACTAACTCCAAAAATATACTTGATCCGTTTCTTTATTGAATAATGAGAGGAATAAATAATAAAACAGTATTTTGCCACTTCCTTTTATCACAGACTTTGGGTAGAGAGATCTACACTGGGAAAAGTAGTTGCTTACAATGTTTCGAACGGCCGCTCTAAATACACGCCTTAACATTTAGGAACACATGTTTCATCCACACAACACCGCGTGTATTGATGTTTCTCCCCGATCACTTCCCGAACGAGCTACTCGAGCTAGAGCTGGAGGAAGAGGAGCTGGAGCTGGACCCTCCGTTTCCAGAGCTGGAGCTGGACGAGCTTGACGAGCTGGAGGATGAAGACGCCGCTCCGTGGCCACCTCCGTGACCTCCGGCCTGGCTGCCGGCCTGGGACGCGGCCGCCGCCTGACTGTTGGCGGCGCCCTGGGCAGGCACCACCTCGTTGGCCGTGGGTGCGTAGGCGCCGCCGCCCTGGGCCCCCGACGAGCTGGACGCGCTGCTCTGCGCGGCGCTGTTCGCGGCGGACATCGCGCCGCCGCCGTACGCCGGACTAGAGTACGGCATTGACGGCCTCGCCGGCATCTCGTCCGGAAACACGAAGTCGCCGCCCACACTGTTGGCCGAGCTGCTGCTGCTGGCCTGACTCTGCGCGCCGCTGCCGCCACCGCCCGAGTAGGGCGCTGGGCTGTTGGAGTACGGCGCGGAGGCACCGCCAGAGTAGCCACTGGAACCACTTCCGGCCTGGGAACTACTTCCGGCCTGGCTTCCAGAGTTCGCCCCGCCGTAGGGGCCTGACGGGGTGGCCGGCGGTGGCGGGGCGTACCCGCCGTTGCTGCCCGAGGAGCTGCCGGCCTGCGAGCCGCTCGCGGCGTTCGAGGAGGAGCCGCCGTACGAGAGCGGGGTCGCAGGGGGCGTCGAGGGCTCTGCCGGCGGCGGGGCGTAGTCGTCCGGCTGCGGCCGCACGCCCTGGCAAACCGAGCACGTCGGGCTGGGGGCAGCGGGGGCGGGGGAGTAGTCCTGCGGGGGCGGACGTGGGGCGGGTTGGTATCCGCCACTGCCGCCGCCGTAGCTACCCGCCGAGCTGCTGGCCTGGCTGGATGACTGCGCGGCGCTGCCGCTGTACGACGGAGCCGCATCGGGGGCTGGGGGGCGGTGCGGCGCAGCGGGAGCCGAGGGCGGCGGCGGCGGCGGGTAGGACGGCCGGTTGCCGTAGGATCCGCCACTGCCGCTTTGTGCGCTGGAGGACGCTTGGCTCTGCGAGGACGACCCCGAAGAGGATCCACCATAGGCTGGGGGCGGCGCAGGCGCGTACGTGGGTGCTGGGGCTGGTGGTGGAGCCGGGGCGTACGTTGGCGCTGGCGGTGGGGCGGCGCGGGGGCGTAGGTCGGCGCAGGGGCGGGGGGCGGCGCGGGGGCGTAGGCCGGTACTGTCGGAACTGGTTTCCCACACACCGAGCACGTCGTGGGCCTGCTGGGGTTGGCTGCGTACGACCCACCGCTGCTTTGGGCCGACGACGAGGCCTGGCTCTGAGACGACGACCCTCCGTAGGACGGCGGTGGGGGTGGTGCAGGGGCGTACGTGGGGGGCGGAGCTGGAGCGTAGGTCGGGGGCGGCGCGTAAGATGGGGGTGGAGCAGGGGCGTACGTCGGGGGTGGTGCAGGGGCGTACGTCGGGGGCGGCGCGGGGGCGTACGTCGGGGGTGGTGCAGGGGCGTACGTCGGGGGCGGCGCGGGCTTGCCGCAGGTCGAGCACGGCGGTCGCGGAGCGCCAGAGCCACCGTAGCTCCCCGCCGAGCTGGAGGCCTGGGACGACGACGAGCTGGACGAGTAGGCGCCGGAATGGCCATCACCGTGCAAGGGCACAGCGGGCTCGGCGGGGGGCGGCTGGTATGCAGGCTGCGGGGCCGGCGAGTACGATCCTCCGTAGCTGCCCGCGCTGGAGGAGCTTTGCGACTGCGACGAGGACCCCGAAGAGGACCCTCCGTACGACGGCGGGCCTTCTGGCTGCCGTGGCGGTGGAGGGCTGTATTCCGGTGGTGGCGAGTACGGCGTGGATGGTGGAGGAGGCGGTGGCGGTTCGTAAGCCGGAGGCGGAGGGCCTGGGGGTGGCCCATGAGGAGGTCCATGAGGAGGTCCGTGAGGTGGTGGCGGTGGAGGGCCGTAAGAGGGAGGTCCTGGGGGAGGTCCATGATGCGGTGGTGGCGGTCCGTACGGGGGAGGCCCTGGGGGCGGTCCATGAGGCGGAGGCGGTGGTTCATACGACGGCGGTGGTGGGGGAGGGGGTCTGCTTCCCTCACAGACAGAGCACCCTGGACGCCCTCCCGCACTGCCGTAGCTCCCGGCCGAGCTCTGGCTCGCGGACATGCTGGCCGAGCCGGCGTTGCTGCCACCGTAGGAGGCGCCCTCGGGGCGGATCACGATGGTCTGCGTCGGCCGGCCCTCCATGCTGTAGGAGCCGCCTTGCTGCGGCACGCCCTTCACCACCACCACGATCGTGTTCTTGCTGGCGGAGTGCGCCGCCGACTGGCTGCCGCTGTACATGGGCGTGATGGTGATCTGGCCCGTGGTGGGCGGCCTGGGCTGCGTGGTGAAGGTGACGGGGATGGTGATGGTCTGGCGCTGGCCGCCGCCCGGCAGGGTGATGACCTGGCCATGCGTCGCGCCGCCCACAGAGTTGCCGCCGTAGACGCGGCGCGGGGGCTGCACCCCGCCGTGGCCGAGGCTGCCCGCCGAGGACGAGGCGCCGCTGTTGGCACTGCTGCCGCCGTAGCCGGGGGACTTGGCCGGGACTCGCGCGGGGGCGGGGGCGGGGGCGTAGCCGCCACCGCCACTGTAGCTGCCTGACGATGCTGAGGACGAACTGCTCGAGCCAGAGGACGAGCCCGCGCCACCGTAAGCTGGTGGAGGTGCAGGGCGCGGCGCTGCATAGCCGCCCCCGCTGCTACCACCGTAATCACCGGCGGGGGCGGCAGGCGCTGGGGGCGGGGCCGGCGGGGCCGAGTAGCCACCCCCGCCGCCGGCGTGGCTGCCCGACATGGCCGAACTGCTGGAACCGGACGAAGCCCCCGAACCGCCCCCGTACGCGGGCACGCGGGCGGGACTGGGGGCGGGGGCGGGCTGCGCGCCGTAGGCACCGCCGCCGCCGCCCGCGGCGTAGCTTCCGGAGTTAGACATCGCCGAGCTGCTGGACCCGGAGGAGGCGCCGGACCCGCCGTAGCCTGGGGCTGGAGCGGGGTAGCCGCCCCCACCACTTCCACCGTAGCTGCCCGACGAGGACATCGCGGAGCTGCCCGACGACGCCCCTGCTGCGCCGTACCCAGCCCCGCGCGCTGGAGGTGACGGGGGTGGCGGCGGTGGCGGAGGCGGCGGCGGTGGTGGTGCGGGCGCAGGAGGGGCGTACGACCCGCCCCCGCCGCTCCCCGCCCCGCTCATGCTGCCTGCCTGGCTGGCCGCCTGGCTGCCCGCGTTCGAGCCGCCATATCCTGGAACAATTAAGCCACAATTACGTCCGAGGGCACCGCCAGAGTGTGAAATGAATTCGCCGAAACTGAGTCACTCCAAGAAACTGATTCGCGATATGGAAATCGTTCCGGTTCGCTCACCATCGCCGGCCGCGCTGCTGGACGACGAGGACGAACTGGACGAGGACGAGCTGCTGCCGCCGTTGCTGCTGCTGGAGCTGCTACTGCTGCTGCTGCTGGAGGACGACACGTAGCCGCGCAGCCCCGCGCCGGCCAGGTACCCCAGCGCGTCGTTGGAGCCGCGCCACTGCGACTGGCCGGACTGGCGCAGGACCCGCGCGCTGCGGTCGCTGCCATCTGCATCAGGAATTAGAAATTCAATTTTAACGACTGTCAGAACAAGAAGGCGGCCGACATGACCGTGACCAAGGCCACGCACCGAGCGCATCTTGGAAATCATTTAGGCGCGAGTTTGTTTTCGCCGCCACCCGACTCATTCCGCGAGCCGCCACGTCTCTCTCGCACTCATGGGGCGTGCCGCGTAGGTGCGAGAGAGACGGAGAGACTCTCGGAATCAGTGCGCTGGAGGCTCCAGCGTGAAGCGCGGCCATTAGCTGACGTCAGGTGCCATAGACACGCCGGCGTGGTGCGCGGCCAAGTGCGCGGCCGGAGTCTCCGTCTAGCCGGAGGCAGGGCAGGAGGGGCATGGCCAGGCACCGCGCACTGCCGACGGAACGGAACTCCGTGATTACCCGCCACTGTGTTTTCGGGTTTCGGCGATGCGGCGCCCGCCGAGGCGCCCAGCAGCGCCAAGCAGCGCGAACAGCGCGCACACCGCAGCATCGATTACCGAAAACACTCGTTCCAGCGAGGCGGCGAGGCATGCGCACGCGGAAAACGAGATGGCCGTCCGGGGCGAGGAAAATCCCCGAGCAGCAGACTGAGGCCGTCCGCCTGGAGGCTGGGCTGCCGGCTGGACCACCTCGGGGTGGCCTGGCGCGGTCCTTGCGTAGCGCACTGGGGTTCGCCGACGCATGGTCGACTCCGTATACTGATTCGGAACAGTGCCTCACAGCTCTGTCTCTCTCGCACCCGCGCGGCACGCCCAATGAGTGGGACAGAGACGGGGCGACGAGTGCAGTGCTGGAGTCAATAGACGTCGTGCTCAGGACAAACACATCGTAAACTCAGACGCGGCGTTTTCCCCGACGAGAGTGCCGCCGTTTAGCCGACGACGCGAAGAACGAAGGTTCGCAGTCACGTCGGAGTCACTGCGCAAAGTGCACAGGACGGCCAGCTGCGGCTCCTGCACTGCACTCCTAATCACTAGAATGAACGATTCGATTTTAACACACGGAAACGCGAGCGACTGTCTTTCCGCTCAGCGGTAGGTCAAACAAAACCACCAGTGTCCTGACGATGACACAGCTGTCCAAAAAGTTTCGTCTTGCAAATCTTACCGGTCCATTCACCAGGCGGGGCCCGTCGCTGCACGATGGCGCAGGCGGTCGAGCAGAGCACGGCCAGGACGGCGACAGCGACGACGCGCATCCTGGAGGACGCCAGGACGCCGATCACGCACTGGACACCAACTGCCTCCCACACTGCCTTCTCAACGATCACTTTTAAGTTCACTGTGTTCGGCTGGCACAACACGCGCGCCCCACGGCGTCGCACTGCTACGCGGCGCACTGCATGTCGTCGACGGCGAGGTGCGCGAGGTGCGCGAGGTGCGCGACGTGCGCGGTCCTGGGAGGATGGCGGCCGCCTGCCAGCGCCGCAGCCAGCTCGAGTGATCCGGCGCCTCGCCGGCAACCCGTACTTATAGAATTAGCCGGCTAGCGGCAAGCGCGGCAAGACCGCCAAGGCGCGGGCCAGGACCCGCCGCCAGGACCCGCAGGGACCCGCAGCCAGGACCCGCAGCCAGGACCCAGCACCGCGGAGGGGGCGGAGGGGGAGTCGTGGAAGCCGGGGCCGCGGGCAGTACCGCATTCCCCACAGTTCATCGCATTTTCCAAACATTTCGTAGTATTGTTCGGAATGGCCCTCGTCGTCAGGTGATTATAAAAACAAAATGGAAAATGTGACCGCCAGCGAACTCTCTGTTTCCCATTGGAGCAGTGGAGGCACAGTATCGGCTTCAGCCACAATGCTCCCAGAAAACTACACGACGTTCTCTGCTTTACTCAAATTTTATTGGAATCGAAATTTTTCGAGAATTTTCAGCGTATACTCCCACCGTCTTCCGGCATGTTGTGGTTAGCGATGTGTCGATGTTGCTACCTCGTGTGTGTGTGTGTGTGTGTGTGTGCGCGCGCGCGCGTGTGTGTGTGTAAGTGTGGCGGAGCGTGGCAGGAGAGAGAGAGAGAGAGAGAGAGAGAGAGAGAGAGAGAGAGAGAGAGAGAGAGAGAGAGAGAGAGAGAGAGAGAGAGAGAGAGAGAGAGAGAGAGATGCCGCTCGGAATGGGCCAGCAGAGGAGGGCCATTCGGATGCTGTCATCCGCCGATTCGGCGAATCGCACGCGGAGTTCCCATGCATCGTCTCGACTTGTCAAAACAACGTCCACCGCGGAGACGATAGACCGACTGGGGGCCAAATCGATGCAACGGTGTCTCGTCCTATCACACACTGACGGCCGCCACTGAAAAACCCTTGGTGAAGAAACTGGGCCGGAGAAACGCACTCGCCAGAAAAATGGCCTGGGGCCAAAGAAATGATTTTGGGCAACATAAATATGCTTTTTGTAGAAAAATAATTCTCTCGCGCACCGTGGTGAAGGCGGCACTGATCGAGCCTCTCACTTTAGAGTGGCGGGTGCCCGTTAGACTACGCGCACACACGCACCGCCCCCCGAATCTGGATTTCGTTCCGGCCCCCCTGGGCCCCCCTGGGGGTCACGTGGATAGTGGATCCCACAACCGCAGGCCCAAGTATGTTTCCGTCGCGTCGAGTCGGGTCGGGGCGAGAGGTCAGGCCTGGTCAGGCCGGCACGTCTGTCGTCTCTCTCGCTCTCGTGGGACGGCCCGTTGGTGTGCGAGGGAGACGGACCGCAGCCCGCTGGTACGGCACGGCGCGCGTTGGGCTGCCTACCCTCCGGGCGCAACACCGCGGCACGGCTGCATCCCCGGCCGGCCGACACACTGTCATGTTTTCCGGGACTCGGGATTTCGGCGTGCGCCTGTTTGTGCTCGACTCTGCGGTCGGTCCGCCGCCTTCTGGAATCGTTGACGCTCGGTGCGGTCTGGACGGTCTGGACGCGGTCACACGACCGAGATCGCGCCCAGATAGGCGTCGGGAGAAACTATGCTAGTCGCTCACTTAGAGTACGGAAAAGCACTTCCAGCAACTCTCGTGCTGCAAGCCGAATAGACGAGTGTCGAAAAACCGGTCCGTGTAAATCGCTGTTCGTCTCCCGCACTGCATTGCGTGCCCCCTTCGGCCCGCTGGAGACCCCAGCCGTCGTCGCTCTGTCTCCTCGCACTCATGGGGTGGGTCCGGAGGGGTGCGAGGGAGACAGAGCGACGAGGGCACTGTCCGCTCAGGCGGCGACCTGGCGGCCTCACTGCAGTCCGTAATAGAGCCCCGTCGTCCGGCGCGGCGCTCGGCGTCCTCGTTTTGGGGAATCGTCGGCCTAAGTGGCCTGTCCTGCCCCGTCCTGCACTGCACCGCCTCGCCGGCGAGCAGGCACACTGGAAGGCCGAGCGCGATGGCGCAGAGGATGGATGTACGGGTGAGTGCGTTGGTTGCGTCGCCCGGAGCGCTGGCCAGCACGCGAAAAAGCAAGGGAAAACACACAAGGACCAGCAAGGAACTGGCCGAACAGCCACACGCTGAAGACTCCCGTCGACAATAGAGCTACTTGGACGCGATGTGCCTTGAAAAGTGAAAGAACGATTTGGCCAAGCCAATAAGTACAAGTGTTATTGTTGAAGACTGAGTCGTGTCGCGTTTCGACGACCCACTGTCATCGCCGCGCGCGTCCGTTCTGGCCTGCTGGTTCCGGCCGGACCGGGGATGGCGTGGTGGATCCACGCGGCGCGCGTCCCTCGTCGTGCGCGTCGCGCTCACGTAAGTCCACCGCACTGCTACGCTCACGGCGCGGGACGTCGGAACGGAACCACCGTGCGGTGCGGTGCAGTGCGGTGCGGTCACCGCGCCGTCCGTGACGTGGTCCGCGACGTCCGCCGCGTCCGGGGCGTCATGGATTCCCCTGGTGACGTCGCGGCCGGCCGCGGTGCTGTCCAGAGCGCCACTTGCGTCGCTCCGTCTCTCTCGCACCCACTCACGAGTACAAGAGAGACGGAGTGACGACGATTCAGGCTGCAGCCGGTGATGGATCCCCGGCGCTTATTCAAACGAAAACGGAGCTGGGATTTCTGGGCGAGCGGGGACTCGAACCCGTGACCTTCTTTGTGGACGCTCCGCTCGAGCAGGGAAGCCCCGGACAAGGTGAAGCGGAGGACGGTGTCGAGTCAGGCAGCGCGTTGCTTTTTAGGATTTTTATTTATATAAATTACAAAATAAATTTAGCAGGTACTGGGGTTCGGACGGGGATGCGTTGAGGGTAGAAAAATTACCAGCCGCTGGAACAGAAAAAATAACACAAACCGGAGTGAAAATCACTGCCGAACGCGAGTCCATGTGCGAAGCAAAAATTTACAAAGCAACAACTACTGTCTCTCTGCCATGCATAACGATCGAGAGAAACACCCAGGTGTCAACCAATTAGCACTGCATGCAATTATTCACAAATTAGCAAGAAAGCAATAAAAAAGATAAATCAATGATTAAAAAACACCCATTTCATAGGGAAGGGAGTACGGAATGAGGTACGGAGGACAGGAGCGTGACTCATTAGGGAATGGAAGGGGTAAAAATACTTTGGAGGAACCGCGATTTAAAGAGCGTCGAGCTTATTGGAAGGCACAGACATTAAGGACATCTGTTTAGAAAGAAAATTATTCACATGGAAATAAAAAGAAGAAGTAACAACGGATATCGGCAGAATTATTTTGCCGTGAATTCAGCGACACAAACCACAGGAAGAAAGTTATGTAGAAAATATTTCTTTACGGTTTTAGAACGGGTTATTTACAAAGTAACCAGAAATAATTACAATCAAACAACAACAACACCATCCATTTATGTACAGCTTGTTTTCATGTTAGGTTAGGTTAGGTTCAAGGACACTCAGGACATGAAATGGGCGGGAGGCAGTGCCACCTACCCGTGCCCGTAGTAGGAGCCATACCCTCCGTAGCTGTAGCCGTACGAGGGGGCGGCGTAGTAGGTCGGGGCACTGTAGTAGACGGGGGCGTAGCCATAGCCGGAGTAGCCGCCGTAGTAGCCGCCGTAGCCGTGGCCGTAACCGTAGCCGTGGCCGTAGCCGTGGCCGAGGCCGAGACCGATGGCCTTACCCTTGATGATACTGGAAGCAGAAGGAAGAGCAGCCGTGAGGAAACTTAAAAACAAAAGTCGCGTGATGTCACATCACGGGTTAGTCGGCGTCGGGCAACCCCCACGGCGTCTCGGCAAACCAAATGAGGCGTCGTTGAACTCGCAGAGCTGTTTTTCCCAAACACTTGACACTAAGCGTTTGGACACACAGTGTCACTCAATCCCTCACTGTGGCAAAAACCTACGGAAAGTTCTGTAAGCAGCTTGTGGGAATTCTCCGTAGCCCCCTTATCAATATTCTCCGTAGGCTCTTACAGTATTTTCCGTAGGACCGCACAGTATTCTCCGTAGGACCGCACAGTGATCTCCGTAGGACTATACAGTCTTCCAGGTCCTACGGAGGAGACTGTGCGGACTTACAGAGAATACTGTACGGCCATACGGAGAATTCTGTAAGAGCCTACGGAGAATATTGATAAGAGGGCTACGGAGAATCCTGGCAAAAAAATTAACAGAATTTTCCATACCTTTTTGCCACAGTGCTCCCCCCCTCTCTCCTCCGCCTCTGCGGTGGCAGGACAAACAGACACGCCTCAAGCTGGCAGCCGTTGTGGCGGAGCACCCTACCCTACACTGCAAAGTGCTTCGACGCAAAATGGCAAATCCTTCATCCAGCACGTAGCGCCTGCGATGTCGAGGATGGGCCGCCCCGCCAAGCAGGCGTGCCGGCCGCGTTGCCTCCCTCGCAGGCGCGCTCCACTCCATCCGCGTCCTCTCCCTGTACTCACCCGGCTCCGAGTCCCAGCGCGCCGGCACCGACGACGCCAGCGCCGAGGGCTCCGGCCCCCAGACCGACGGCTCCGAGTCCCAGAGCGCCGGCACCCAGGGCACCTCCCAGCAGGAGGCCCTTGGCGAGAAGGAGGCCTCGCTTCTCGCGGTGGTGGGGCTGGGCCTCGCCGACGGGCACCACGGCCCTCTCCACGGGGATGGGCGCCCTCTGTGTGGGCAGCTCTGCGCAGAGAAAGAGTCAAGACTGGAAAACAACAACACGCGCAGACAAACACCAGGACGCGTCCTTTTCCCCCTCAAAAGGCTGCGATCGTACCGGATCCGCATTATGAATTCACCGGTTGCGAAAGCTGATACGCGAGATAAGCTTCTTTCTTTTTGGTCCGACTTTGTGATCTGGAGTCGGGCCGGCCCGGCCGGTGTCACCGGCTTGGCCGCGACCTTGGGCCTTGGGTCGGCGCGGCCCTCGGCTTCGGCCGGCCGGCCAATCGGCTGCGAGCCTCGAGCGCCAATCACCGGGCCGCATCGCGCATCGCGCTCACACCACTGCAAGTGCCATTTACACTCTTACTCAGTCCCCCGCTTGGAATCGCTCCAGATACTCGACCGACTTCTATCGATTTAGCCGGCAAGCAGCGACCATGACGACATAGACCAGTTATTGCACAAAATTTTCGAATGAGAGATAGTGCTGTGTGACACTCACGGCTTCAATTTAAATCAGTAGAGTTTAAATGAAAAAATTCTAACCACAAGCATTGCTTGAATACTGGACTTTGAACAAGACTGAGTAAACTTTAGTAGAAATAAAAACGTTTTTCACGACACTTTTGAATAATGCTGATTGCAAATCGTAGTGGGGCTGCAGGATGATGTAGCAGTGGAAGTACGGCCCCATCGTAATCCTGGGCAGGACGGGGCCGCATCCACCGCTCACTGGTCGGCTGGTTGGCGCTTACCTTCCAAGGGCTGGGCGACGCACAGGCAGGCCAGCACGGCCAGCACGGCCACGGACAGCAGGGTGGAGGTACGCATGGCTGGTTAGTCCACTTGCTCGACGGAGTGTGATCTGTCCCCGCCCGCGGCCACGCCGGTCCTTATACCGCGTCGCCACGCACTCGCCGGCCACCATGTCGCGCGCCAGGGCGGGGCGGGGCGGGGCGGGGCGGGGCGGGCCCTGTCGCGGGGGGTTGGGCCCGCGGCCGGAGGGGGCAGGGCGCGGCAGGGCGTGGTGGGGCGGCGTGCCCCTCGGATCACGGTGGCTCTTCGTCGCCGCCGAACAGGACCTCCCCCTCCCCCTCCCCCTTCCCCCGAGCTGCTCTGCTATATGGGCGCTGTTTGGCGATTTTAAATAAGAATGTGGATGGGGTCGGATGCGGGCCTGTAGGACTCCATCCTCTCCAGGATGCCGGATAGGCGGGGCTCGGCGGGGCTGGAGGACGCTTCTGGATCCTTCCGACAGGGTGTCTCTGCGCCAATTAAAACTCGCATAAAACAAGGCTGTAAAATACGTCTTTTTTGGGGCGTGTGAAGGTGTAGAAAATTTAATAAAAGCAACGGCATTGTACTACGTCCGTTCAGAACGGTGGGCTGCGTCTTTAGTGCTAAGTCATTTAGGGAACCGTTGCAAGAAAGATGACGAAGAATCACGCGCTGGTTTGGCTCCGGGCGGGCACAAAGTAATGACAATGAATCGGCAGAATCACAACCTTCACCACATATTTTTTTCTGCTCTTCTTTATTTTTGCCAGACAGACAGTGTCACGTTCAAGCGGCGATCCCCCCGGAGTCCACCGCCACGCCGTGCCGGTCCAGACGGCGCTCGGTGCTTCCGGGACGACGGAGAGCCTCAAAGCGCGCCACCGTCGCATTGTGAACGACAAACAAATAGCGCGGGGCGGGCACACGTGCACGGCCGTGCCCTGGCAGTGGCGTGGCAGTGGCGTGCCCTGGCAGTGCCGTGGCGCGCCTCGCGCGGTCTGTGTCTCCGCACGCCCCGCACGCGCGTGCCGCGACTCTGTACGCGGGATGCGCGCCAGTCAATGAGACACTCGGCCTTCTGGCCTTCTGCATTCACTTGAAACTTTGAAACTTTGAAACTTTGAAACGGCTCTTTGTGGCTCTGGCTGGAATGGCCGCACGCGGCCACGCGGTCCCCTCCCACCGCCTCCGTGTTCAGCGACTTCCTAACTCAACCTAACCTCACTTCGAAACGGCACGGGAATGGTCTCGGAATCCAGCGGCTTCCTGAGGATCGGATGGCAAGTCGTTGGTGGCTCATCGAAGTCCGTTCCAGAAAACCGCCATCACGAATATGACACGAGGGTTACCCAAGCACGGTCACCGGGGACCTCCGGGCCGAAGGTGGAGGTGCTAATTGCGTCTTACGAAGTAGGGCTACCTTGGCGCAGGGCAGGGCTCTGCGTCGCTCTGCGTGCGCGGTCGAAAGGATTACCGAGTCACTCGGGGTGACCGCCGGCGCCGCTAGGTCCGAGTGGCAGTGCACAAAAAAAATGGGGGAAATTCCCCGGACCGGTATTCGAACACAAGTCTGTCGGCTGACTCAAATTTTTGGCACACGAGCCCCGTTACGACCGGACATGGGACGAGATGGGAGTGCCGTCCTAGCACACCGTTAAAACAAAGACGCCACTATTGCTGAGCCAGCAGCTCCTCCAAAATTCGATATTCCCAAGGTACAAACTTTGTTCAAACTTTTAGTGAGGAGTCCGCGTGCGCAAACATTTACTTTTAACAAGCGAAAGTTCATAACCGTGGGACTGCCTAGCCTAGCCGAAATAGATCGCGCTCTTGAGGATTCTATTTGTACGTTACTGTCACGTGATCTCGTTGTGTCGTTCAGTCGTTTAGTCGAGCAGCGCGGTTCGGTGGTGGGGCGCAGTCTACCGCAGGCATTCGGGGATGGGCGGGGGGGCGGGGCGGGGCGGGCGGGCGGGGCGGGGGGGCGGGGCGGGCGGGGCGGGGCGGGGGGGGCGGGGCGGGGCGGGCGGGCGGGGCGGGGCGGGGCGGGGCGGGGCGGGGCGCCTCTGACCGCACGCAGGGCGCCGCGGCCCATGAGGCGTCACCGTGCACGTGCCCCGCCACGCCGCGGTCCCCGACGGTCCCCGAAGACCCACCAGTCCGCGGAGGGACTTGAATGCGCGAAGCACACGGCAGCGCTGCAGACGCTGGCCGCGGACGCGAGGGTGTTGCCCCGACACTAATGGGTCAGGTCAGTGCGGGTCAGGTAAAAAAAAAAACTTTGGATGGGTGTTCGAACCCGAGAGTTGATTTGTTTCTCTTTCCTCAGCGCACGCGGCGCCGTCCACCCGCTTCGCGGGGCAGAAAGAAACTCATAGTGTCCGTGCGAAAACATGCGTGGTCGTCCGTGTTGAACTTGGACTTGAACTTGGCTGCTGAAACCGGTTGCCCGCCTGCCGGTCGCGGTGCACAAGGTCACGCGGTGGGAGGGGAAGGGGAGGGGGAAGATCCTCCATTCAGCGACCGGCAAACGCGGCCCATTCGAATTTTTGGCGCCCGTTCCGCGCGAGGTAAGCAGTGGGAGAGAGACAGAGCGGCGGAGCGCTGTTCCGAACCGCTCTGCTCTGCTCGCGCCACGCCGCGGTCCGGGGATGCTTCGGCTATGTCATGGGTTGACTTAAACGATAAAGGTACACGCGGTGGCTGATGGGCTGGGCCGGATGTAGCGGCGTGTGTGTGTTTGCCCAATCTATGAGGATCGCGGCGAGCCGGGACGTGACAAGGAGGCTGGGCGTCGCACCGCGTCGCGCGCGCCTGCAGGGGAAGTCCCCCGCCAAGTACCATCCCGACGGCCGCATCCGAACGAACACCGCGTCTCGCACGCTGGCCCGGCGGTGGTCGGTCTGTCTCTGTCTCTCTCGAACGCGGTCCAGGATGACGTGTGCGAGTGCAGTGCCACACCGCCGCGACGCCGCGCTGCCGAAGATACGCGCCCCCGGCGTGGACGTGCTAATGGGATGCGTCGACGTGGTGGTCATCCTGGCCGCGGACGCCGCCACGGCGGTCCCGCGGGTCCTGCGGGTCCTGCGGCCGCGGCGCGTCGGGCCAGCGACCGGCACGGGCATGAGAATCGCCCCCAAGGACGCGCAGGGCCACAGCAGGCTCGTTCGTCGCTCTGTCTCTCTCGCACCCCTACGGGCCGCCCCATGGGTGCGAGAGAGGGCGCAGGGCGTGGCGGAGGACGGCGCAGGGTCAGGCGGGGTGAATGTGGGGCGGCTTACGTAACGAAGGGCGACAAGACGAACCCGCAGAGAGATTACAACGTCGGCGTTGAAGAATTTACAAAGCAACTTTTCAAAGACCAGGCTGGCTCGCGCTGATGTCCCTGCTGAAGCTCCCTGCCTCAGAGATACGAGCATCAACTTCGTGACTTTGAGGATTTCACGCGGAGAGTGGAGCGAACGCTTATTTTATCGCCTCATTGCGAGTCTGATACCCTCATGTGGACCAAAACAGATGTATCTGAAAAAAAACGAGAAGGATGGGCTAAAAGTTCCTTTAGGTTGTACCTGTGCCAGACCAGACCCTCCCTCCGCGGCCCAAAGCCAAAACGGACTCGCGTCGTGTTCCTTTTGGCGAGATTCCTCGCCGTCGGGGTCGGGTCGCGCCGCCATGCCCATTGGGTGGCCGGGCCGGGAGGGCACCGGATCCACCGAGCTGCAGATCAACAACAGCAATGATAGCAACAGCAACAGCAAGTGCAGCCCTAACGGGTGCGGCGCGGCGCCGGCGACTCGAATCATGAGCAAGAACAACATGAACCGGCCGTGTGTCTACTACACTATTAGAACGTAGTGTTTAGAATGCTTTCGCTACGTGCATACACACGCATCCCGTCTCTGCAGCCTTTGCGTCACTTTGTCTCCCCCCTCCCCTCCCGCGCAGCTGCTTCGCGGTGTCCAGATCGTCGGCAGGCCCACGGCAGGCCATGGCAGGCCGGAGCCAGGAGCCGTTTACGACGCCATGAAAAATGTTTGGCGGTACTCTGCGGTCCTCCGCTCGGCACCTGACACATTCCCTTCGCAGTGCACGGCAAAAAATTAACTCTTTTAGGCATTTTCTTACCTTTTCCCCCTTATTAGTTCAGGCGCATCTGATATCAGTAGGGTATCTCAAGACTGAACGTATGGTGGTAAACCCAATTTAAAAATTTCGGGGTTTGTCTTTGGTTGGTAGTGTAGCCGTGAGTGAATGTTCTGGAACCTAACCGTGGTGTGGTTTTCGAGGCCCACCTCGCCGACGAGCCGACTGGCTGAGCCCTGTAAACCACACTCCAGCGCCGCTCCGCGCGCGCCACGGGCATTTTGGATTCCAGCGTTTGCAGGCTCAACCAGCGTGCTATTGGGTCGGGACCGGTTCGGCGTTAGGAAAATTTGGGGGACCTGGGTGCCTGTGTGTGTGTTATGCTACGGTCTACTGGAAAGATGAAGATTGCCCCTGGATGTGGTATTTATAATCGAGCAGGCGTGAAATAGGAAGATCGACGAAGAGAAAACTTTGTTAAACCGGCGGCAGGGAGCCGAACACCACCTGGAAACCATTCGCTGACTCTAGAGTTCCTCTGAGTGCTTCCAACCGTGCGAGATCGGCGTGACCTTCGGGTAGGGACCGCAGCAGAAGCTGAGAAGACTGGTAGCAAGCCTCGTGAATCTGGAATAAAAGCGGGATGACGGTGCTGACGAGAGAACGGCTCCACGCCGAGGCAGAGGGGCACTCGGGGCAGACAGCAGCCAAGCTGCGATACGGCACACTGGAAATGAAAGGCAGCCGACGCGAAGTCGAATGGGTTGCGTGTCGGCCGGGCGCTGAGCTGCCGAGTGGGCATTTTATGCCGGGTGGGCTGCCTGCCTAGCCGGCGCTGAAGAGACGATCCACGTGCCAGATAGCAATGCTGCAGGGGGTTCGTCGCTGTCTCTCTCGCACGCCTGCAGCACGCCCCGCGCGTGCGAGGGAGACAGAGCGACGAAACTACAGTCGAGTCTGCAACGCACCCACAGTGTGGTCCCACACCCCCTCCGGCGTGATGACGGCAGTCGTTACCCCGGGATGATTGCGAACAGGCGCTGTCTCTCTCGCGCTCACGGCCCGCGAGAGAGACAGGGCGACAGGCCGCCGGGCTGGCCGTCGACCGCGGTCCATAAATAGGGGGTCCGTCATGGCGGCGCGGGCCATAGCGCAGCGCGGTCTCCAGAGAGGCTGCCACCCGCCAGGACCGCCAACACCCCCGCGACTCCGCCATGGCCGCGCACTTCTGGAAGGCGGTGGTCGCCGCCGCCCTGCTGCAGGTCGCCTTCTCGCCGGCCCACTCCGCGCCGCAAGGTAACTTTTGCGGCCAAGTGCACCCCACCGTAGAACAGCACAAAGTAGATGGGGAATAAGATTGGCCGTTCGGGGAACTTTCTGCTTCCAAAATGTGAATGAGAAATGAGAAATCGGTGTCCAGACCGCCGGTCCCGCCACGTGAGCGCCTGCGAGGTAGGCCGCACCTCGGTCCTCGCGCACGCGTGCGCGGCGTGGCGGCCTACCCCGCCCATCGCAGGCGCTAGGCGCGCAAGGACGTTCGTACTAGAGCCCTGTCGGCCTCCCCGGCGTGCTTCTCCGGAGCTGTGTCCAAGGGAAGCTGAAACTGAAAGACAGTCCTCGTCCTGCCACTGACCGCCCTGCCCTTGGCCCTGCCCTCGGTCTAGGCATCTCCGTGTACTCGTCCATCGACGAGAAGGGCGAGCAGCACACGTCGGTGGTGCCGCTGAACCAGCAGCAGTCGGCGGCGCTGGCGCAGCAGAACCTCGCGCAGCTCAACCAGCAGCAGAGCGCCATCGGCAACCTCTTCGGCGGCAACATCCTGGGCAACATCCTGGGCCTCGCGGCGCAGGCGTCGCAGGCCCAGCACCACGTGGTCCCCGTCAAGCAGCACAACGTCGCCCCCGTCGTCAAGCAGCCAGTCGGCCAGAAGGTCGTGGCCGCGCCGCCACCGCCAGCCCCCGCCGCCGCCAAGACGCCGTGCGCGGGCTGCGGCGTGGCGTAGAGCAGCGTAGAGCAGCGTGCCGATGGCGGGGAGGGCGACGGCGTGGCCTCGGCCGAGGCCTTGGTCGGGGCGAGGACTGGCGCCTCCGCTGGACGGGGCGCGAGCACCCCCAGGACTAGAACGGTTAGACACTTTTCTCTTTATCCGGGGAGGCACGCGGGGGCACAGACGAGGAGTTTTCGTTTTTTTTTGCAGAAAAAAACTAATTTTTAAGTTCGAAAAAAAATAAATGTTTCCGCTATTTGCCTTAATTTCCATGTTTGGCCCCCTGCTTCCAGTGACCGGCGGCGGCGTGTCCGTGTCGGTGAGCACGGACAGCCAGGGCAACACCCACGAGAGCGTGCAGCACCTGACCGCGCAGCAGGCCCAGCAGCAGTTCCTGGAGAACCAGCAGCGCCTGCAGGCCCTCTTCGCCGCCACCAACCCCTTCAACTTCAACTTCGGCGCCTTCAGCCCCTGGCTCATCCCGCCCATCAACTTCGCCTTCCCCTTCGGCTTCCCGTTCGGCTCGCTGCCGCTGCCCGCCTTCGCCTACCTGCCCGCCGCCCTCGCCGCCAACGCCAACAACATCGTGGCCTCGGCCAACCAGGCCGCCGTCAACGGCGCGCAGCGCGCCAAGTCCACGGTGGACGCCGTCGTCAGCCAGACGCAGAAGGCCGTCAAGGACGCGATCCACGCCGCCGAGGCCTAGGGCCGCTGGGCCGAGAAAGCGCCGGGATACTTTCCTCCGGGACTGTACAAACACCGCGGATGGTTGGAAATAAAAGCACGCAGTAATGACAGGCCGGTATCCGACTGCCCCGGGCACCCACACTGCGAAAGAGAGAAGACCCCCCCCCCCCCTTTCCACTCCACTCGCCCCGGGAGAGCAATTGCCGGATCCATGGGCAAAACAATGACACGGCGTCAGACTTCCGGAAGGCTGAGTAGTCCGGGGAAGAGGAGTACAGTGCGAGCCCTCGCCCTGATGAAGTCCCCGTCCCCGCAGGCGGACTGCTGGACTGCCGGCGCTGCTCGGCGCAACGCGCGGAGCGTCCGAAACTTGACTCTAATTTGCGGCGCGCTTGACACTTGGCGGTAACACGTGCCGCACGCGTGCGCGTTGCGTGCCAGATGAGGCGTGGCGCGGCGGCCGGAACACCCGGCACGCCAGAGCGGCGCGCACGCGTGCCAAAGCGGCGCCAAGCTCTCTCTGTCTCTCTTACTCCCACGGAACGCCCCACGAGTGCGAGAGAGGCAGAGCGCTCGGCCGCCTGATGAGGAATAAAACGTTTTACGGACTCCGAGGCGCTGCGCAGTGCATCGGCCCCAGCAGCTTGATTATTCCGAAGCTCCGTATCGTCGCTCTGTCTCTGTCGCACTCACAGGCCGTTCCGTAAGGGTGCGAGAGAGACGGCGCATGGACCAGGGACATTTTTTCGCAACGATTAAATTAACTTATTGTGTGTGGACCAGGTGGTGCAGCGTGGCTCTGAGTAAAAATAAGTTTTGAAGCTCAAGGTTCGGGGTGAGGTTCTCTAATTTTTGCTTTACTCCCAGCTTGAAGCGAGGTGGCACGCCGGGCGATGAGTTATCGGTTCGGACCGGCCTAAAGGCGCAAGGAGCGTGAGTGGTGGACAGGCGTCCTCGAACCCGTCGCCGTCGCGGGGCTGTCGCGGGGGGTTCGGATCCGGACGGAAGACGCGAGTGAGAGAGACAGAGATAGAGTGGCGGTAAAGAGGAAGCAGGATAGCAGGCAGTCCGGCGAAGTCTCCAAGAATGGAAGCAGCCATGGACCATCTACCGGTACAGCGCCATCAGCTCAACTGCGCGTACTATCAACTATCAACCAATACCCGTGTGTTCCTTCCTTTTCGTTCGTAGGATTTTGTTTGTTTTGCTTCTGGAGGCGTGTTCCGTGTTTTACGAGTTTCGCGGCTTCGCGCCTAGATCGCCCCTGAGCCGAGTCACGCCAGGCTGCAAAATAAAATGCACAGAAACAAAGGAGGTGAACGAACCGCCAACCGGCGCCCGGGTGGCCAGGCTCCGCTTCGCCCGCTTCGCACACTCCGCGCAGGTTTCCGCCTAGGCCGCCGGGGCGCCGAAACGAGAAACTGCACTCCCTACAGTGTAGCGGCGTCGTGGTGTGACAGTGTAGGGGTTGGCAGCGAAACACGCCATTTGTTTTACTTTCTTCACACTTTGTTTCCTCATTGGCGCACATCCGAGCGACTGTTTGTCCGTTTGAGCGGCCCTAGTCTCCGATTCCCACGACAAAACGGTTGCCATGTTCATACCACAGCGACAGCGCCGCCCTCTGCCAACGGTATGAGAAATCGCGCGAGCGCTGTTTGCGTCGCGTCGCTTTTCTCGTCCAGCAGGATGATTCCGAACGGCGGTTGCGTCGCCCTGTCTCCGTCGCACCCCTACGGCGCGTCCCGCGAGTGCGACAGAGACAGGACGATGAAAGCCCGCTCAACGGCCGGGCAGTTCAAGGGCGTTCCTTGGCACCCCTTCGGCGACCCTTGGTGGCCCGCTGGTACGCTGGTACGCCCCCGTGTGCTGAGCAAGGCGGGGCGGGCGTGGCGGGACGGGCGTTCCATGGCGGGGCAGGACCTTGGGCAGACTGCTGACCGCCGCCACGGCGCTGCGCTGCATCGCCACGCCGGCTCCCAGCCCGGCCGCCCCGCCCCGCCCCGCCCCGCCCCGCCACACAGCGTTTCCTCGACATATAAAAGGAAGATCGTTGACTTATGGCGGCGAGTGCGTTTCTGCCCAGCAAGCGAGCCAGTCGCAGTCATGGAGTCCTCACACTGGATACGGAGGACGGCGCTGACGCTGGCCCTCCTGGTGATCGTCCTGTCCGTGGCCACGGCCGCCCCTGCCGGTCGGTACTCTCGCACCGAGCGCCGAAAACAGGTCTTCTTACAGTGCCGTCTTACTCGAACTCGATCCAAACTTGTCGGCGTGTTGCAGGACGCGAGGCCAGGTCCCCGAAGAGGAGGCCATTCGGCTACGGAGGCTACGGCGGCTACGGCGGCGGCCCGGGGTACGGCCCGGGGTACGGCGGCGGCCTCGGCGGCTACGGGGGTAGTCAGGCCCAGGCGCAAGCCCAGGCGCAGAGTGGAGGCTACGGCGGCAGCCAGGCCCAGGCGCAGGCCCAGTCGCAGAGCTTCGGGGGCCCTTACGGTGGAGGCCCTTACGGTGGAGGCTTCGGCGGCGGCCCCTTCGGCTTCTTCCGTCGCCGCAGGGAAGTCGGTGAGTCACTCATACAGTCAAGGGGAAGATAGACGAAAAAATAAACAAAGTATCATCTGTTTGTTTTCGTAGTTAAATGTTCGGGCTAGTCAAAATTGACACCTGCCCACATTTCTTGACCACAGCTCCCGAGACGGCCGTGGCCGTCACCGAGGCCGCCATCCCCGCTGCGAACGTGGTGACCGACACGGCCCCCGTCGAAACCACCCCCGCAGGTACGCCAACCCTCCCGCACGAAGGCCCGGTGAATTTGCGCGCCAAAAAAGTCGGACAGAGCTACGCAGTGGTCGCGTGTTTCGGACCGCGAGGAGGGAGAGTGGGAGGGGGATCAGGAAGAGGCGGCGGAGGAGTCGGGGGGATAACGACCGAGCTTAGCGTCCGTCTGGCCTGGCCTGGCCCGCGCAGCGTGAGTTGCGTTGCCGAATTTAATTAATTACGAGCGGAGTCGGGCCCGGCCGATTGTCCGCACGCTGGCCAGCTTCCGCACGCTGCGCGCCGAGACGCCACCTGCCGTCGGGAGGAACACTGCAAACAACGGGCGACGAGGCGCGAAAGCAGAGAACGGTGCGGCGGACTGGCGGCGTCGCAGACGTCGCAGATTCAGTTCATTGCGCCGGACTGAATCCGGTCGTCCTTGCGACGCCGTCGTGCCACGCCGTGCGACTCGGACGTCCTGGCGTGGCCAGCCGCGTGGTCCAGACGCCCCGCCACGCCCCGCCACGCCCCGCCCCGCCCCGCTGCACCGCATGCAAGCAGGGACCATCCTTGATTGGCTCGGCATGGCGTCACGGCCGGCCAATGGCAGGGCGAGCAAGGGCCTCCAGGAAGGGCACAGGGGGGCCGGCGGGCCCTGCGTTTTCGTCGCTCTGTCTCTCTCGCACTCATGGGGCGTGCCGCGGGGGTGCGAGAGAGACAGAGCGCCGAAAGCAGTGCCACCGTTGGGCTCGCAGGGCGCAGACACGACATCGGGTGACACGGGATGGGCTGCACCTTCAAGGCCGTCAAGGCCGCCAGGAAGAGTGGCTCTTTGTGTGGGCAGTGTGTGAGTGTGCGGTTCGCGAGAAACGCGCCCGCCCGGGAGTGCTCGCCAGACCGGAACGTGAATTAATCCAAGTCTTTGGCTGCTTTGAGATCGTTATTTTTTGTCGTGCCGCTGTCGCGTGCTGCTGGTGCGGCACTGCCTCGGACGTCGGCGAGAATAGACAAGCGGTTTTTTCATCGGATTTAATTTTGGACTTATTCTTTCCGGAGTCCAGCTCGCAGAGGCTGGTGGCGGTGGGACGATTAACTGCAATGAGTACCTGCTCAGTGGGCACTAATGGGTAGAATTTAAACTAGCGTGTGTTTGTGCCTTCAGCCCCCACCACGGAGAAGGTGGTCGTCGTGGCCGCCGAGGTGTCCACCTTCCCCACGGCCGCTGCCACCTCCTCCGAGACGGTCTTCATCGTGACGCCCGAGGCCAGCGAGGCCAGCGAGGCACCAGTGGTCAACGCCTCGCCTTCCAGCGAGACCGCCGCCCCCAAGGAAGCCCCTACCCCCGTCCCCAGCGAGGCCACCCCCGCCCCCACTGACGCCGCCCCCGCTGCCTCGAGCGAAGCCCCTGCTGCTTCGACTGAAGCTGCTCCTGCTGCCTCGAGCGAAGCAAGCGAAGCCCCCGCCGCTTCCGCTGAAGCTGCCCCGGCCTCAACAAGTTCCTCCAGAAGACGCCGCGAGGCTGACGGTGCCACCACGGAGTCGTCGACACCCAAGGCTGAGCCCGCCACGCCAGAGACCCCCGCCGTCGTCCCTTCGGAGACACCGTCCTCGACTTCGACGGCAGCCTCAACCTCCACGGAGTCCTCGCCCTCCTCCACGGAGGCCGCCGCGGTGTCCACGACCGCGGCCGCTTCGTCCAGCACGGCGGCCGCTTCCCGCAAGAGACGCGCCGATGAAGCCACCACGCCCAAGGCGGAGTCCGCCACCCCTGAGGTGCCCGTCGTCCCCAGCGAAGCCCCTTCCTCCACCACGGTCTCGACCACCACGGCTGCGGCCACAGAAGCCACTGCCTCAACCACTACCGAGTCAGCCTCATCAACCACCGCGGCAGCTCCTTCGTCCACGGAGACGGCCTCGACAACCACCGCGGCAGCTCCTTCGTCCACCGAGACGGCCTCGACGACCACGGCGGCCGCGTCACGCAAACGGCGCGCCGACGAAGCCACCACCCCCAAAGTGGAGTCCGCCACACCCGAGGTTCCCGCCGTCCCCGCCGAAGCTTCCACTACTGCTGCCGCGCCTTCAACCTCTGAGGCCACCGCGTCGACAACCACCACCGCGGCGCCGTCGAGCACCGAGGCCGCTGTGTCCACCACCACAGCTGCTGCCACACCAGAAGCCGCTGTCTCGACCACCGTCACCAGCGCAGCAGCCTCCTCCAGCGCCGAGGCCAGCTCGAGCAGCTCAAGCACCGCCGCGTCCAGGAGACGCCGCGCGGACGACGCGACGCCGACGACCGCCGTTCCCGTCGAGACCACCTCCGCCGCGACCAGCCCCGTCTCGGTCGAGACCACCGCTGCGCCGACCAGCGCCGCTCCCGTCGAGACCACGGCCGCTGCAACCAGCCCTGCCTCCGTGGAGACCACTGCTGCTGCCGCCAGCACCGCCGCCACCGAGACTGCCGCCCCCAAGGCCCCCGAGACGACGCCGGAGACGCCCGCCGTCCCCAGCGAGTCCGCAGCTAGCGACGCTCGAGGCAAGCGCTCCCCCGTTTTAGGTCTTTTGGGCAACAGGCACGGCGGCCACCGTCCGCACGGCGGCGGCCTCTTCGGAGGCTACGGCGGCTACGGAGGCAACGGCGGCTACGGCGGCTACGGAGGTAAGTGAGGCCGCACAAAAGCGTGAAGCCAACGGTGAAGCCAACACGACTCTTGCCTTACTTCCACTAGCTGGAAAGTGTCGCATCAAAGTGTTGGTTTCACGCCGCGTGCGCCGAGGGCTCCCACCCCGCTCCACTCCCGTCCATGACCCTGTCCTCGCTGGCCCCGTTGGCCCCGTGTGCATGGTGTGACCCTCCATGTCCAGGTGGCGCCTCGCAGGCGCAGGCCCAAGCCCAGGCGGGCGGGCACGGGGGCGCGCAGAGCCAGTCCCAGACCCAGACCCTCTCCCTGGGCCCCTTCTCCATCTCCCAGACGCAAAGCCAGTCGCAGGCCGGGGCCGGCGGCCGCGGAGGACCCCTCTACGACGAGTAAGTAGGCGTCAGGCCACCGACATTTGGTTTGGAAACCAAAGATTTGATTAATCCTAGGGTATTTCTTGACACTGCAATAATGAGAAAGAAGAAAGACGATTGGACATCGGTTTCAGCCAGCACCAGTCACACTGTGTGAGTTTTGACATACAACTATACCCTTACTGACTTGCGTCTATTCTGTTTGTTTACAGCTACAGCTTCTACTAGTACCTGAAGATTGACCCCGCCCTTTCCGCGTGAAGAGATCTCAAAGAAAGATTTTTTTTATGAATCAATGAATGAATGAATTGATAAACGGATGAATGAATGGATGAATGAATGGTGTCGCGGTGAGCTATTTAGGTTTTACATTTTCTGTGATGTAGCTCTCATTTGTGTATCGGATCGACTTGTGCGTCTCTTGTTGTCATATTGGTATGCGTGTCATTCCTCTTCCCTTACGCCTGTCCTGAAACTTCCAAATCCCACGTCATCAAGTCAACCTCTGTACATTGAGTGCTTATTTATTTTCCAATAAACTTAAGTTATTTAAGGTGACCAGGGAATGACTACTCATTTACAAGCCCCGCCACGGAAGCCTTTACTCTGCTCCCGACTGAACGGCAACGCGACGAGCACGTTGACTTCAGTGTAACGCGTACCATCGACCCATTAAGTGACTGCTATTCCCATCGAGATGCAAATGTGTGGCATTGTGGCATGCAGGCCAGCTGCAGCCAGCTCACGGCGCCTTCCTGGTTGCCGGGCAACCGTCCCGCTCCACGGCAGCGCGCCCTGGTGGCTGTGGCGCGAACCACAAATGGCGGTTCGTCGGCGAGGTGGCGGGCGCGACCGCCCACGGAGTCGCCTCCACGGAGCACCCCTTGAGATGGAGATCAGAATGTGGGTCTGAAAACTCATCAGGCAAAATGGCTACGCTTTCGAATGCAGTTGACATGCTAGACCGGTCGAATGCCCCGTGAAGGTAGACAAGGAGGGGTTGCTGACTGACGCGGCGCTGGCACCATGAGCGGGCCGCCGTCCAAAAAGCCGATGAGGCCGAAGGGTGAGTCTCAGCCTGACTGCTGTGCGAAATGACCTTCCCGTTCGCGTAACTCACACCGCCGTGGCGCCCTCTCCGCTCGGCGTCGCGCATCACAGCCAAGCGGTCCCCGGCGCGGGTGGCGGGCTCCAAGAAGGCCCCTGCCAACGCGGCCTTCCTGACCGTGCCCGAGAAGGCCGTGGACAGGACGCCGCCGATGACGGCCACGGCCGCGGGGAGGGCAGGGGCGCTGGTGGCCGTGGCGGAGGGCGAGAGCCCGGACCTCCTGCGGGGCCCAGTGGCGGCACGGCTGACAGACCACTGCCCACAGCCCCAGCTCCAGTGTGTAATCACGCAAAATCCAGAGCCTTCCAAAATCTAAAACGAACCTCTATCAATCGGGAAGCATTTGCCCCCGCAAGGCCGGCGCTGACGGTGACCCTGAACGACGACGGTGACGGCGACGAGGACGGCGACGTGGTCCCGGAGCTCGTGCGGCGCGCCGAGTCGCCGCGGTCGTCCGTCAGCGAGTCCACGCTCTGGGAGCACGTCGGGCTGCAGGCGGGGCTGTCCGTGTCCACCGCCACCGTCCCGTACCCGGGGACCGCCGGCACCGCCGGCTCCGCCGCGCCCGACAAGAAGAAGTGCTGAAAGAAACGAAACACACTCGTACACAAAAGCGTCTGATTCTCTGCGCCGCCCGGAGCCCACAGCCAAGCCGACGCGTATGTGCGAACGGCTGCCTGCCATTACGGCGCTCATCGCTCCAGGTCCAGGGCTCCAGGCGCCAGCACGCGGAACCTGAAGCGTGGCGGGCCGAAGGAGAGCCTCGCGGCAACAGTTTGGAGAACTGGCTGGTGGGAAAAGACGGGAAGTGTCGAATGTAAAGATGGATTTATCGAGGTGGTCCATTCGATCCTACTCGAACTCGAGTCCGCGGAGCCGCTCGCAGTGAACAGGGCACGCGTCGACCACTTCGGCACCGTGACATAACGCGCACCGGGCCGCCGGGCACACAGTGGTCGCAGTCTGATTCCGAACAGTGATTTGGACGCTGTCTCTCTCGCACTCTTGGGGCGTCCCGTACGGGTGCGAGAGAGACAGAGTGACGACGCGGAACCAGCCCGCTAAAAACACCGCGAGCCTGCGGGGGCGTTTTAGAAAGCGAGGGGTGCATGGCGCGCGCGTGTCCCGTAGAGCACCGCGAGAAGGCGAAGGACATTCATTTCGACGAGACACGCCAGCACTGTCTGCGGAGCCTTGCGGAGCACGCACACGCAAGGCGGGGCTCGCTGGGCGGGGCACCACAACAAGCACCCCCCTCTCTTGGCGGCCATTGATGCAGAGAGGTCTGTATTTCTCGCACTCGTGGGGCGTTCGGTACGGGAGCGAGAGAGACCGGCCGTCGGGCCCTCCGGCTCGGAATCGGTCTGCAGAATCCAGTCTCAGTGCGACTCCGGTGCGACATCTAGCGGTAGGAGCCCGCCGCCGCCCCACGCAGCGCGGCTCTGGCCGGCGTGGTTCTGACTGCTCTCCACGGAGCGAGTGGCGGCAGTGTTTCTCTGCCCACCGTGCCGCCGCCGCCTCCGAGAGTCGCGAGTCCTTGCTGCCCTTACCCGCCTTGCCGAGGACGAGGGCGGTGCAGCGGCCGAGGTCCTGCTCCTGGTCCCGCCCCCCGTGCGCGTGGACGCCATCCCCGTCAACCCCGAAGACGACTCCGCACAACCACCACCACCGCTGCGGTCTGGAGGCGAGCCTGGAGGTCAGTGTCGAGGCAAAACGGCCACCCCTAAATCCAGAGGCGGAGCCAGACAAACCCGAGGACCACTCATTACCTTATTACTAGAGGTTCTGCAAATGGCCCCTGGCCCATGCAGTGGTGGGTTTCTTTTCATGTAAAATTCCCCCGCTGCTTTCCAGATGCTGCGTTCCACGGGTTCCACGGCGGTCGCCGTCCTCGTCGCGGTCCTGCTGGCGGCCTCGGTGCAGGGCGTCCCGGAGCAGCAGGCGCCGAGCCCCGCAGGAAAAGGTACGCCGCCCCTTCCCTTCCAGATTCCAGCCATTCCGTTGCATTTCGTGCATTCCCCGCCCGCCCGTTTATTGTTAATGTTCGTTTTTTTTCGCGATATTTTGACGAGGTACTTAAGTGCACAAGTACACTTGAGCTTGCTCCCGCCGCGTTTTATCGTTTTGCCACTTTACTGGGCGCGTTCTCCTTCTCTTGCCAACAACAGTGCCAAATTTTGCAAACATCTAAGAACATTGCGACTGACAGGTTTAACGAAATTCATCTCTAAGTGCTCGGGCAACATTTTTCTTTGAAATAAATTTTTCGCGTTCAGATGGGAGAAGACTGATTGACTCCCAAAATAACGCGGCCTCCAGCGCGGTCCGTCTTCTGGGAACCGATGATGCACCGTCACGCGACTGGTGTTTGTTTCGACTTGACGAAAGAGTGAGCGTGGCGCGTGGCGGTGGAGGAGTGACTCAGAGTAACTCAGAGGTGTCCAGCGGGGCGGGGCGGCCCGGCCGCGCTGCTTTGTGATATAACGGCCCCTTCGCTTGTCTCACTTGTCTCGCCTCGGCTCGGCCGGTTATCCGTCCCGTCGCCCCGATGCTCAATCTCGCCGTCTCGGTGTTGCAGCGCCGTTCTCGTTCGGCCCCACCTACGACGAGATCGTGGTGGAGACCCAGCTGGCCGTGCGGCCCAAGGTGTCGAGCGCGGGGCTGAGCCTGCGGTCGGGGCGCGCCAAGGCGCCCAAGGCCGTGTACTTCCGGCCCAACGCCACGGCCTCGGGCGCCGAGGTCCGTCACATCACCCCCCTCGTGGCCTCGGCCTCGACGACCACCCCCAGCGACGGCATCTCCTTCGCGGCGCGCGTCGTGAGCGAGGAGAACCCGCTGGCGGTGGAGCGCGCCAGGAAAGCGGCGGCGGCGGCCCGCGCGCGGAGGGAGTCCAACAAGTCCACGTCGAGCTTCAGCAGCAGCAGCCACAGCTTCCGGTCCAGCAGCAGCGGCGGCGGCTCCGGCCCCGCGGGCGCGGCCAGCTCGGCCCCAGCGCCCCCGGCGGCACCGCCCAGCACCAGCAGCCACAGCAGTGGCAGCTCCAGCCGCACCTACACGCGGCAGCTGGCCGACGGCCGCACCGTCACTGTCACCGAGACCGACGAGTTCCACGCCTCCCTGGGCCCCGACACCAAGGCCCCCACCGCATCCAGGCTGCTCACCGTGCTTGTGGGCAGCCAGTGAGCATGCCGTCGGGCCGAGCCTACGAGGCAGGCAGGCCCGCCGAGCCGTGGTGCGATGCTTGGCTGCCTGTCCACTTGTGTACATTTCAAATCTATTTAAGAATGCTGTTAAAATAAAGTTGTTGTTCCCTCTGTCCTTGAAAGAGATTGCGTATTTTATTTTATAAGAATATTTGATGATTGAAAAGAGCAGATTTGTTGAAAGTTGTTTATTCAGGGCTATCAATAAAATTTAAATTTTGTTGTTAAAATCACAATTTTGTTTTTTGTTTTTAAAGAAAGATTTGGTACAAATAAGTTAACTTTTAGGTTAAAAAGGTTTCAAACTAAGTCTTTTTGCAGAAAGTCTTGAGCAGTGATTCCAGCCACACTACAACTCCATAGGCACCAGCATCCACGTTAGAAAGGTGGGACTCATTCACATAACTTGCCCGCCCAACCCTGAACAGGAAACAAAGTCCTTGTTAGAAATTGCAGCAATGACGCAAAGATAAAAATAAAAAAATTTTAGTACGCACTTAGCAAACATTTTGGCAGTGTCGGCACATCCCTGTTTTGCTGCAGAGACAGCTGCTTCAAAGGCTGCCAAACCGTCTGTCCCTTTTGAAACAGCTTTTCGGAACTCTTGACATGCTGGGATCAAGGCATCCAGCTAGTAAAATAAAATAAGATTTTAATGCACTGCCATAATTAATTTACCAGGTGAGAAAATAAAACAACAAAATACTAACCATGGTGCGGTCTCCCTGCCTTGCCTTGCTGTGGCGCATAATACCCTGCAGACCTTCTTCCCATGATGTAGCAAGGTGCTCCAACAGAGAGATAGTGTCCTTAATGCATTTCACCTTGCTCAGTTGAGAGCTAGCGGCAGAAAATAATAAACCATAGACGGCTCCTGACGTGCCACCCATAATCACACTAGCCAAATTTGCTAATTGAAGTAATAATTGAGCAGGGTGCTTCACTTGAAGATTGGGCAGTTCTGTAATCAGTGCTGGAAAAAAAATACTAGAAGTTATTAACAGTATCAGCAAATAAATGTTATTTTCCCATCGAAAGAAAATCTCACCTTTAGCCAGTCTAGCAAGGGTTGATCCACAGTCTCCATCACCACAGCCACTATCCAATTCATTCATTTTATCAGCATGATGAATGAGATCCATGGCTGCAGCCTCCAATGCACTCTTTAAAATCTCTGCTAAAGAGTGCTCAAGTTCAGGACCTAAATTCTACAACACACAAGTTACCTGTCAGACAAAAGCAGTGAAAACTACTCAATAAAATTTGGAAATTGCAAAGTTTTTACCTTTGATTCTTCCTTCTTCACTTGAGATGCTGACTCACAAGACCTGCTTCCCTTGGTGGGCGGAATAGAGCTTGGCCGGCCAGGCCATGCTGGGGCAGACGATGGAGCATCTAAACACCTCAGCCAATCAGCATCAGTGAGTCGGAGAATAGAAACTTGTACTCCGGAAGTCTCTAACGACGTCATCAGTGGAGCAGCATAAAGACGCACTATTTCAACCCCCCAAGAGACTGCAAAGGAAATCCAAAATAGATAATGTTAATAATAATAGAAGTTAAACAGATAATTTAATGTAAAAATTATGGGTCTAACTGATTATTTACCAATCTTTTCATGGATAACTTTGACAGCTACATACTGTTCCAATTGTGATAGACCACCAAGATTATTAACAAGAACTGCAACTTTTTCCCCTTTCTGCAGTTTGAGTGTACGCTGAATTGGATCCAGTATTTGGGAAATTAGTTCTGAAGCTGGCGCCATCTATAGACAAGACAGTTTAATGCATTAATGAGAAGTACACAAGACCACGAAAAGGGGGAAAAACATGTAAAAATGTAAAGTTACCGGCACAGTTTTAAGTCCAGCTTCCCCGTGAACACCAACCCCCAGCTCAACGCTGCCAGGAGCAAGGTTCAGAAGTGGCTGGATTGATCCGGGCAAGATGCAAGACCTTATTGCTAGACCCATGGTAGCCGTACTGTCCACTACTCGCTTGGCAACCTCAGCTACTTTCTTAAGCGGAAGGCCCTCTGACGCAAGTTGTCCTGCTATCTGAACACATAAAAACATTCCTCATTAACAAATAAACGGCACAAAAACTGCAAAGGAAAACAGCTCAGCTTACTTTGTACACGAAGATCAAACCACACATGCCCCTGCTGCCAGTGGAGGAACCTTTCCCGCTTTCAAGCAGGGAGCAATCATCGTCGACAATAACACTTTCCACCTGCATCATTATGAAGATTAGAAAACCAATGGTGAGAAAAAGGGAAGAGCTGAAAAGGACCCTGAAACAAGATAAAACTTACTTGAACGCCATCCCTTCTCGCCCACTCGGAGGCCAGGCCAAAGTTGAGGCAGTCTCCAGTGTAATTTGGGATGACTAAAAGAACGCCGCCTGCACAAAAGAGTCCACTTTCAGCGATGAATGAAACAGTCCAGTCACTCCCGCTGCACTCCACCTTGTACCCACCCTTGTGCCTGGAGGCCACGTCGGCCAGGGCGCGCTGCACGTGCGTGGCGGGCGGGGAGGCGAACACTGAGCCGGACACGGCGGCGGCCAGCATGCCCGTGCCCACGAAGCCGGCGCAGAAGGGCTCGTGGCCCGCGCCGCCCCCCGACACCAGCCCCACCGTGTCGCCGGCCTCGGACCGCAGCGTGACGGCGCGGCTGTCCTCCAGGACGCGCAGGCCGGGGAAGGCGGCCTGCAGCCCCTGCAGCATGTCGTCCACGCAGCGCTCCGGGTCGTCCAGCAGCTTGTGGTGCGCCATGGCGGGTCTGCTACGTCAGGCACGTCACGCACGGAGAGCGATCCTGCAGGAAGACAACAAGTGCGGGGATGAGCTCGGCAAAGAGCCCGGACGGAAGTACCACGACAGTGCAATGTTGAAGGGTTTCAGTTACGTGCTGTGGAGTATTCCGGCAGTTATACCTGTAAATGTTTCTCTAAAATAATTTGTTAAGTTGGAGAGGGTCGGTCATGTGTCTTCGTCTTGTTCTGTCGCTGGAGACTCAGAAGGAGACAACTTCCGGCAGCAGCAATACGAACTGACCACAAAAACGAAATATTTTAGCCGCCAGCACTACATAAGTTGTGACATGGCGGCTTCGAGTTTACGAAAGCGGCACAGGTTCACGTAAATCACGTGGAACCACAGCCCCGGTCGGGCAGAGGCTTGCCTGTCGCACTTTTAGCCTACTTGCAGTGCACCACGACCAGAACCCCCGCCATCGCCACGCCACTTGTGGCCGGGGGTCCTGGCCTGGGCCCTGGAACGTCTGGGACTTCCACCACGCGACGAGAGCGCCACCATGCCTTTCTCTCATGGCGGCACGCGGGAGGCCACGCCACCGCCCGGCTCGCGGGCCTCGCGCGCGCCACGCCTGTCGAAGTGGCTGCCTGCCTGCGCGGCGGTCCGCGGCCAACAGCAGAGGGATTCTGAAGTGTCGCTCCGTCGCTCTCGTGCCCCTGCGGTTCGCTGCATGAGAGCGAGAGAGACAGCGCGGCCATACAACTCCTTCGGAATCAGCCTGCAGAGCTGCAGCCAGTGTACCCACCAGCATCGCTCAGGCCCCAGACCGCGAGCTGGCCTGCACGGCCTAATGACATTTGGCGAACGCACTCACGACCAACGTTTCCCTCCAAAGTACTGTTTCCACTATCGCCCTGTTCCCCTCCGTTATCACAGCCTCCACGGGCGTGGACGCCGTGGACCAGTAAACAAAATCGCCGCTGTCGTTGCGCGCGGCGAGTGGAAGTTTCTCGATCGCGCATCGCCCGCCGACTTTGACGGGTTCAAACGCGACACAATCACACCACCGATTGATGCTGTTGCTCTTGCAGTCAACAAGCAAAGCACGCCTTCGTCACTTTTGAACCGGCCAGCAGACTTATTCCGAACACTGCTCACATCGCTGTGTCCCTCTCGCACAAATGGGGCACGCCGAGGAGACGCGAGAGAGCCAGAGCGACGAAAGCGCGGTCCGGAATCGCCCTGGTCAGGCCTGTCAGGCCCTCGTCGACTCGACACCCACTGCACTGCTCTCGACGCTGTCCCTCTCGCTCCCTTACGGGATGCCCCATGAGTGCGAGAGAGACAGCGCGATGAGAGTTGCAGTGGCATGACGGCCAAGGTCGCGGTGGTCGCAGGCGACGCCCCGAGCTAACTACGAGTGAGCCCCACCCCACGGTGCCTCTGCGGCCTCTGCCTACCAGAGACGAGCGAAGTGCGATGTCCGCGAAGTGCGAGCGGAGCGCGAGGTGAGATTGACCGCCTCCGACTTCCCGACGCGACGGCGAGCAGACTGACTGCCGAAAACGAGAACGCCCAGCCTCTGCACTGCTGTCTCGAGTCTCGGCCTCTCGGGCGTCCGCGCGGAGCGATCTCCCAATCAACAGCCTCCCCTCGGTTTGGATTCGCTCAGAGCACGAAGGGGCGAGACAGACTCGTTACATTCTGAACCTTCCGATTACTGACAGAACGGCCGAGCGGTTCCGAAGAATCATTTTCTCGTTCTCTCTCTCTCTCTTTCGTTCTCATGGGGCATCCCGTAGAGGTGCGAGGGAGACAGCGAAGATACTCCAGAATCGCTCGTACGACAGGCCGCTGTACCCAAACGGAGTTCAGATATACAAGTTCAGAGTTCAAAAACTTGGCGCATGATAAACTTGTTCGTGCTTTCACCCCTTGCGAGGCTCGTCAGCAAGGCCACCGTGGCGTTGCACTCCCCGCAGAACAGGCCGACTTTGTTCAAAGCCAGGGAGGAACACCTAGGTAGGTCTGCAACCACGAGGCAGTTGGGACTTCCCTCTTGTAACTTCCAAACCGTCTCAAGGAATCACGAATCCACTAATCAGCCGATAAGACGTCAAAATGCCCGACATACTAAAATACATGTCACATCCGGGTAACATTTCGACGTCTATCGTCATTTAAAGGGATTGTGGGTTGGACATGTAAAATTGTTCCTTTGAGATGACGGCTTGGATGGAGGGGTCTGCAATTCCCTCCATGATACATGTGTTTATTTCAGTCACAAGAGAAAGGTACTTTCTTGTACGTATGTCACGACCGCCAAGCGCCTGGGCGTAGGCAACAAGACGACTGTGTCCTTGTCCTTGATTACAGTCAATTTGTCATGGCATTTGTTGCAGATCGAGGAATTTAATTCAAGTCGTCATACTGGGTTAGTCTCGTGGTTCTGAGAGGAAAGATTTCAAACCAATTGTGAGGGTTGAGTGGGGGACAAGGAGGACTGGTGGTGTAGCAACATAGCTTCTAACAAGAGAAGACTTGTATCCAGTGTGTTGGGGAGTAAACTAAAGGCCTAGGCCTCTGCAGAAAATGGAAAAAGTAAACCAAGGTGTTCACTCTGATTGGTGTAACATGAATGAGAAAGATGGGAGTGTATCTGCTAAGACAACGACTTATGTGAAAAAATACCTATTTATTCAAGCGTTAATCACATGTGTGCTCTGGTGTAGAACACATACACTAAATACTTTTTTATTTTTTTCTTTGATTTACAGGAAAGTGCTCTATAACCGAGCAGTTTTATGTACAAAACTAAACAACCTAATAGAAAAACTGTGATTAACAGATTGTCTTTTAATCTCTAAACCAAAAAAAAAAACACGACTAGAAACGTGAAACCATTGGTAGATTTCGAATGAGAAAGATGTGGAAGATATGGCACACATCAAGGAACCCTTATGTACTCCTTGACAAGTCCGCCAAAACATAGTGCCCAAATTATGGACACACCTATGCGATAGATTTGATCCAAACTAAAAGCATATAGAAATATGATAATACTTCTTCTAATTATTTGGCAACTCTGCAAGTTTCTTGAAGCTACAAAAATTTAGCCCAAAGTAAGATGCTTTCATTGAAAAAACATTGTTGGAAAAATTGTTTGAGTTGCATTACCCATCAATATGATAGTCACAGCAACAAAGTAGTGAGTCAAGCAGGCAGAAGCTTTCAGTCAACAATTTTTTCTTGCAAGGAAATAAGCATTTTATAATTAAAAGTATGCACCTAAAACACCCATGTTGAAATAAATCTAGATCTTTCAGGAAACAAAGATACTACAGTAATGTTTTTGACAACCCAAATTAATGAGTTTAATTTTCCAACATCAGATAATGACAACTGCAAGCTGCAACTCAAATCAGTTCAAAGTAGGAGTGACTTAAGGCATTTGACTGACCTTAAAATAAAAAAACTTTTCTGTAGCCAAAACATTTGAGTATACGAAGCGCAAGTGAGAGATAACCACTTAACACACACATACTCACACCTGTTTGCGACTGTTAAACCCCTTCTACCAATTTCTTACACACAAACCATCAACGATAGACACTGTGTGAGTGAGTATGCGAGTGTGTTAAATTTCATTCTCAGAATAAAACTATTTATTATTAAAAAAAAAAAAAAAAAAAAACAACAGTCCCTAACCCAAAAAAGTGAAAGCAAGAAAAGTTACAACTCGAATCTAGAAAAGAAAAATTCCCCTCCAAGACAGACAGACCAAAAAAAAAACAAAAAAGACAAGACAAATCCATGATATATGGTTACTTCAGAGTGAAAAAAGTGTTTTCTGCTAGATTATGCTGCACGAAAACAAAACCCCTATCACCCACTCATTAAAATCTAATATGTTTACATGATAAAATCCCAAAAGTTATAAGTTAAATAGTTTAATTCTGAACCGCCTTCGCAGAGAATGACATGGAAATCATAAGCTAACCCCATCCATGGAGTTCAATTGATAAAAGCCTACCCCCCCTCCCCTCCCCCCCAAGTACAATAGTGATATGTATATTCATTCAAGCCAGACAAAGAGATCACAAGACAGGAACTCTGAAGTGACTTACCACTCCTTGGAGGTCATCTGGGAGACATTAGAGACCTATCCTGAAGTACATCTTCTGTTACAGATTACAACAAAAACAGCAAAACAGTTCTTGACAAAGAGGGCGAATGGTCCCAATGGGCTATGTCAAAATCACAGATAGGCTACTGCAAGATATCAGCATGAGGATTGTCTCCGAAGTAATTATAGTTGTGAAAGTAGTGATTCATGAAAAATCATATTAGCCTATGCTGATATTTGACAATAGTGACATGGTTTCTTTGCTAATAACAGTAGCCACCAATGCCAGTTAATTTAATACACCCAAATTTCACCAACATTTCCCTCTTTGGTTCTAAATTTATTTGCTACAACAATTTCTCAGCTGATTTCACCAGCTTCAAACATAGAAAATGAAAAGGCCATAGATGAAGCCAAATCATTATGACCAAAATCAATTGTTTATAACTATTTTGTTTCAACTTAATTTTTATTCAATGCTCTGTAAAGGAAACCACAAAACCCAAGAATTTAAAACTACATCTTAACTGCAAATTCAAATAAGAGTCAACTGAGCAAATTTCTTAAAATTTAAAGAAATTTTACATCAGTTTGTAACTTGAAATAACTCACCACCAATCATAGGTCCTCTGTAAACCTTCACGACCTTGGAAATACGGTTGCAGCAAGGACATCTTTTCCTTTCCTTCCAGATCTTCTGGCTGCATTTGTAACAATATATCTGGTGGGCAACATCGCCATGAAGAAAAATAGAGTCCACTGGACTTTGAAAACAACAGCCACATTTAGGTTCAGCATTATCACTGAAATCACTCCCGGGTTGGCTTAAACCCAAACCACTATCTTGTGCCTCAACTGGACTCTCACCTGTTGTCAGAGAGAAAAGTCAGTGTGATATTCACATACGAAACTCAGTTATAATAAAACTTTTAGAGATGTGACTTACTTTCAGGTGATGATTTGCATTGACTGGGTTTAAACAGAGAAACGCTACCACTCTGCTGAGAACTTAAGCCACCGGACGAACTTTGGGATGACGTTAGCTTCCTACTTTTGGGACGTGGCTGAGGAGGAAGTCCACTCTTGCGTTCCTAATTTCAAAAAAGGCAATTCCAAATAAATACAAATACAACTCAGAATTCAAAAACTAGATTCCTCAGCAGGTGCCAGACACACTCGTCAAGAACAAGATTCAAAATAGACAACATACCCTAAAGCATCTTATACAAAGTCGAAAGCAAGGATTTTTGTTTGTAGTACCACATTGAACACACTTCCAATAATCAGCTCTGCTGATTTCTGGATCTGACGATCTGTCCGAAAAATCTGACAGATCTGCTACCACAGATAAATCAGATCCAAATTCCGAAACCAGTTGGTCAAAGGTACCAACGACACATACATCCTAAAATTTTAAAAGAAAAGTGATAAGTAACATAGAATGTGAGGTAAAGGCAAGGTGTCTGTGCTTTGATACAAGATTAATTTTTTCTAATATGAATAAAAACAACATTTATTTTTAGATAAACGGAAGGAAAAGCTGAGAAGCTTCAAGGAATGGACAGATTACGTCACTAACTGGTATGTTGCACCAACACTAATTTAGCAACAAACCCTTAAGACACAGCACAAACACACATTAAATAGCAAATAGCTTCAGTAATGACCACTTACATCAGGCCCAGAGGATACTTCCGACACCTCTCCTTCTGAAAGACTGGCCAAAGTATATTCAGAGTCCTCTGACTTTGAAGATGTATCGCTCGTGTCACGAGCGCTTGCTGGAGGGGATTCAATGGGACGAGTGTCATTAATGTTCACAAACACATAGAACATCTCAACTCTTTGCAAGGGATCGAGTGGCCAGTGGATGCAACCCATGTAAGGTGTTGTAGTGCACATGAACCACACAGCCCATCTGAATAGCCACAGAGCTGATATGGCATCTGTTTTCGAGCTATCAGATCCTTAAATTGTCAGGAAGGGCAAGACCAGCTCAATATATTTTGAGTAGCCTAGCGATCAATCCTTGCTTGCAGCTACACACATGTTCCATCTTGGAGTACCAAGTACGAGCCTCAGAAATGTCACACATGAAGCATGCATGATATTATTGTGAATCGTATCAAGCTCATCTGGAACGAGAGTTTAACCAGTGCTTGCAGGGCAAGATGATCGCCTCTCTATGTGCGAGTTGCACCATGGGACAAACAAGCGAAGGGGAGTGAATGACAGCATTGAAAAAGGATATCTGCCTTTCAACTAAGATAGGGAGCAAGAAATTCCCACATATTTCTAACCATGTGCACCCTCTCAGACTTCGTTCAATTGCTGCCATTTCCTTCTCAACCCAATTTCTCGCTATGTTCCCCATGTAGTCCCCTCCAATGTCAACGGCAGCTTCAAATTCAGTCAAAATGAAATACAAATTTCCAAGAGGGAAACCCAAATTTTCAAGAATGTAATCAAACCTCAAAAACCAGAAGAGATTTCATGATAATGAAGGTAACATAAGAAACTTGGTGGTAACATTACCAGAGCAAATATTTCCAGCAGCAGATGCTGGTCCAAAATATGCAATACTGGTTTCATGTGCAACTTATACATTGACAGAAAATTAATTTAATATTGATAGGTTGATCTACTTTGGTAGTAATGAGGTTTTAAATTGCATGTCTTCTCACAAATAGTTATAATTAAATAATAGAGAATTATCAACAAACTTGTCCTAGAGCATACAGCTTAAAGACTGAGTTTAAAAGACAAAACACCAGAATAAGTCTCCACCGTGATATAACTTTCCCCAAGCCTTGCCTCCAAATGTTCTAAATTCAACACACAGTCAATCTTCTAATAGACAAATTAAAACTGAAGAGTCATCACAATATTCATCACAGAACTGGGATCAGAGAGGTGCACAGTATTCCACAATAGTTCCAAGGCCTCAACTGATCTAGTGGACAGGCCTGAATAGGTTGGCTTTGTGTACACATATGCTGTTTATGCCCCACAATGGGCACATGGAAGGAACATAATATTGAAGGTTATTAAATGTTATAAAGATTCTCCCTTACCAGATGAGCTTAAACTAAGTTTCACAAGTTCAAAAAGGCAATAGAAAGTTTCTCACCTGTTTCGTTCATTTGAAAGCTTAACTCGCTTTCACTTTCAATATCCGACATCTCACTTTCAGTTGCAAGACGTATATTGGTGGGTTGAGACAGCCTTGCAAACTTCGGTAACCGCCCTCCTGTAGAAGATATGAAGAGGACATCGTCTTTAATAAATCTGAGCTAATATACACCGTGAAACACACAAAAAAAAATAACCTCCGAGGCAAAACTTACCATCGACTTCATCAAAAGACCGCTTCATGCATTCAGCCATTCTGTAAAGGTAAGACACAATTGGTCACAGTATTGTAAACATGTTTCCAGCAGCACTTATAGAAAAGATAAAATACACCCAAAACAAATAAAATAAATAGAAACACTTTTGAAGTAATTGGAAAGAAATAAACAAAACATTACACATTAGGGTTATCTATTCGAGATAGATTCAAGAAATGTAATGCACCTCACAAACACATTGAGGTTCATGATATAAATAGAGTCAGCAAGAAGTATTCGGAAGTCAACAAGTGCGATTCACATTCAACTTTCATCAAAGACGCAAAACTTGAACCTAAACTGCGGATTCTCACACAGAATTTAGAACCTGCTTCCGATTTTCACGCCAGATCTCTCCTATTCCCGCTAAAACTAAATACAATAGGCACGCTTTGAGCCCCCGAGGCGTCCCTCTTCCTCAACAAAAACCTTGGCATCTTTTGCCTGTTTCCACCTACAACATTCACATTACCGTACCTCAGGTGTAACGGCCTCGGAGACTAGGATTCGAATTTGAAACTGAATTGAAAACGAACAAGGCCTGTTCCACAACGCCACCGTTTACTTACACGAATTCCTCGGCGACGCTGCAACTAGAGTGTGGCGGGCAGCAAAGGAAGAGAAGATAGCGGGTTTCGGCAGGCTCGGTCTCGTGGAGTCTCGAGCAGGTTCGAACTTGTCAGTCGGCCTACGCTACGCCACACACACCAACACACACACACGGACGCACACACTCGCAGGGGCACAAACACAGGCTCACCCACATAATTCTCGTGCCAACCTACGCAACGAAACTGCGGAAGAGCAGCGTCGTTTAACTGCGATGGAACTTTCAAAAGAGACTTTAAACAGCAAAATAATGATAAAATAAACAGTTTGAAGTTGATTTGGAAAGGATTTGACGTTTAAATGTTCAATAGTAGAAAAATATATTTGATTTGGTTTTTGTGCTGTTGGCAAAAACCACGTGGAGGACACAACTCAGATAACGTCGAAAGAGGAAAACTTTTGCTGCCACTCTCGCTGCTATCAATGCGGAAGATATGCAAGCTACAGCCCATCGACGTTATCTCAAATGCAGTGGAAATAACCAGAAGAGTTCTTCGCACGGCCCGTTTCATTATTTGCAGAATTGGCGGCAGTTTGTAATTTTGTTCAAAAACAAGGTCTGCTAGTTTCTAATTTAAGGCGCTAACTTTCCGATTTTACCCCCATAATGTCTTTGACACAGAGTTTATAGGATGCTTAACGGCTATTTCCGTAATGTTCATGAGCTTCTTTCACTTGTACTGATCTATTGTTCTGAGAACTTTAGGTTATTTTTGATCTTCCATTTCTGGAAATTACTGGAACACACAAATGTATAGAAAACCACACATTTTTAAATGTTTCTGCCCACTGATATCCAACTTGTTACTGAACAATCCCTCTCCCTTTTTCTAATTTTCAGGAGCAATGTCACAAACACAATCACCACCTCCTCCAGAACCGAAATTTGTGCTTCGAGATGGAATGGGCCCAGTTTCCTGCATTGCCTTTGGACTAGACGAGACTCTGTATGCAGGGACTCAAGATGGGTGGATACATGTTTGGGACCTGACAGTAATATTCTGCTCACCTTATTCTGATGTTCTGACATTGCTAATTACATTGACTTATATTACTTAATTTTATGTTCGCAGATTAATCGGAGAAAGAGTTCATTTCAAGTAGGAAAATCGGTCTGCCTAGCTATAGGAGATTTCTTCACCAAACTTGTTGTACAAGTTAAAGGAGAGGGTATTAGTGTTTGGAATTCTTCCCCAAAGTTTGCACTTGAGCATAAATTTGATTATCAATATATGGGTTTCTGTAAATTTGAGTGTGATAAAACTTTAAACTATGTATTTGTCCCGGATGATGATGGTGAAATTAAAATCATTAACTTACGTAACTTTAAATTAGAGAACAAATTTATTTGCCCAGCAGTGAAGCTTGGGGAAGTAATGGTCATGAAGTATAGTCATTATTGCCATCAGGATGTATTATTAGTGGGCTATGAAAGTGGAGATATTTATGTTTGGAATGTAACACAATGTTCACATGTAGGTCATTTCAAAATAGCTAATGCACCCATGGCCATTGATTTTGACCCAGACAGTGGAAAGGGTGTTTGTGGAACTGAGTCAGAGTCAGTTTTTCTTTTCAAAATTGATAAAAATTTTGCCTTTACTGTGGAAAGTTCAATAATGCTTAAAAATCCTGGAGTAAGTGCTGTTACAATAAGACCAGACAGAAAAGTAGTTGTACTTGGCTGTTGGGATGGCAACATACGAATCTATTCGTGGAAATCTTCTAAAATATTAGGTGTACTCACGGAACATTTAGAAACAATTAATGCCCTATGCTTTTCATCCAAACCAATATCAATGTGGAACTCAATTATTCTCGCAGCTGGGAGCAAGGATAAAAGCATATCTCTGTGGACTTTCTATTAAAAGTCGTTTTTGGACCAAAAAATAATTGTGTTGAAACTTTTTGGAAGCAGTTGTTGTTCCTAGTACTTAAAATTTTATTTTCTTCCTTATTATAAAGAATTGTATATGGCAAGGTATTTGACAGTTGGGTATATTATTTTACTTAGCACTTGAACTATCATTCAAATAATTAAAGTATCATTTTTAAAACCTACCTAAAACTGTACACTTGTATTGAATCATAAAGAGCTAACAAGAAAGTGAAAAAGTTTTTCTTAATTTAAATCCATATAAAACACAGCCTTTATGTCATGAACACCTTGATGAGTTTAAACTGCCTCCACTCCACTGTCAAGGAAGTCCTTTATCAAGAGACACACCTTGGGAGGAAATACTCTAGAATAAAAAAAAAAAAAGATTAACTCAGATTATTTTTTTGTGAATTTTCCTTTGCAAAATTATTACAACAGATCCCCTAGCACATACCTGCAGATATTGTTGATGTTTAGTAGAGACTTGGGAATGGAAACTTCGTGATAGTTACGCCTCATTGCAGTGATGATCTCATCAGCAGCCTCACTTGGTCCCAGCATGCTCAATATAGATGGGAACTTAATTCTTGGCTTTTCGCACAGCCCTGTATCCACCATATATGGACAAATTGTTGTGAATTTAACATTGTTGATTCGAGCATCTTCTCGCAGCTCTTCTGAAATGGCTTCCATCAAACCTGAAAGCAGGCAGAATGCCAGATTTTTGGTAGAGTGTGGCACAGTAATACTGATTTTAAAAATACATCCATGTTGGTGGGGCCTTACCTCGCACAGCGTATTTGGAGGCACAATATGGGACCAGATTGGAGAGACCCATTGTGCCTGCCATGGACGACATAGCCACCACATGGCCATGGTTTTTCTGGATCATGCTCGGAAGGAAGGCCTCCAGCATCTGCGGGAGGGAAGAGACAACGGTTAAAAAGAGGACAGGGAACCGAAACTGGCACCACCACCGGCCTGCCGCGTACCCAGAAGTGGGCCATCACGTTGATGTCGAAGATCTTCTTGATCTCCTGAGGGCTGTGCTTGAGCAGGGGGTGGGTGGGCATGATGCCGGCGTTGTTGACCAGCACCGTCACCTCGCCGACCTCCGCGCGCACCTTGGCGGCCAAGGCCAGCACCTCGTCCCGGTTGGAAACATCACACCTGGCGTGACAATGCCAGAGGAATTAGACTCGGCTCGAGAAGTTCAAGCTGCTTACGCCGCCCGCAGCTAGGCAACCCAACGTACGCCCCGCTCCAGAGCGCTCCAGAGGCTGTCCAGACGTGACTGGCCTGTTGACGTACTTGTAGGTGGGCGCCTTCTTGCCCGTGAGGTCCGCCACCATGCGCGCCGTCTCCGCGTTGCCCTTCTCGTTGATGTCGATGCACACCGGGTTGGCGCCCAGCGCGGCGAACTTGATGGCCAGCTCGCGGCCCATGCCGTGGCCCGTGCCCGTGATCTGGTCAAACAGGAGGAAAAGAGGCCGTCAACGTCCAGTCGTCCCCAAAACCACTTCCGGGCACGAAACCATCCTCGCGCGTCCTTCAAAACATGTGGAACATCAAAAGAAACCCGCGGAAGGAGAGGGGGAAATGCCGAATTTCTGGTACACGGGTCTTTTTTGTTGTTGCCGTTGTTGTTTGTTTGTTCTTTTATTGGGTGGATTGGCTGGGCACGTGGTTGGAAATTTTGTTGCAGACATGGGCGCGGCGGGCTTTAAAGTTTAAAGTCCGTTCCTAGTTCGACCGTGACCACACCACACCGCCGTGACTCTGAGTGTCGGTAATAAACGACACGTCTCGAGGGACCGCGCGTCAACCCGACAAAAAGAGAGGACGACGTCGTGGCCGGCACGCCGTCGCGCCGCCTGCCGGTCGAGCGAATGCGAATTATCGTTTCCGTCACTCTGTCTCTCTCGCACCCCAACGGATCAGCCTACGAGAGCGACAGAGACAGAGCGATGAAACGATCCTTAGGAAGCGTTCGGTTGACAGCCATCATTAGCGCACCGGTGCATTTTAACTGCGCGCCGGCACTCAGACTACTGACAGCGCTTCGTCGCTCTGTCTCTCTCGCACCCCTACGGCACGCCCCATGAGTGCGACAGAGACAGAGACGGGTGGTGCTGGTCTTCCCCCGTCGCAAAGCACGCGCGCGGCGCTACGCGGCGCTCCTCACCAGGACGGTCTCGCCGGCCACGGACTTCTCCTTGGGCGGCACGACGATCTCGAAGGTGGCCTGCAGGATGCTGAGGGTGCAGCGCACCATAAGCAGCAGGATGTCCAGGAGCAGCACCAGCGTGGAGTACAGCTTGAGCAGCATGGTGGTGCCGCTTTCCGGCGACCCGCGCCTCGGCCTGCCAACCAAACAACCAAACAATCATTCTCTTTGCACTTTTCGTCCGTTTATTCCGCGATGAGACACCGGGCACCTCCGACAAAGTCGTTACGGGACGGCAACTTGTTTCGCTTTAGACACTGTACAAACGTGTTGCGGCCTGGCCGTGGTGCCGGCGGCGTTGGCGGACCGGGAAGCTCCTCCACTGTGCCCCAATGAGGCTCGGAGGGGGGGGGGGGGGGAGGGAAGCCCACCAAGAGTGCGTGCGACGCCTCGCCCCCCCGGGCCACGCTTACTGGACGCGGAGTCGAATCGCGACCTTCCCACCCTTCTCCTGTGGGATTACTGTTGTTCGATCTTCGACTGAAAGCACCCCAGGCGGGACACACCGGCCAGACGAAGCAGAGCAGGGCGGAGCAGGCCCGCCACCACAACGCCAACAACACCTTTGCTCTGCGCTGCTCTGCGCGCGGTTCCAGAAACAGCCGGCTCATCTCACGCGAGCCGCCGCGCCGCCGTGCCGCCGCCACTGGAAACAAACAAGAGTCCCCAAGGCTGCCAAGGCCGGCCGCGGGCCGCGGACGGTCCCTGCCAACAACGTAATGGTCCTAATAAGCAGACCAAGCCGATGGGGCGGGGCGGGGTGTGCCTGCCACAGAGCACTGAGGCCGCGGCGTGTCGGCGTGTCACGGACGCCGTGTCTCGCCAGTCTTGCCCCACAGCATGCACCTGCTCCACTCCACGCGCAGCCAAGAAAAAATCGAAACGGGAGCAGTATGCAGTTCCAACCAAGGGCATTTCGAACTCGAAGGGGGCTTCCCTCGCGGGAGGGGCATTCGATTACTACGGGGGTTTTTGAACCCTTAGGAACACTGGTGTCCTGCTTTTCCTACTTATCGGCGGGCTAGGACATCCAGGACATCCCGCATGCAAGTGCAAGGGCTCGTCCAAGTATTTTTGTCCAGGGTCTACCACTGGAACATTTGCTCGGACGTTTGCAAGGCAAAAGAGAGACACGGCGCCGGCGCCCGCCTTCTTTCTTCATCTCTTCGATCTCTTAAGCGACCAGTGGTGTGGTGTGGTGGTGTGTCACACTACCCGACTGATGGCGATGGCATCACTGCCCGAGGCAGCAGAGAGAGAGAGAGAGAGAGAGAGAGCGTAATCTGCAGAGAGCGCGCGCGCGATTATCTATCCTGTAGTCTGATTCCGGACAGTTTCATCACTCTGTTTCTATCGCACCCATCCGGGACGCTCCACGAGTGCGAGAGAGACAGAACCACGAACCGCTGTGCGGCCAGCGGCCCCGCGACTGGGGGCCGCTCGCAGCAAAACACCGAACACACGCACGCTTGCACGCATGCACGCATTCACCGCGTGCACCGCGGCCTACCGCGCCACTGTACGGGGGTGGCTCGTTCACGGGGTAAGGGTTCACGGCGGTGACAAACGGATAGGGCGTTCACAGTCGCATTGGCGAGGACTGCTTCCCTGCGCCCCAGGCCAGGTAGAGGCAGCCGCGCAAACCCAACTGGTTCCAACCGGAAAACACCTGCGAGGGAAGATAACACTTGACGTTCACGGGGGCTCTGTTCGGGCTTCTGGCGCGGTTCGCCATGCTCGTCCCCGAAAGCACCCGTCGGCGCCAACCGTCGCCAGGACGACCACGAGGCCCTGGTCTCGAAGCCCAGACACGCACCCTGTGGCGGGGACGTTGTTGCTGGCCATGGCGGTGCGCTGGGCGGGCACAAACTGGATCACTGCGCGGTCGCGACTGGAGCACGGCAGCACGACACGGGCTTGGCGGGGCGGGCGCTCCGCTGGGGCTCAGCTGCCAGTTCGGCTCGACCGGCAGGCAAGCACTGGCGGGGCTCGGGGCTCAGCCGCTGGCAGGGCAGGGCTTGGTGCAGGGTCCCTGTGGCCGGACCGGCCGGCGGTGGGGCATCGGGGGACGCCGCCACGGCCACCAGGGCGTGGGCAACGGCCCCGCCACGGACCGCCGGCCGGCGAGTCTTCGCGATATGAGAAATGCAGCACTCTCAAAGTGTTTACACTACACCGTGCGGAAGTAGGAACTGCAAAAACAGACGCCAGAAATGGGAATCCTGAGACGGTAGGACTCGTATGAGAAATGTACGGGGCGGATGAAGGTCCTGTCAGTGGCTTCCGCGCAGGCCCTTAAGAACAGTCCTAGATCCGAATGCCTTATCTGCCGAGGACAAGGACCTTCGGAACGTCTTATCGGCTCCGCCACGGGATCTGAGGACAGGATTGTCATTCTAAGAGAACTGATTCAAAAGTTTAAAAATAGGTACGCGAGAAAAGTTGATCTACGCTGTAAACACGCGACTTGGACTTGTAGTGCGGTGCAGCCATTCATAGTGTGGGGCTGCGATAGTGCTGCACCCCGGTGACCCGGCCCGTCTGGGCAGCTTTTGGGGCAGCCAGTGTCGTCGCGCTGTCCCTCTCGCGCCCCTGCGCCGCGCCCCACGCGGACGAGAGAGACAGAGCGACGGGAGCGCTGTTCGGATCGGGGCTGCTGCCCTCCAGACAGCATGCCGGGCAGGGCTTATCGAAGCCTTTATCGCCGGCATGCCGAAGGGAAAAGGGAAGCACGTGCTGTGGCCACACGAGTGGGCCAAACGATGCACCAGGCTGCCAGCCAGACCCAAAACTCAAAGCCCTTCCGGCCCTGCCGCTGTTATTTTCGCACTGACTCGATTCCCAATCCGTCCCCTACTTGAATTGGGGCGACACGTTCCCAGTGCGTCACCTTGGTCTTTCAGCTGAACGCCAATTTAGTCGCTCTCTCTCGCACGCAGAGGCGCTGGCGCTCCGTATGGGTGCGAGAGAGACAGAGTGACGAAACGCTGAGCGGAGTCGGAGTGCAAGGCGATTGATTAGTGTTCGGGAGCCTAAATGAGATGCCGCCTCGGCGCCGGTCTCCGACGTGTCAGCGACTGCAACAGCCGGTCAATGTAACCAGCCCCCTACAGTGCACCGGCAAATTACCCGAGGCGCGGTGCAAATCGGTGCAAAGCGGTGCCCGGTGCACTCCGAGCCGTTTCTGCTGCACTTTCACTTTCTTTGGCTTGACCGCTTGCACCTGTCCACTAGACGCACACAGTGCACTCAGCACCACCTGCCTCCACCAAGGCCTCCACGCCAATGGACTTAACTAGGCCGAACGTGGGGCGCGCGGCGCGGATAGACGCGTGCGTTGTTGTCCATGATGGCCGATGGGCCCTGGCCTGGCCCCCCTGCCGAACACTGCAGGACGGGGCTGGGGCTTCCCCCGCCGCCGCTTCCTCTGTCTCCGACAAGAATCCTCCTGGCGGCCACCGCTCGAACCTGGCCGCCGTACCTCTCGCTGGCGGCCACCATCGCCCGGTAGCTTAGTGGGCTGCCTCGCCGTCATCCCAGTTGTCATCAGATGTAGGTATTAACTTACCATACATTTGAACAGGCGGTGATGAGTGAGGGAACATGAACATTGTTGTGATTATGTCCTCCCACTGGCGAGCTCAACAACCTCGCCGGTGGCAGCCTGAGCCTACCGATGACCAATCTAATTCGAATAAACCAACTCCTCTCTGCACTCAGCGTCCAGTACAGACCTCGTCTAGAGTCTTACAGTGGACCTTGCTACGCCCCTGCCGTGCCGGTGCAGTGCTAGCCGTTGGCTGCCATGCTGCGCCGGGGCCGACAGGACCGCGCCGCACCGTACGGTGACTTAACGTTACAAAATCAAGTTTCTCTCGCGTGACGCAACCCGAAGATGCTGTGCCGGAACCGGGGCAGGGGCAGGCGGGCGTCGCGGCCGGCACGGCGGAAGGACGGGGGAAGGCCGCCGCCGGCCCGCTCGGCCCCCTTCGGCTCGCGGCTTCGGCTCGCGTTCGGGTGTGGGATGCACGGATGCACCGGCTTCGGCTCGCGTTCGGTCCTTCGGTCCTTCAGTCTTCGGCTCACCTCGGCTCGAAAGTTGAACGCTGCGAAATGCGCGCCGGCGCGGTGGTCGGTGTTCCGCGGTGTTCCGCTGGCGGGGTCTGCCGCGGCACTGAACGGCTTCGCGAGGCGCGGCGGTGCCGGGGCATGCCAGGGCGGTGCGGCGCGCAGCCGCGGCGAGGGCGTACACCGGGGCGGCGGGCAGCGAGCTTCCTTCCTTCCGGCATCAGGCTGCCCGCCCCGCCCCGCCCCGCCCCGCCCCGCCCCGCCCCGCCCCGCCCCGCCGCAGCGAGTGCGAGGGAGACATGACGACGAAAGCCACGATCGGAATGAGTCTCCGGGACTCGGACGGTTGAAAAACGCGCCACGCATTGTGACAAGCGAAAATCCAGGGGGAAGTCCAAGTCCAACTACTGCACGCTGACGGTGCCGTTTAGCCGGCTTTTTTTCGCGGGTCATTTGTCATTTCTCGAAGTGCGGCCGTGCCATTAGGAACCAGTGTGACTGTGCGGCCGGTGCGGCCACTGCTGATTTTCTTCCCAAACCGCAAACCGTTTCGGGACGCGCTTATCGGCCCGCGCGTCTCTGGAGATTATGTCTTCTTGTCCGTCGGTTCGTGAAACGCTCAAAATGCGGACGACATAAACGTTTGCTGACCTCGTGACCCCGTGACCCCGTGGGGTCAGGCGAGGACGCGGGCGCGAGTCCCCAGAGACACGAGGCTGAGCGGAAATTAGTCAAAACGTACACACAACAAAACTAAATAGATGCAACAGTGTCACGCGTGTTTCTCACGCCCTCTCAGCCCAAAATAATTGAATTTTTGGCTTTTGAAGTTTCCAGCATTCATTCAACGGCATTTCAGCGACCGATATTGGCTTTCCCCGTGGGGTCGGCGTCCATTGTTGGTCCCGGCGGTCCCGTCGCCACGGAGTGCACGAGTTTTTGGCGAGGCTTTGGCGGACGTGGTGACCCGCTGCACCTCCAGGAGCACGACGCCGCGGCGGGTCGGCGACAGAGGTGCGTGGTCACGGAGAACTGGTCGCAGGGAAAGAGAGACAGCTCACTTCGGGCGTGATAACGTTTAGTTCGAGAAAAGCACTTCATGCAGCGGGAACGGTTCGTTTCCGGAAGTCGGAAGGGCGCGCGCGGACCGTGCTGACATTTGACCAGCCTACTTGGCGGCCACAAGCGCTTATCGAGAGGCGGACGCACACTGCTAGAAAAAGAGCCGCCTCGCCTACCCGCTCATTTATTAAAAAAAAGAAAAACAATAAGTTTTGTCTCCGTTATGAATTAATACTTTTAGGATGACGTTTTGCAAAGCGAGAAAAATTCCACCTATGCCACTTATCTCGATAAATCTACGACGACAAAGAGCTTATAACAGAACTAGTCCAGGCAAAAGTTTAATTTTAATGAGGAAAGAACATTTTTTAAGAGTGTACGCGTGCACCCTTGGATAACTCCGCGCGGAGCCCGCTCCGCTCGCGGCGCTGCGCGCTGCGTCCGCTGCGTCCCGGGTCAGGAGCTCGATATTAATACACGAGGCGGGGCCGGCCTTGATAAGCTCGTGCAAACATGCAAACCGCGCGGCATAACGGGAAAACGCGAACGCCTTGCTCGCCGCGACAGCGTGTGCGATGCCCGACAGTGCACCAGACAGTGCACCAGACAGTGCACGACGCACGACGGCTTCCAGATGCAGCTGAACCACGACAAGCTGGCCAAGCACCCCTGCACGCTGCGGCGTCGCTGGGGGGCCATGCTGGGCCGCCTCAGCAAGACCACGCACTTCAACATGGAGGAGCTCGAGTCCCTGTGCTTCGTGTTCCACAAACTCACGCGGGGCAGTAGAGGTAAAATCACATGCGAGTGTAAGCACTGGTTTTGCCCCGCACCTGTTCTTGCTGCCAGAGGTAGACATCCCAACGATGCACCCTTTGCCAACCTCACAGCCTGGGCACAGTCTCGAGAAAGTCCACTTATTGCCTGGGCAGGCTGAGAATGGCAACCCTTTCGACGCTGGTGCATCGTGGGAGGTTTTTGCCGCTCTTGACCGTTGCGCTCCCTCGGCAGGGCGGATGTCCCGAAAGGACTTCATCGAAATCATGCACAGTGCCCTGGACATGACCAACACCGGCAACGCCGACTACTCGTACAAGAACTTCGACCCCAACAACAACAGCTTCATCGGCATGGAGGACTGGGTGCGGGGCATGTCCGTCGTGCTGAGGGGCACCCTGGAGGAGAAGGTCACGCACTGCTTCGAGGTGAGCAGCGAAGCGGCGAACCGATCCCACGAACAGAAAAAGAGTCGCGTGTTCAAACAGCGGGTCCGGAGAAAGCCGTGTGTATTTTTCTGTTTTCCGTGCCCCACGTAATGCGACCTCGCTGACACCTCTGCCCGTGACGCACGGCGGGCCAAAATAGAAAAATGAATTCGAGGTACGACACCCCGATATCTTCGGCTGACCCTTCGCGCGAAACGGCGTCGCGCTGGCCGTGTTGACAGACGTACGACCGATATGCCGAGAAGTGCCTGAAGCGCAAGAACCTCATCTGGATGGTGACGGAGAACTGGAAGGCCACCCCGGACGCGGACTCGCAGGGGCTGGTGGAGGAGCTGCTGGAGACCATCGTGTCCAGCATCGCCTCCGACACGGAGAAGGGCATCACGCTGGAGGACTACGAGAAGGCCGTCAAGAAGTACCCGATGCTGCTGCAGTTCCTGGGGGAGGTGCTGCCGTCCCGGCCGGCCAACACCACGTTCCTGGCCACCATGATGCCCGACGCCAAGGCCTACGCCTACTGCCCGGAGTACCGCACCGAGCGCCCCAAGGAGCCCAAGCCCTTCCTGGCCCACGGCGAGTCGGCCTCCCAGGTCGTCGTCGAGCGGCTCGGCGGGGTGCACAACAAGGGCCCCAGGGCGGCCAACGACTAGTGCCCTCGTCCCAGAGTCCCAGCGGCACCGCGTGCGCACGGCGCCAGTTTCCTCTTTGTCTTCGTCCGTTTTATGTTGTGTATTTCTGCGTGTTTTATTTTGTTCCACCAAACTCGAGAGAGACAGGGCTCATGAATAAACAGCATGTGTTGAGCGTCGCGTTTATGATAATAAATGAAAAGTCGTTACAATAACAAAATAAAAAATACAACTAAAATAATTAAACTACAGAGTGCTACAGGTTGACGGTGCTGGCGGTGTCGGGCGCGGTGAAGGGGTCGAAGTCGCCCAGGCCGGTCAGGCGGACGCTCTCCTCCCACAAGCGGCGCGCCACCTCGGGGTTGCGCGCGCGCCGGGCCGGCTCGGTCACGTGGCAGTCGCTGCAACCAGAACGCGGGGCAAAGCACATTAGCAATTGGTAGTGTGCCTACGCAAGGGAAGCATCAGGGTTCAAAAAGCGTGTGGCCCCACCAATGGATTCCTCGTTCGGAGAGCAATCCATTGGTGGGGTCACACGCTCGGTTCGAGTTCCGTTTGGCGACTCTGGAGCTCAAAACGCGTCTAGACTTTGTGCCCATTGTGCTGCGGTTGGCACCCACCTGTAGTACAGGCCGGACTGCGAGGCCACCTCCTCGTCCACGGCGCAGTAGATGGACGTCTGCGCGCCCTGCACGGGCGTCTTGATCCACAGCTTCATGATGCGGTCCCAGATGAACGTGGCGCCCGGGAACAGGGCGTCGCTCAGGTGCCGGCTCAGCTCCGTGGCCACCACGCCGGGGTGCACCGCGTACACCGTCACGTCGTTGATGTCGTGCGCTGCGGGCAAGAGGAACGTCAGGTCGCTCCGTCTCTCTCGCACTCGTAGGACGCCGCGTCGGGGTGCGAGAGAGACAGAGGCTCCGCACTCACCCTTGAGCCTGTCGGCCAGCTCCTTGACGAACAGCACGTTGGCGAGCTTGCTGGCGGAGTACCGGTAGCTGGGGCTGTAGCTCTTCTCGCCGTTCAGGTCGTCAAAGTCGATGACTCCACCTGCAGGGCGAAAACAACACGGGTGGGGTCAGGGACGACTCCGCGGCGAGCGACGGAGCGCCTGGCGGGTAGGCCACCCAACGGGCACGCCGCGCGTGGGGAAGCATGCCCGCCGGGCGCCAAGCCGTGGGGACTGGATCCAGACGTGGGGTATTTGCAGAGTCCCGTGCGGCGATACACCATGCGCAAGGGACTGCACACATGCCCGGCTGCGAAAGTCCCTCGGGAGCGGGGTATCGCCTGTCCGATATCGTTCCAACTTACTGGAGTGCACGAGCGAGGACAGCGTGATGATCCTGGCGGGCCCCGAGGCGCGGATCCTGGGCAGCAGCAGGCAGGTGAAGAGGAAGTGCGCCAGGTGGTTGACGCCCAGCTGCATCTCCAGGCCGTCCTCCGTGAGCGCGCGCGGGCACGCCATGATACCTGCGCGGCAACGTCAAGATCAGAGCGCGGCGCTACTCCGCGCGGCAGGCGCGCTAGACAGGGGTGGCGCGGGGTAGCGCCGGGGAGGAAGGGAGAGTCCTTGACTGGGGCGAGGGGCGCTAAACGGGCCATGCATCTTGCAGGGGGAAGACACTAAACACACACTGGCCACACCGGTGGCGTTCCAGTCACGACTGTCCCAGTCCGAGATCTCGATAATGACACTTCTTCCGAGTTGTTGCTCATCCAAGATTTAGACCGTCCTTTCGGAAGGGGCGGGCCGGGGCACTAATGGGCGGCGTGTTGTTATTTCACGAGACAGGCAAACGATTCTTATTAATTCCACGAGGGACGACTGCGACACAAGAGGCGGCTGGTCGAATCGAAGAGCTCTGCCCTGGCGACACTGGGCCCGGCCACACTGCCAGACAACCCCGGTCGGTTTTCAAGTTTTGCGTTAAATTTTTTTTACCAGGGAACCCCCAAACAATTCCGTTGCTCTCAAAATAACTGACCTGCGTTGTTGATGAGGACGTGGATCTTGGGCTCCTGGAGGAGCAGCTGTTTGGCGCACTTCCTGACGGAGGCGAAGGAGGCGAGGTCCATGTGCACGGCCTCCACCTCGCCGGCGCCCTCCACGCCCTTCACGGCCTCGCGGACCTGCTCCACGGCCACCTTGGCCTTCTCCATGTCCCTGCAGGCCATGACCACGCGCGCCCCTGCAACCAAGCGCCCACGTTCAACCTCGAGCGGGAGGCGGAGGGAAGGCAGTGGCGGATCCGGAGAGGGGCTTACCTCTGCCCACCAAGTCCAGGGCGGTCTCCTTGCCGATGCCGGTGTTGGCGCCCGTGATGACCACCGTCTTGCCGACCATACGCGCCAAGGAACGGCACTTTCCACTCCTGAACCACATGTTGGTGTCGGGGCCGCACCTGGAAGGGAAACATTTTCAATTTTAAAAACGCTCGTGCCAACTTTTTTTGCGCGTCTATTTGCGAGCGACTGGCGAGCAATGATGACGGCGTCGCGTGTCTGTCTGGGGCACTGCACGGCGTGGCGTGGCCGTGGACGCCGTCACGCCGTGCAGCGCAGAGCGAAGGCAAATATGTTCGGTGGTTTGTCTTCCCCCGCAATCAGCGACACGTCACACACCACGACCCACTTCTCATGCAAGCGAGACGTTCACATTTTATAGACTAATGACGATAATCGTACCAGCAACAATCGTGTCAGGCCTGTCTCTTAAATCCACACCTATGGCCTATGGACGACACCTACGCCCACGGCGGCACGCAACACTGGGTCATTCCGAAAATAGTCCAAATTCGAAACCTCCGCACATTCATACAAATGCACTTCCAGAAATGGCAGCCCCACTGACAGTGGGCACTGTCTCCACCCCCATCAGGGCGGGGGGACCGGTGCCGACCCTACGTCACTACCCAGACCTCCCAGACCCAGCGGTAGTTGTTATTGGACGGAAAGACGGAACCACGGTCGACGGTCGCCCCCTTTCCCTTTATCTAACCCTGTCTGCCACTACCGAGCCCAGCCCATCGAGTCTCACTATCAGTAACGAGGGAAATGACTCTATCACTACACTGAGATTGTCCAGAAGGCCAACATCGTGGCCAGGTACTACACACACTGGGGCGCCGAGTCTCTCGAGACTGAAGACGGTCCTCGGACACTCACATGTTGTCTGCAGTCTCTGCTGGCCACTCCACTTCTAGCTTCGCGTGTCCGGCTGCGCTGTCCGCGAGTGACTGCCCGCCTTCCTTGGCCGCCGTGCCGTGAGATCGACACTTAGGCCGGTGTGGCGAGCGGAGCCCGGACTCAGCTGACGGCACCGAAGGCTCCGTCGGGGCCCGAAGGCGGCCGGCGGGACCCGAACCCCAACCCGAACCCCAACCCGAACCCCGGCCCGATCACTGTAGGAGACTCCAGGACTCTAGGGCGGAGGGCGGAACAACCCCTGTCGCGGGTAGCCACCCCACCAGCCTGGGGTCGTTGGCCTTGCAGACGAGTCACGAAGGTTATCCTGCGCGTCCCCAATCTCCATTTTTCCTCCGCCCTGGTCCTGGTCGTCTGGTCGCCGCCAATCATCGCCTTGGTCGCATCGACCGGTGCCATTGTGACGTCAGCCTTGGCTGCCGAGGGACTCCGACCCATACCGCCCACGCCGTCGGCTGGCGCTTTCGTCACCCTGTCTCTCTCGCACTCGTGTGCCGCCGCGCCGGGCTGCGAGAGAGACAGACGACCGGGATCCTCCGCCGGCCCGCCGCGCTACCCCTATCTCAGTGTACCAGTGTACCCACCGCTGTATGCCCCGCTGAGACGAAAGGGCAAGAGGGGGCATGACCGGCGCGGACTTTTCCGCCAGCAGACTCATTCCGAGGGTCGCTCTGTCTCTCTCGCACTCATGGGGCGTCCCGTAGTGATGCGAGAGAGACAGAGCGACGAAGGCGGCCCTCGGAATCAGTCGACTGTTTGAACTGCAACAGGGAGCGGCCCTCCCCGCGGCGCCAGCTCGTTAGGAGGAAGAATTCCGGCCCGAAAGTGCATCGCGGTGACGTCGCCCCCTCCCCCTCCCCTCCCCGCCCCGTCGCCACACTGTTCACTGTCCCCGTCACCGCGCGTGCCGCGAGCCCGACCACACCCACCGGCTGCAGTCGGCACGCGTGCACACTACACTGCCAAAAGGAGAGCCCGCCAAGCCCCCGCCCTCCTATGTATTCTCCGCGAATCGCGCTTCACACACACCACTGTAACCGTGTGCATAAGAATCCGACCGTCGCTACCCCGCGCGCAAGAGACCATCCATAAGGCTAGCGTTGTAAATCTCTGACGCGTGGAGTAGTGACGGTCGGATTCTTTTGCACCCTCCTCCGGCCTGTTCAACCCGGCAGTACTCCGCGCCGCAGTGGCTCGCATCGTGGAGTATCGACACGGCCAGTGGTTTTTTTTTGCCAGTCAGCATTATTGGCTAATTGCTCGCAAATTTCCGAACGCCATTCCCATGGCCGGTGTCCGTCGTCCGCATTGCATTTCCACGGCCGTGAGGGAATTCCACGGCGAAGTCGCGCAGAGCGATGCATTCTGCGTGTTTTGACTTCCAAATTGTGGCGCGGTGACGCACTGGAGGGAACAATCAGTCCCGTGCTAATAACTTCGGCTAACGCCGACTCGGCGTGGCCTTTAGCGCCGCCTGAAAGCTGGAACAGCTGGAGCCCTCGCCGAGACGCCCCACAGTGGGCCACCCTGGCCGCCCTGGACGTTCACCCGAAGTGAATGCGTCGTTGCTCAACATTGGCACAGTGGATGCTGCACAATTTTGTTTGGCCGTCGCTCCGTGTCCCTCGCACTAATGGGGCCCACAGGTGCGAGAGAGACAGCGAGACGAGCGGAATCAGTCCATGCAGGGCCGTGGAAGCGGACCGCGCTAGAGTGGCCCCGCGAGGGGGACCGCGAGCCACCGCTTTTATGCGCGTTTACACTCTAGCCGCTTTTGGTTTGTTGCGAAAACGGCGAAGTGGGGAAAGTACCGCCAAGGATACCGTCGATACCGAAGTGCCAGTGCCATTTCGGCGTCGGTGCCTGCACACTAAATCCTAATGCACTTCTACGCAAGTTACGCATTATTTTGCGTATAAATGCATACTGATATTTTGCCGCGGAGGCCATGTGTGCAAAATAGTGCGTCACTTGCGTACTAAACGCGCGCAAGGATGTCGCGATGCGGTACTCACGTGTGTGTCGCGTTGCAGTGGTCTTGCAGTGGCGTGGTCCTGGCGATGCGCTCCGCTCCTCTTCCCTGTCCAACCTGAGCGAACGGCAGCAATGAGGCGACTGATTTGGAGACCGGCGGATGGCTGCGTCCGTCCGTGTCCGTCCCGCCGAGCTTGGCGGCCAGAGAGAGAAAGAGAGAGGGCGGGGGCGGGGCGGGGACTCCCTGGATGGGCCCGCCCCGCCCCGCCCCGCCGGCGACGCGAACAACGCGGACAACCGCACCACGCCATTCCGCCAAAACACCGCCGGCAGACCGATTGGCGGTCACGACCATGACCGGCCCTCCGCGGCCACCAAATAAAGGGTTACAGCGATATTTGGTCAGAAAAAAAAACGAGCATCGAGCGTTACTTGAAAACAGGCAAAAGTCAAGAGGCTTACATAAATAAAATATACCTAATTTATTTCATCAAAAGAGTCAGTTTGTGAAAAAAACAAAAAAAAACACAATTAGCTTAGTGCTAGAAACATACACGCATACAACACAAACATAAGCACACGCACACTCACTGAATTCATTCATGCTTTTTTACACAACACGTATACACTCGAGCAGTCTTTGTTACATTCCTAACGGCATGATTACATACTATCAAGTACAACAGTGCAAAGTAGAAAACTAAGGTTAATGAACGTCACAACTTCAATAAATACTGCTGCACCCCCGTAGCGCCACTGTCTCCTGCAGTCCGCGGACCGAACCCGGAACCCGGAACCCGGAACCCAGAACCTGGAACCCGGAACCCGGAACCCGGAACGGCGCCCTTTCAGTCCATGGGGCGCTCAGGTCCCCTCAGCCAGCGCCAGGTCCTTCAGGGGCACCTGGATGTAGTTGGCATTCTTCATGTCCTCCTTGGCGCGCCTCCTGCGAGCCAAACAACTTTCCTCAATTTTTTTTCAGTCGGTGATGGTAAATTTTCCCACATCCCCATCCCATTTTCTTCTGAAAATCCTTTTCAAAAGTTGGTAACACTGCAGTAGAATGATTGGACGAACCTGCAGAAGTTCTCGCCGTCCTCCAGGGAGTCCGGCAGCACGCAGTCGCGGGTCTCCGGCAGGGGCAGCATGAGCATGGCGCCGACCAGGGGCAGCCCGCCCAGCGTCACCAAGGGCACGTAGTCGCCGTACGCGCTCTGCCGGCCAAGAACACCGCTACATTGTAAGGGGCAGCCAGCATTGCACACACGTCGTGTTTTTAACGTGCGTGTTTTACGTGCAAGCCCAACGGGGAAGTTGTGCCTAGTCACTGGCGGGATCATTGGGTCCAGGGAGCAGGGAGAGGAGCGGGACGTTCCGGGAACGCCGTGCGAAAACGGCGACGTCACGTCAGGGCACGGCGATGACGTCACGCGCCGACGACGGCTCTCCAGGGCATCCCCACTCTCTCGCTCCCCGATGGGACTCGTGATGGGACTTGCGTGCGAGAGGGACGGAGCGATACGTACCAGGGCGAGGACGAAGGGCGCGGCCATGGAGCCCACCCTGGCGCACATGGAGGAGGCGCCCAGGCCCACGTTGCGCACCACGGTGGGCAGCAGCTCGCCGGAGAAGAGGTAGAGGGCGGGGAAGGTGATGGACATGCCCAGCACCGCCAGCCCCGCCAGCAGCGACCGCGGCCAATCGCCCGGGAACACGCCTGCCGGGATTCACGTTCAGATTGGCGTCGGATGGACACTCATTCGTATTCGCACTGTCTCTCTCGCACTCATGGCGTGTCCCATAGGGGTGCGAGAGAGACGGAGCGCTTAGACGCACCGAGGGCACCGCGATGATGAGCAGCGAGGCCGCGGACGACATGATCAACGAGAACAAGATGCAAGCCCTCCTGCCCATGACGCGGACCAGGTAGGCGCAGATGATGGGCCCCGGGATGGAGATGAGTCCTGCAACATTGCATCGGGTTACACTGATTATCTGGTGTACTACCGCCGAGCCGAGTCGCCTTACCCGACAGGGCGACGTTGACGAAGATGTCGCCGCCGATCTGGCCCTGGAACTGCGAGAAGCCGAAGAAGCCGAGGCCGACGACGAACCACGTGAAGAAGAGGCACAGCGACATGCGGCGCAGCCGGGGCGTGCGCATCAGGCCGCCGAGGCCGGCGCGGGGCTGGCCGTCGCCGTGGCCGCCGTGGCCGCCGAGGCCGGCGCGGTGGTCCAGCAGGGCCGCCTTGGCCTCGCCGACGTCGCGGCCGTTGGTCTTGGCGGCCGCCTCCAGGATGGCGTGCGCCTCCTCCTCGCGGCCCACGGCCAGCAGCCAGCGCGGGGACTCGGGGATGAACCTGAGGGAATGGTTGGCCGAGTGAGTAACGACGTCGCTCGCGGCGCCAGGGATGTAGGTTCAAATACCGAGCGGGTTTTTTTTTCGCGCGCCGCCAGCCGTACCAGTAGTATGCGATGAAGGGCACGGAGAAGGCGCCCAGGGCGAGCTGGAAGTCCCGCCAGTGTCGGAGGTAGTAGGCGACGCCCGCCATCATGGACACCCCCACCGAGAAGGGGATCTGGTACAGGATGGGCACCACGGTGCGCCACGGCCCGCCCACGATCTCCATGCCTGTGGAACGCCAAGCTAGAGCCCGCCGAGGTCGAAAATGCGCGAGTATTTGAACGCGGGACTCACAGATGACGAAGCTGACGACCATGGTGCCGCCGGTGGCCACGGCCACCAGGAACCGCAGCACCATGAAGACGGCCAACCAGGGCACGAAGGCGGTGGCCACGCCGGCGGCGGCCTGCAGCACGATGGCCGCCATCAGCGGCAGGCGGCGGCCCCACCTGTGGAGGAACTAGCAGTGTAGTGGAAGCGGCGCAGCGCCCGGCGGGTAGGCAGCCCATTCTACGCCAGCGCGCGACGCAGCATTTCTCGCACTCGTGGGGTGCACTGTGGGCGTGCGAGAGAGACAGGCCTGACGCCACCCAGTCCAAGACTCACCTGTCCGCCGCCGCCCCGAACAGCACGTTGCCGACGAGGACGCCGAACATGAGCACCAACTGGGCCACGTTGGCCAGCTGCTGCCTGCTGCAGACCAAGTCCCACTGCGGGCAAGAGAAGGGTCAGGACACACCGCGCTGACGTAGAGGACACGGCGCTCGACGTGCTGCTCACCTCGCTGACGATGGTCTCCACGAACACGGTGCGGTTGTACTGCCAGTGGGTGCACGGCACGGCGGCCGCGGCGTCCCAGTCGTACGCGTGGCACGAGTCCGTCTCGGCCTTCACGGCGTGCTCCTGCAACAAGTCCAGCGTCAGTGGCTCGTGGAACCACGCCTGACCACGCCACTGTTCGGCCTGCAGTATCGGTGACAGCGCCACTGCCACACTGCCAGGCATTCGTTTCAAATAGCGGCCCGGAAGAGACACCGGACACTTAAATAAGACCGACAAAACCTAGACCTAAGTGACCGACCTGAATAAAAATATTGAGATCGGTGGTTCGACTCCCCTAATATTTTTATTTAGGTCAGTCAAATGATCGGCTCCCACCGGACCAGACCCTTGCACCGGGTTTTGTTTGGTCGGATCGCACTGTGTTACTGCATTTTGTTCGGCTTGCCTCGGGCTGCGACGCGCCGTCCGCGCACCAGAAGGGGTGCGGCGGCGCGATGAAGAGGATGGCGAGCTGGAACCAGGCGATGGGCAGCTTGAGCAGGGCCAGCAGCACGGCCTGGCGCGCCTGCCACGGCCCCCACGCCCCCGCCACGCGCACCACCAGGTCCTGCTCCGCGTGCGCCGACTCGGGTTCGACTCCCGGCGCCGGCGAAGACACCCCCGAGGGCCTCTCGGGGTCGGACCTGCGTCATAGAGAGAGAGAGTGAATACAAGTTTAAGATTGTTCGTTAAGGCGGACTGGGGTTGGCAACCCTTTTGACTCTTCCATCGCGGGAGTTTTCGCCTACTGAGGCGACACTGGCAGTGGCGACCTTCTGATAAACAAACGGGTATCATCGGCATTGAACACCAAACGCGGGGCAGGACGGCTTCAAGGCCAAGGCCAGAGCGCGAGTTGTTTTGCCTCTGCACGAGTACACACCCAGAGGGAAAGTGACGGGTGGGTGGTCGAAAGAGCGATGCGTGGATTCTTTCAAATGGCTTGCCGTTCGACTGTCTGTAACTTTTTTATCGATTCGGCGGTTTCGTTCGGACTCTCCCTGAGCAACCAATGCACACTTTCATGACGCTTTTACCCCTGCCGGTGCCGGTGGCCTTGGCTCACTTTTGATAGAGCCGCCCCAGAACTAGAGCGGCACAATCAAGACCAAGACCATTCCTCGGAAAGCCAAGTCCGTCCACGCCGTGCTGTACCAGGCCGTGCGCGCTGGACTGGACTGGACACCGCCGTGCCACGCGCCGCGACTACCAATACGACACGGCCGCCGACGACTGAAGATTTTTATGGTTTTCATCGACTTGATTTGGCACTCGACTGTCTTGAACTGACTTTTAGAACTGTTGCAGCAGGCAAAGTAAATCACACAAAATGCTCGGACCAGCTCAAACCCAGCAGGCTCTCACAAAGGGACAGAGGACTTGTGATGAAAATCCACGTCTGTATCACACTCGAAAGGACACAGGACACCCATCGGATTGAATTGAACTTCCACTAGGTCCACCAGCCCCCTGGTGATAGATTCCTACTGGTTCTCACAGCACTCACCTCGCCATGGCTGTGTCCTGGCGGCCGCTGCGCAGTGCGGACGGTCGGGCTGTCCTGTCCGCGTCCTCTGGCGTGTCCTGGGCGTGATGCTCGAGCTAAGGGCTGGCCAGGATCATGGCGGTCCTGGAAGGAGAGCTGGCGAGTTCGGAACGCGTGTGAGGAGCCCACTGTGCGACGTTGCGTCGCGTCCGCCGCCTCGCCACTCCAACACGGGGCTGCACGTGGCGGGGGGGGGGGGGGGGGGCTGTCCGGCAGTGGTTTGGGAAGGGGAAGGAGCAGTTGGGGGGTCCATCCTGCATGGGGTTGGGATCAGCGAGAGGGGGGCGGGGCGGCGGCGGCGGCAGAGATGTCACCCGCCCCCCTCCTCTCCTGCGCCGCGCTCGCGACGCCCCGTGTTGACACTGCAGCGAATGCACTAAAGACACTATCATTGACGAATCGGGTCGCGAGACATGGCCTGTTTCGCTACATCGCGCCAAAGTGACCGCTCCTCCTCACGACGGGACAGCCGCACGCACATTCGCCGCCCTAACGCGAATCTAGGCCTCAAGAATTCCGATTGACCTGTCTGTGCGTCCCTTCGTCCGTGCGTCCGCCCGGGCTCACTCATAGCTGTGCCACTACGCCGTCGGGTTGCGCAACGGTGCGGCTGTGTGGCGGTCGGTATGGCCTGGAGAAAGTAGTCTTCCGTGTCGCTGAGGCGGGGTGGCGGGGGGCGCGGCGGGGCGCGGCGGGGCGCGGCGAGGTGTCGCGGCCTCCTGAACGTAACTGGCCGGCGTCTGCTTGCGAGTTGCGTGCTTTTCCAGCGCGCCGTGCCCGTGGTCCTCTCCCGAAAAGACTCGGCTTTCTTCTAGTCGACCGCCACCATCCTGGCTCGGAGCGCCCGGCGGGTAGGCCGCCGCCGCGCTTCGACGCTCGGCTGTGTTGCGGGGCGGTATGCCGCCTTTGGCAGGCGCTCGGCCGGCCGCGCCGCGCCGTGCTTCCGAACCGCACCGTCGCCGCTGTCTCCCTCACACTCGCGGGGCGTACCCTCGGAGTGCGAGAGAGACCTCTTGGGCCCGCTTGAGCCCTGCCCGAGACCTTGGTCCTTGGCGGCCGGCGGACTGGCGGTCCCGGTGCGCAGTGCGCTCGCCGACGGGGAGGGGCGTTTGGAGTTGCCCTGCTTCCCCCACCCCTTTTCCTCCCCTTCGTTCTCTCTCCGAGGTGACGCATCTGTGTTGTCCTTTTCTCCGCCTTGTCTGGCGACAAAGTAAGGCGCAGGGAGCGGCAGGGACAGCGGCGCTCTACGCGACGTCGTCGTCGTCGTCAGCCACGCTTGGAGCTCGGGATGCTGCGGGCCGGCAGGCCGGTCCCGAACAGTGCTTTCGTCGCTCTGCCTCCCTCGCACTCTTGCGGCGCCCCCGTCGGTGCGACAGAGACAGAGCGACGCCTACTGGCGACGCCCCAACGCGCGGCTACCGGTCCCACGTCCCCGACGCGGCCACGCCGGCCACGCCGGCCACGCCCTGCACCTGCCGACGCGACACCTGCATGATGCATCGCCTGCATACCGAGTGTGACATTGGGAAGCGGAGGCTGCATTGTGATTGGCCAAGGCGGTGTCGCCGACGCGGACCGCGAGATGCTAAAGAGAGATGGCAGCCGATTTGGTGACAGAATCTCTCGAAGAGGCCCATTTCCGGCTTCCGGTTTTGTCGGTTTTGTTCTCCGTATCTCCGGTTCCGGTCTTCAGATGCACCGGAATGCCCTCTTTGCAGCAAGGCATTATATTTGACCTCGTCGATACTCCGGGCGTCAAATCTCTTGGGCACGGAGTATCGCCGGGGTGATTTTAATTGGCGACCGATTGTGCCTCCGCTTGCCGTCTCCCAGTGTGCCATGCGTCGATTCAAGTGTGAATGCTCAGAAAGGGGCGGTCCGTCAACACACCGCCACGTCGGACGGGCAAGAGGAGGCTCTCCACGGTCACGGCGGGGGCAATGGAGACCGCTGCGCCGCGCGCCGCCGGCCCACAACTGCAGTTTCATTCCCGACAGCCGATGTCTCTCTCGCACCCTGACGGGCGGCTGTGAGTGCGAGAGAGACAGCGGCGCACTGTACCACGACACTGCGTGTGCGGTGCCATACAATAGAGCCAGGGTCGCGCTGTCGCGCTGGCCGGTGCCGCGAGCCGCGAGCCGAGCCGCGGGGAGGAAGCACAACAAACAAGTCTAGACCTTCGCCGGACCATCGAAACAATTTTCGAACCCGATCGCGGCCGCGCGGGTCAGTGGGCGAAGGTCCCACTCTGCCACACTGCCACACTGCCATGGCAGTGCAGTGCCGCCACTAATGAGCAACGTGCCTGCCTCTGCCGACTCTGCCAGCCGAGCCGATAGGAAGGCGATTCCGCTCTGTCTCTCTCGCACTGGGGCGTCCAGTGAAGGTGCGAGAGAGACAGAGCGACGTAAACGACTCGGCCGAAGGGAGGGAGGACGGGCCGAAATTCGGGACAAGGTTAGAGCCGGGCTGATAAGAATATTGTGCCGAATGTGGAAACAGCCTGGCGGTGGCGCCTCGCATCGCGGAGTATTGGCACCGAGGAGTGCGCAAGGAAGCCGGCCGAGCCAACAGTGTCGCAGTGTCGCACGCACCACGCACCGCGACCCGAGCCGGGTCACAAATGTCTTTGGAAAATCGTGTTTTGGGCCGACTTTAAGCAGCCACTGCGTCTGACCCGAAGCGGTATTTCGTCCTCCCTCAACGGGCAATTGGTCTTTGGACCTTCCTTTAGCATGCCTTTGTTACGGAGTGCGATTATCTGCCTTAGTTTGGGAGCAGTATTGCCGCGAAGTTGATCAAAACGGTCACAAATGTCTTTCAAAAATCGTGGTTTGGGCCGACTTTAAGCATCCACTGCGTCTGATCCGAGGCGGTATTTCGTCCTCCCTCAACGGGCAATTGGTCTTTGGACCTTCCTTTAGCATGCCTTTGTTACGGAGTGCGATTATCTGCCTTAGTTTGGGAGCAGTATTGCCGCAAAGTTGATCAAAACGGTCACAAATGACAAAGTCGGCCCAAAACACGATTTTTAAAAGGCATTTATGACTGTTTTGACCAACTTTAAGCAAATACTGCTCCCAAACGAAGGCAGATAATCGCACTCCGTAACAAAGGCATGCTAAAGGAAGGTCCAAAGACCAATTGCCCGTTGAGGGAGGACGAAATACCGCCTCGGATCAGACGCAGTGGCTGCTTAAAGTCTGCCCAAAACACGATTTTTCAAAGACATTTGTGGCCGTTTTAATCAACTTTGCGGCAATACTGCTCCCATACTCAGGCAGATAATCGCACTCCGTAACAAAGGCATGCTAAAGGAAGGTCCAAAGACAAATTGCCCGTTGAGGGAGGACGAAATACCGCCTCGGATCAGACGCAGTGGATGCCTAAAGTCGGCCTAAAACACGATTTTTCAAAGACTTTTGTGAAGGCGTCGGAAAGACCGAGCGCAGCGCCTGCGCCTAGGCCACCCATCCTGCTTCCGCGGCTGCCCGCGGCGCCCGGCTGGGCGGCCACCCTTCGTACTGGTGGGCTGCTGGCCGGTAGACTGTGCCGGGCGGCTGCATCTCGCGGCCCGCCGGCCCACCCGCCGGTCCACTGTGATGTTTGTCTTGTTGTGGTTGTTGAGCTCGCGGAGCAGGGCGGCTCGGCGGAGAGGAGAGGCCAGGCCTCATCCTGGATGACGTCAGATCAAGTGAACGAGATTGATTCACTCAGTGGCGCGCCACCCTGGACCGGCCAGGCGACAGACTCCGCGCATCGCTGTCGTTGAGCTGTCTCTCTCGCACTCAGGGGGCGTCCGGATCGGTACGGGGGAGCCTGAACTTTCCTGAGCCCACCCCGTGTTCAGCCACACTGTCGCATCGCTCTGCATCCCTCCGTGTCTCTCGCAACGCCCACGAGTGCGAGAGAGACGGCGGCGAGATCACTGGAATGGTCCTCCAGCCTCCAGCCGCCGCCTTGCCGGACCGACGAGGAAAACGACTCGCCGCGGCGGTTTTTCGAAGCGCGGCGCGCAGCCCGGTCCACTGGTCCGCGGAGATTTGCCACTCGCACACACGGAGTTTGCGCGGAGTCTCGGAATATGAGAAGAGAAAGAAAACAAACAGAAACCCGACGCGGCGCGGCGCGGCCGGGTCCGCCAAGATCCGCGCTTCACGCGCACGGCTGCTCGCGGCGGGTAATTATAGCTATCGATAGTGATCAGCTGGTTCGATTAATCGAAGGTGTGGCGGCGTACCGACTCGCGTATTGGAGACGCCCCGCCCTGCCACGCCACGCCACGCCCCGCCACGCTTCGGATGCTAATCATGGGGGAGACGACGCGCAGGGCGGGGCGGGGCGGGGCGGGGCGGGGCGTCGTGCGGTCGCGGGGGGACGAAGCCAAACGCCGTGCGTCTTATGAATGGCGCAGCGAAGGTTGCCTCCACTCCACCAATAGGAGCAAGAACGTGACCCGAAGGGCGTGAGGGCGGCCAGAGGGCCAAACGCGTGCTCGATAAAAACAGAGAAGGCGGCCTCTACAGGTTTTGTGGTTCAACAAAAAAGAATGTTTATCTCGGGCACTACTCTAGTTCCGATTCGTTGGCCTTGTGTCTGAGAAGCAAAAATGCGGGGCATTTTCACCTGCAGTGAGGAGTGCAAATTGTGCTGGGTTTGTCGACGTCAAATTGTAAATGGCCTGCTTACTGTTCGGACGATGTCGTTGAGGTGGCTGCAGAGCGCAGCTAGGTGTTGTCGCTGCCGATGCTGACCACGGAGTGAACAACCGTGCCACACCACGACAATAGTTTCGCAAAAAAAAAAAAAAACTTCTTGGTAGCACACTTTTTTGCGGCACCGCTGCGGGGTAACGGAGATTCCCGTAAAGTTCCCCTCATTACCTCCCCGACTGTACCGACTGGATCTTACTAGGGAATGCTCGCCGAACACAGCGAGAAAATAGATATCATCGAAATTATTCGACTGTCGGTAGTTTTGGCGGCTAGACTAGAAATCCTCCTTTCGGCCCGTGAGCGTAACTCTCTCCGACTCCTTCGCTGTCGCTTTACAACTGCGCAGGGAATTCCCGTCACTCGAACTGTCACAGCGCACGCCTGTGTGAGTGTGTGTGCGCATGCGATTAGCCTTCT